TAAATAATAATAATACAGTATTAGTAGTAATACTATAATATTTTTCAGTTATTTATTGTAATGCAGTTGTAAAAATACATTTGCTAAAAAAATCAATGGCTCTTTACTGAAAAAACGTTTCCGACTTCTTATCCTTCACCCTTGTGTATTACTCCGCCCACATACAGCAAGAAGCAGTCAAGCAGATGACCCTCTGCAGTTTGACAAATATTGTTGCTTTTGTGCAACATAATGTACTTTTAAGGCTTTTTAGTCGGGAATAAAGTTGTTTAGATTGCAACTATGCTGTTGATTTATAAGGATAGTGCCTATATTTAAATAATTTCTGAGAGACAGCGCGTCGATCCGCGGCCATTAGCCTGTCTTTGAGCAAAGACGGTGATGATGTTCATCCACAAGATGGCGACAGAGACCGCATAATGAGCTCAAAAGAAAACAAAGTGATTTCAAACTAGAGCTGATCAAATCATTATTAAACAGGTAAATGATTTTAAGTCGATTTCTCTCTCTTTTGTATGTTGTAGTGCTTTATTTATACTATAGTAATTTTGTGATCTTCTGATTGCAAGAAATTCTAGGAAATCTCTAGTCCGAGATGGCATTTCATGCCGTTCAGCCTTATAATCCTAAAATGTGAGCAAAAATGCCTGTTTTGTCATCACTTTAGACATTACGCTAAATAATTATTCAAATGCTAGCTCTAAAGTGACATTAGTGAATCAGTAATGTTTTTTGCTGTTCTGACGTCAGCTTCAGATGTGAAGGAATGGCGGAAGAAAGTAGTTCCTCATACAAAAGTGTTTTGAGACTCTCCGTGTTTGATTTTCTTTTTGATACATACAATTATGCAGTCGAAGTAGCAGTGCGATGTGGCTGTACATCGTCACTGGTATGACACTAAGGGCAAAGTCCAAAGACGTGTGGTACAGGTGAATTGGGTAGACTAAATTGTCTGTAGTGTATGTGTGTGAATGACTGTGTATGGATGTTTCCCAGTGATGAGTTGCAGCTGGAAGGGTATCCGCTGCGTAAAACATGCTGGATAAGTTGGCGGTTCATTCCACTATGCCGACCCCAGATTAATATAGGGACTAAGCCGAAAAGAAAATCAATAAATGAATGCAACCATAACATTAATCCATGTTTGTCATCCCACTGTAACGTCTGTTCAGGGAAAATGGACCAAAACATTCTTTTTCCAGAGAAAATAACATGCACTCATACCATTTATTTAAATCCTAAAAACATATTTGATTTTTCAATCTACAATATGTTGTAAGACAGCAATGTCTCATCCTCCTAAACGCCTGGAAGGAATCAGGATTATTGCTTTTCTTCAAACCCATCATCTGCTCTGATCGTCTTTTTTTTATTGTATCAGTGTTTTAATCCATAAAGCAGTGAAGACAAAATGAGCACCAGTAAGATTCATGTCCAGAAATATGCTAAATATCATGTGCTGGGTAAACATGTGCAACATTTGTCCTCAGTTTTACATACTATTTACTCCTCTAAAGTCTGAGGTTTAATATTTATTTGAAACTATTTTAATTTAATAATCAAACCTCCATGATTAAAGGTGACTGTAAATACATTTATAATTTGACAAACAGTGCTATTTTAATTAAACGCTGTTCTGCTATTAACAGAATCCTGAAAAGATTTATCAAAATTTCTACAAAATATTTAAACATTTATAATAAAAAAAGTGGGAGACACGGTGGCTCAGTGTTAAGCACTGTTGCGTCACAGCAAGAAAGTCACTGGTCCGAGCCCCAGCTGGGCCTGTTGGCGTTTCTGTGTGGAGTTTGCATGTTCTCCCAGTGTTGGCGTGGGTTTCCAAAGGCATGTGCTATGAATTGGGTAAGCTAAATTGTCCGTAGTGTGTGTACAGTCGAAGTCAAAATTATTAGTCCCCTTAGATTTTTCCCAAAAGATGTTTAACAGAGCAATGAAATGTTCACAGTATGTCTGATAATATTTTTTTCTTCTGGAGAAAGTCTTATTTGTTTTATTTCGGCTAGAATAAAAGCAGTTTTAAATTTTTTGAACACTATTTTAAGGACAAAATTATTATCCCCTTTAAGCTATATATTTTTTTCTCAATAGTCTACAGAACAAACCATCGCTTTAAAATAACTTGCCTAATTACCCTAACCTGCCTAGTTCACCTAATTAACCTAGTTAAGCCTTTAAATGTCACTTTAAGCTGTATAGAAGTGTCTTGAAGAATATCTAGTCAAATATTATTGACTGTCATCATGACAAAGATAAAATAAATCAGTAATTAGAGATGAGTTATTAAAACTATTATGTTTAGAAATGTGCTGAAAAAAAATAAACACGGGGCTAATAACTCTGACTTTAACTGAATGTGTGTGAATGAGTGCGTATGAGTGTTTCCCAGTGATGGGTTTCGGCTGGAAGGGCATCCGCTGTGTAAAACATTTGCTGGATAAGTTGGAGGTTCACTCCACTGTGGCGACCCCAGATTAATAAAGGAACTAAGCTGAAAAGAAAATTAATGAATGAAGGTGCATTTTAGACCTTTTGACCTCCATGGCTGGATTTGCTTGGGGCCCTAAAATCACCAAATCCCACCTCTATCTGTATATCTGTATCTTTTGAGAATTTCCTTCTTTTTTGGGGGATTTACATTAGGCCTATGTATTTCTTCTTCTTTCTTCATGAGCAGTGGGGTAAAGTAACACATTACAAATGCTCAAACTACTGTAATTGAGTAGTTTTTCCTAGGGAATTATAATTGACTAAGTAGTTTCAAAAATGTGTACTTTTACTTTCCCTTGAGTATATTTTTAGAGCTGTATTAGTACTTTTACTCCACTACTTTCCTTTAACCTGCAGTCACTACTTTATTTTTACTTTGTCTATGGGGATTAGAAAAATCAGTCCTGTGATTTCTTCAGCTTGATGTCTTTTTGGACGTTACCACTATGACGTCTATCAGGTTTTGGATTTTGGCTGCCACACCTGACAAATAAATGTCAGTATTTGACGTCAATATGACGTTGGTTTAAGATCTCGGCTTGACTAAGATGTCGATCATTTTCTAACAACCCAAAATCAACTAATTATTAGTGTCATTTGATGTCGTTATTGGAAATAAAAATAACATTGTTCTTAGACGCTGACTAGACATTAAATTTTGGTCACCCGACATCACAACCTAAATCTAACCTTATATTATGATTTTCTGTGCCTGCTTTATAACCGCAGCAAACTGTTTGGAAGCATTTAAAGTGTCCAAGAAGACATCCAAAATCTTTACACACATCGACCCAAAGACTATTTAGATGTATGTCACTGATGAGAAGATGACGGATGTTTACTGTATGATGACCGAAATGGCCTTAAACAGCCAGCAGGCACAGGACGTTAACATGACGTCAAATTGACCTTGTACCCCAACGTCATGGGGATGTTGCATTTTGTTTGGAAAAGAAAATCAGGTTGACATCAGAACTCAACATCAGGCCAACATTAATGTCCAACGTCCAACCTAAAACCAACCAAATATCAACGTGTAGTGATGTTTCAGCTTAAAGTTGTGTGGATGTTACCACTATGACGTCTATCAGACATTGAATATTGGTTGCCATAACTGATTAATAAATGTCAGTATTTGACATTAATGTGATGTTGGTTTAAGATGTTGGTTCGACTTTAGATTCTGGTCACTTTCTAACAACTTAAAATTGACCAAATATCAACAACCAAGGCTCATTGTGGAAACGTAGCCCCGCGGACGTTTCTAGAGACAGCGAAATACGTCCCCGGAGGTACATATTTGTGCAGTTTTTGTTTTCACGAATCCGCGAGAGGCTACTGTGCCGCGCTTTTTTGCGTCTCGAACGCCTCTCAGGAACGTGCGCCGTTCACCCCTGCGCTGTTCTCGCGCGAAAAGCCGCCGGAGGCCGTTGTCGAGCGACAGTCTGTCCGACTGACTGAATGACTGAACGATCAACTGGGCGGCCAGCCATTTGGCCGACCCAGCTACAGTCCTCCTCTGTCCCTAGACCCTAGCGACGGTTTATAAAAGCCATCCAGAAAAAAAAAAATCAAAAGCCCTCATCCGAGTTTGACCGAGTTTTCGGATTTCACCGCATTCTCGCCCTGTCATGAACTCGTTTGCTTTTATTTTTTGGATTCTGTTTTTCATCTTACCTGATTTCTAGAACCGCTCTTCCCTGGACGCGGTTGCGTCTAAGCAAACTGGTTGCGGCGGGAAAGCCCTCCACACGGAGGCGAGCCGTTACAGTCGGCGAGCATGAAGAAGAGGAGCGGCGTCACACCGCCCCGTAGCGTTCGCTCGAAAAAACGAAATGCAGCCATATGTACCTCCGGCCACGTAAATCGCGGTTTCCAGAAACATCCGCGGGGCTACGTTTTCAGAATGAGCTTGGGTTGCAACATCAACGTCATTTGACATTGTTATTGACATATTAACATATGTCAATAACAATGTCAATGTCAATGTCAATACATGTTATTAACAAAATAACATTGTCCTTAGACGCTGGCTGGACATTGAATTTTGGTCACCTGACATCACAACCTAAATCTAACCTAATATTAAATGTCCTATGATGTTGTGTGCCTGCTGGGCAATAAATTGATGCACTACAGAATGTTACGTTTACACACACTCTTGAGTACTTTTGAAATGGCTACTTTGTACTCATACTTTCAGTAGTATTTAAAACAGATTCATTTACCCTACTTGCACTACATTTTTAGGCAAGTTTTTTTTACTTGAGGCTGATTTGTTTGTACTTTTTCCTCAACTGAGCATGAGTGACACTTAATAACAACATACACGAATGTCTACAAGCAAAACAAAGGAAAAACTCAAGTCTAATCTGACAGAGCTGTGTGTGTATATGCGTGTGTGTGTGTGTGTGTGTGTGTGTGTTTGACATTTTCTGCTGCTTTGAAGGATTAAATGAAACCTTATACGACCTGCCTCATTTTCTCACTAGTGGGCAACAGTTTTCCCGCCTCAAAGGAGAGGAGGTGGGCAACTGGAGCGGGCTCATTAGTTACCCCGATGATGGAGGGATGAAGCCGGCCAGAAATGGGAGGAAAAGGTACAAAGCAGCACAGAAACCGCTCTACAACACCAACAACAACAACACAAGAGAGAGATAGAGAGATAGAGAGAGAGATAGAGAGAATGCCACATTAGCCAATGAACAGCCGCTTGCATGTTTGGACTGAAGACACATCCAATCTCATCAGCCAATCAGACGAGCTCAATTAATGAATCAAGTCAATTTAGGGCCAATCAGAGCACCAGGGCTAATTAGAGGTTCACTGTGATTTTTTTTTGCCAAATAGCACAGAATTGATCGCATTAGGAGGAATTTTTCCCATTCGCTTTCTCCGAACTACATCACAGCGTGGTGCAATTAGCTATTAGCAATTAGCTAAAAGTTTGGGAATTTGAGAAAGTGTATGGATTTGTTCACAATCAAATACAAAGTCGCTATTTTTGTTGAAAATGGGGTGTAAAATTGATTATATTCTCTTATTATACACGTTTATTTGCTAGTGGTTGAATTAGGTTGTAATATATGATCAGTTCATCCTTTATGATTGATTTTAAAATAAAAATAAAAATAGCATGTTTACAGCAATAAATGACTGTAAACATATGATTAAACTATAGTATTCATGATTAAATATGATATTAATAGCCTGTTACACTGTTCTGCATCTTTAAAATGGCCTTATAGACCATTTCAATAGCGATATTATGAACAGTTCCTGCTTATCGTCAAACTATTTCAGAACTGTAATTAGATGTAATTCAGTCATAATTATTGTTAACACAGCCGTCATTAAAAGTGTATCAATATGTGGAGCTTTCTGGATTCTTAGAAGCTGTGGAAATGAAAAATCTAATATACATTAGGACCATTGTTATTGTTTACATCCCTCAAAATGGCCTTATATTCAATGTTATAATATAATCCGATATATCTGTTTTGATGATTTTGATGATCATGTTCATATTTTTTTGCAAAATAAGAATGAAGATTTCTTCAATTTAATTATTTATGAAATAATAAAGGGCTGAATTTTGATCTGGGTGATGGTTAGACTTCAAATTAGATTTACAATTGAGATTTTAAGCAAATTAAGTCTGTTTTTTGGATGTTTCTGAAGTAATTTTTGTGAAAATATCCTTCAGCATAGTAGATAAATGTAAGTAAAATGCAATGAAAACATACTTACACTGACCTGTGTTTATTAAAATATATCTAATAATAAGTAATCTAAATATTAAAATAAATATTAATTTAATTTAATTGATTAAAAACTTGCTAATGAATTGGGCAATACCTAGTGGTATGAAGGATAGTAGCAAAGTATAAGGTTTAAAATGAAAAAAAAAAAATCCATTATCCCACTATTTTCATGATTATTTTAAACCAGAAATATTTATAATAAACTGACAATAGACTAAAGCAATTTTTCAGATTTGAAAATTCAGTTGTGATAGATCATTTGTGTTTAATTTCCATGATTAATCATGCGTCTCCACACTGTAAAAAAATCGTTAAAAAAATCAAATGACTGGCAGCTACGGCTGCCAAACAACAACCATATTTCTTTGTTGAAATAAAGTGCAAAAAATAGTAAATCTACAGATATTTTCATTAAAATGTTTGTAAGACTCTTAGTTTGTAACTTTATTGAATTTGATTTGATTGTATAATCTAGGAAAAGTCTGTAAAATAACACTGTTTTTTTGTAAAACTCTTGCGTAACTTTATTAAACTGATTTGTTTGTAATGATCTAGGAAAAGTCTGTAAAATAACAGTGTTTCTCTTTAAACATTTTAATGAAAATATCTGTAGATTTATTATTTTTTGCACTTTATTTCAACAAAAGAATTGTACCATAATTTTATGGTTTTTGTTTGGCAGCCTGTTTTTTTTTTTTACAGAGCAAGTAATTACAATTTATTACTTTAATTTTACGTAATTTTAAATGTACTTAAGAAAAAAACAGGAAAAAACACCGTATAAATAATACGGCAATTTTATTATATAAAACAGACAAATGGCTGTAATTTGTCATTACTTACATAGTACATAAAATAACAGTCAAGCTGTTAATTTACAGATATTGTTTGTAATTTTTACGGATTTTTGAATATAAATTAAAATAACAGAAAAAATACTGTATAAATAATACTGTAATATTCCCGTATAAAAAACAAAAATGTCAGTAATTTGTCTTTAATGATAAAGCACCAAAAATGAAAGTCAAACTGTGAATTTAGAGAGATTGTTTGTCATTTTACTAAGTTCTACATATAATTTTAAATGACAAAAAATTACTGTAAAAAATTTAAGGATATTTTCTGTAAAATTTGTTTTTTTTACAGTGTACATAAAATAACAGTCACGCTGTTAATTTACAGATATTGTTTGTAATTTTTACGGATTTTTGAATATAATTTTAAATAACAGAAAAATACTGTATAAATAATACTATAATTTCCCTGTATAAAAAACAAATATGTCAGTAATTTGTCTTTTATGATAAAGTACCTAAATTGAAAGTCAAACTGTGCATTTAGAGAGATTGTTTGTCATTTTAATAAGTTCTACATATAATTATACATTACAAAAAAGTACTGTAAAAAAATTTAGGGATGTTTTTTGTAAAATTAGGTTTTGTTTTTACAGTGTAAATAAGTAAGCATCGTAACCATCAAGAGAGCTAATTCAGCAAATATGATGCAGGATGGTGTTGCGCAAAGGCATGTTTTTGATCGGCGTGGAGAAAGCGAATGGGATTTTGCCATGGTGGAGCCCCCGCTGTGGCGCTCTCATGTGGTTTTCAGCTCTTTGAACCGCACCTTTCAGCTTAACTCTTAAACCTAATCCACTTGTATGCATCTCGACAGATGTGTCCGTCAGAATTTTCAGCAGTCTGAGGCTCAGAACTCCGTAGTTATCACGCCCTGCCTAGCTGAAATTCAGAAGAAAAAAAAAGAAAAGAAAAGGTAGGCCACACTGATGGCGTCTCCAGTTCACCTCCTTGCCAACCTTACGTTCCCCCTTTTTGAGGATGTCTCTTCGTCTTTTCCATCTGGTCTGAGAGGCTCAGTGCTCGGTGCACCGCCGGTCCGTTTTCTGCATGCAACCCTCCATCTGCCCCTTGACCTCTGACCCCCACCACGGCCCTCCATGTGTCCCTCTGGATGTCATGGGTCCCTGTTTCTGTGTCCCATCATGCATTTCTTAAACTCCTATACGCCTCACCTGTGTGTGTCATGAGCACAGTTGAGTGTGTGTGTGCGCGCGTATGTGTGTGTGACTGTGTGTGCATGCACGCAAATGTGTGTGTGTGTGTACGTGTGTGTGCATGCAGGCAAATGTGTGTGTGTGTGTGCATTGTGATATGATTCCCGCTTGCACATTGCGCCACCTTTCTTTGAATTAATTTTTCTTTCCATGAAAATTATGAGAAATTGTGTCTCCGCCGAGGGTGTTTTGATTGCTCACACACACACACATACACAGGTAAACGCGCTCATGTGCACCTCTTCAGGCTACAGCACAGTCACATGTCATGACGTCACTCCAGTCTGAGATGTATGGAATCGCTAAATGTGTTTCGCTCTCCTTCTTCTGCCGCTCCTTCGCTTTGTTTCTCTCCCTTTATTTGTTTGTTTGTTTGTTTTTGTCATTGCACTTCACTGTTATTTTCACTGGTGTTTCCATACTACCATTAACTCACACTGTAATTATTATTATTATTATTATTAGGCCACACTGTTATCATCATCATTATTATTATTGTTTATTCAGTAGTGTTATTGCAAAATAAATAAAATAATTAATTGTTTATGTAATCAGAATACTGATTATTATTATTATTTTATTATTATTATTATTATTAAGCCACACTGTTGTTATTTTTATTACTATTATTTAGTAGTTTCAATGCAAAATTAGTTATGAAATATTTTAAAAATTAAATAATAGCAAGTTTTAAATATTTTGAATGACATTTATAGTGGTTTAATAATGGTATTATTGTTATTATTATTATTATTATTATTATTAATGATAACAATAATAATAATAATAATAATAATGATAATAATAATAATAATAATGTTATTATAAAGGTCATACTGTTATTATTTAATATTATTCAGTAGTGTTATTGCAAAATTAATATCATAAAATAATTTATTTAAATAATAAGAAATTGTCAATGTTTTAAATGCCATTTATAATGAGGTAATAATGGTGTTATTATTATTATTATTATTAAGTCATATTGTTATTATTATTTTTCAATATTATTCAGCAGTGTCATTGCAAAATTGCTAATATAAAATATGTAATTTTATTAAATAATAAGAAATTATTAAATATCACTTTTAATGACATTTATAGTGGTTTAATAATGGTATTGCAATAGTAATATTGCACATGTTTTATTATAAAATAGTTAATTTATTAAAAAATGATATTTAATAAATGATAATTTGAATGCATTTGAATGTGATGTAAAATGCCTTTAATAAAAATTTACATTTTATTTTACTGTACAATAGGAATAAAGCAATAGTAGTAACAATATTTTCAGTAATCTAACTTGTTATCATAACCATATATATGTATATATTACAGCTTTTAAATTTATGGTATATTAATATTTATAATAATATTAATATTTAAATAAATTGTTCATTGAAACAAATTAAGTGATTAAAATCAATTAATTAAACTGTAGCTTTTTACATTAGGCTGGTGTAATAACACTCATTAGCGTTATGGTAGATTTATGTATACTAGACCTTGCAGGGCAGCCATTTTGGCTCTGATTTCATTTACAGTGTCAGTGTCATTAGCAAGACTTCCACCATTACAGTCCATTTAAATTCCATTGAAACTGAATCAGAAAAGATTTATGCAAACAATGTGAAAAATATCTCCACACTCTCATATTTTACATTGTGCTCTTTTGGTCAATGTGTTTAACGCATATTTTTCTGTATTTCTGTTTCACAACCAAGGTGAGGACTCATGTTTCATCCACTGCTGCTTCTTCTCATTGTGGTGAAACTGTGATTTTTCTTTTCTATTTCTCCTCAGAAGATCTGAAATGACCATTTGGGTTGAATGTAAGAGTGTTTGAACTGTTAGGAACGAGTCTTCAGAGCTGCTTGTCAACAATCCTTAAGAAACACTGGAGGAGTTCTAATTAAAACATGCAACCGATGTGAAAATTGGATTAAACAGTGCAGAAATAGTTCAGTCTATTATTTTATATGCGCTTAATGAAACATTTGTTTAGGCAACATAGGCTCATTTTGAAAACGTAGCCCTATATACATTTCTGGAGATTCGAATTATGTAGCCAGAATACGTATGGCTGGATTTAGTCTTTAAAACGAATGCTACGGGGAGGTATGACCGGGCGGTATGACCTCGGTGTGGACGCCTTACCCGCAGTTAGTAGTTTGACCAGTAGCTCGTATGTATGTCGGCAGATTTGAGTTGACCATCAAGTCCGATGAAGAACGGTTCCAGAAAGCAGGTAAGACAAAAACAAAAGCCAGACAATAAAACAAACAAGTAAAGAACAGAGTGAGAATGTGGTAAAATCTGAAAACGTACTAAAAATCAGCTGAGGGCTTTTCTTTTTCCGGATTGCTTTTTAGTTGGGTTTAGGGAAGACCGTGGGTGCTGGTCAATTGGTGCTTTTGAAAACACTGTCGGTTGGGTTTAGGGAAGGGGGTGGGCGGGTCAATCTGTGCTTTTGAAAACACTGTCGGTTGGGCTTAAGGAAGGTGGTGGGTGGGTCAATTGGTGCTTTTGAAAACACTATCGGTTGGGTTTGGGAAAGTGGGTGGACGCTGGTCAATCTGTGCTTTTGAAAACACTGTTGGTTGAGCTTTAAGGAATTGGGTGGGTGGGTCAATCTGTGTTTTTAAAAATACTGTCGGTTCGATTTAGGGAAGGGGGTGGGCAGGTCAGTCGGTGCTTTTGAAAACATTAATGGTTGGGTCTAGGGAACGTAGTGGGTGGGTCAATAGGTGCTTTTGAAAATACTGTCGGTTGGGTTTAGGGAAGGGGGTGGGGGGGTCAATCTGTGTTTTTGAAAACACTATCGTTGGATTTAGGGAAGGGGGTGGGCGGGTAAATTGGTGCTTTTGAAAATACTGTCGGTTGGGTTTAGGGAAGGGGGTGGGCGGGTCAATCTGTGCTTTTGAAAATACTGTCGGTTGGGTTTAGGGAAGGGGGTGGGCGGGTCAATCTGTGCTTTTGAAAATACTGTCGGTTGGGTTTAGGGAAGGGGGTGGGCGGGTCAATCTGTGCTTTTGAAAATACTGTCGGTTGGGTTTAGGGAAGGGGGTGGGCGGGTCAATCTGTGCTTTTGAAAATACTGTCGGTTGGGTTTAGGGAAGGGGGTGGGCGGGTCAATCTGTGCTTTTGAAAATACTGTCGGTTGGGTTTAGGGAAGGGGGTGGGCGGGTCAATCTGTGCTTTTGAAAATACTGTCGGTTGGGTTTAGGGAAGGGGGTGGGCGGGTCAATCTGTGCTTTTGAAAATACTGTCGGTTGGGTTTAGGGAAGGGGGTGGGCGAGTCAATCTGTGTTTTTGAAAACACTATCGTTGGATTTAGGGAAAGTGGTGGGCGGGTAAATTGGTGCTTTTGAAAATACTGTCGGTTGGGTTTAGGGAAAGGGGTGGGCGGGTCAATCTGTGCTTTTGAAAACACTGTCGGTTGGGTTTAGGAAAGGAGTAGGGTGGGACAGTCGATCGTCAGTCAACAGAGGCCTCTGGTGGATTTACATGAAAACAACAGATAAAAATGGCCCTCAAGAGAGATTTTTGAGATCTCAAAAAGTGTACAGCACAGCGGCCTTTGGTGGATTCGCGAAAACAAGAACTTTGGCGCTCTCCAGAAATGTATATAGCGGTATGTTTTCAGAATGAGCCTGGGTTGAGTTTAGCTAAGTACAAATATGTGATGCAAAATAATGTACGACATTATCATAGTACTTATTTTAAAACATCAAGTAATTTGGTATCACAATAATACTTGAAATGCATGTTTGTTTAAAAGGTGAATAAAAGTGTGATTTGTAGATGAATAAAATAATTAAAAATCTAATTAAAAATTAAAATAGGCACTGTATATTTAAATGTGAAGTTAGAATCTATAAAATTATTATTAATTTAATAATAATAAAATATCATTTTATTCTTCTCTACTGTGTAATTGCTCATGTGACCAGATTTTTAGTTGTGTTGCTTAAACAATTGTTCTGTATATATATATAGTTTTTTTTTAGGTTTATTTATTAGTTGTTTTATTCAAAAAAATTCCCACAATCTTATTTGATTTGTTAATTTATTTATGTCTGATTGTTTGAGGATTGGCAGAAATCCACAGGCATTTCTTCAGGACTGTTCGACAAGAGTGTAGAAATGCAAACGTTCAGGTTCTTCAGTGTGGTTCTCCATGCTGGAATAGTATCTCCTGCAAATGTTTGTGTGTGTGTGTGTGTGTGTGTGTGTGTGTGTGTGTTCAGCTTATGAAGAAATGTGTGTTTGACTCTTTGTGTTCTGGCAGGTATCTGGAGCGCATCGACGGCTCCTTGCAGTTCAACTCCTCCTCCTGCAAGGAACTACGGCAAGACATCACAGATGTCAAAGTATTGACCATGTAAGTTCCTGCTTCAGATCGAGCGCTCCAGTGGGACTCAAATTTCCTGATGAATGTCTCGTCCCGAAGGACAAACCCTGTAAAAGGGACATCTATTTAAGGAAATATAATGAGCACCCATTACATTCTTCACTGTAGTACAATGTGAAGTTCACTTAAGGAGACAGTTCACCCAAAAATAAAAATTCTGTCATCATTTACTTACTTTTCACTTTTGTTCTGTTAAATACAAAAGTAGATGTTTTGAAGAATGTTGAAAACCTGTAACTATTGAACTCCAGAAAAAAATTACTATGAAAGTCAATGGTTACAGATTTCTAGAATTTTTGAGTGGAGAGTAAGTAAATGATAACAGTATTTTAATTTTTGGGTGAAATATCACTTTAATGTCCCAGTGTAAATCAATATTTACTTCTTTTGTTTTTATGTGTATATAGTATAACTTGTTATAAATGATATATTTGGGATGTATATTCTTTTTTTTTTGTAAAAATTAATTTGCACTCAGAATATTCAATTAACAATAACAACCTTCTCTGCCACTCAAATCGAAATGATTATCTTCACTTATGGTCACATGTATCGCCTTTAAGGTGGAGGCAGGGCCATCAGCAATTTAGGGTGGAGCTATCAATCATTTAGGACGGGGCTATCAGTCATTTAGGATGGGGCTATCAGTCATTTAGGGTGGGGCTTTTAGTCATTTAGAATGGACTTATCAGTCATTTAGGGTGGGGCTATCAGTAAATTATGGGAGAGCTATGAGGAATTTAGAGCAGGCTAATTAGTCATTTAGGGTGGGGTAATCAGTCATTAAGGGCGGAGCTATCAGTCATTTAGGGTGGGGTGATCAGTCATTAAGCGTATCTTAAAAAATGTAAAATATAATGTATAAATGATATAAATGATATATCTGGGATGTATATTCATTTTTGCAAACAATAATTTGCATTCAGAATGTTTAATTAACTATAACAACCTTCTCTACCCCTCAAATCAAACAATTATCTTTATTTATGGTCACATGTAATGCCTTTAGGGCGGAGGCAGGGCCATCAGCAATTTAGGGTGGAGCTATTAATATTTTAGGGCGGAGCTATCAGTCATTTGGGGCAGAGTTATCAGTCATTTAGGGTGGAGCTACAAGTCATTTAGGGTGGGGCTGTCATGCATTTATGGTGGAGCTATCAGTCATTTAAGGGGGCGGGGCTATCCGTCATCTAGGGCGGAGATATCAGTCATTTAGGGCAGAGCTATCGGTCATTTAGGGCGGAGCTACCAGTCATTTAGAACAGGGGAGATAGTCATTTATGGTAGGGTAATCAGTCATCAAGGGCGGAGCTATAAATGATGGATCTGTGATGTATATTAATTTTTTTGTAAACATTAATTTGCCCTCAGATATTTAGGGCGGGGCTATCAGCCATATGGGGCAGGGCTATTAGTCATTTATGGCGGAGCTATCAGCCATTTAGGGCGAAGCTATCAGTAATTTATTCGGGGCTTTCATTCATTTAGGGCGGAGCAATCGGTCATTTAAGGCGGGGCTATTAGTCATTTAGAACAGGGTGATAAGTCATTTAGGGTAGAGTAATCAGTCATTAAGGGGGGAGCTATCAGTCATTTACTGCGGGACGATCAATCATTTACCGTGGGGCCATCAGTCATTTAAAGTGGAGCTATTAGTAATTTAGGGCGGGGCTTTCATTGATTTAGGGATTCTACGCATCTATCAGTCATTTAGAACAGGCATCGCTATTAGTCCTTAAGGGCAGGCGATTAGTCATTTAGGGCAGGGCTTTCATTAATTTGGGGCCTAGCTATTAGTCATTTAGGGCGGAGCTATCATGCATTCAGGGTGGGGCTAACTGTCATCTAGGACGGACTTATCAGATATTTTGGGCGGAGCCATCTGTCAATTAGGGTGAGCTATCAATCATTTATGGTGAGGTAATCAGTCCTTTGGGGCGGAGCTACGACTCATTTAGGGCAGAGCTAATAATCATTTAGGCCAGGGTAATCAGTTTTTTTAGGGTGGAAACCCTTTCTAAGTTGTTTGTGCAGGCTTTTATTTTACAGTAAAAAAAAAAAGTCACACAGGTGCTAATTTCACATCTGCCACATGTGTTTTAGGGTGAAGACTTCCGAGCTGTTTGAGCGATGGAGGAATCTGCAGGTGTGTAAGTGGGATCAAAATAAGGAGGAGACGGATAATTTCAAGTGAGCACACACTTTTATCTTCATCTTAATGTAATTTCTTTGGTTGCGTCTCAATCAGCACACTTGTTCTGTAGTCAGTGCACTGATCAGGTCGGCAGCCATTTTATGTCCTTGCAAATAGTAATTAATTTACAAACACCCATTCAAGTAAAATCTTACCCAGTCAAATTATTTAGCTATAATGCACTTTTAAAAACTTTGTAAAATTAATATAAGGAAATTATTAGTTCTGCTGTTGTTTAAACTCCAGGTTTGATGATGTACAATAAGGACGTTCTCATGTCACACTCAAGTGTGTATCAATGTGTAGTGAACCAAACTCATCAGTGTCCTTACCAGTGTACGAATTCTACTATAGCTAGAGCTAGGGTGCTGATCGAGACACATCCTTTGTTAAACACAAAATGTATGATGTCATCTCTTTGGATATCCAATGCGAGTGTATTGTCGTAACAAAGCGATGATGTCACCCCCCCCAACCATCCAATAGGATGTCTCTGTCCCGCTGCTGCAATGCCCCCTCCTTCCTGTTTACCACCAAGAGAAACACTCCCTCCGGCACCAAACTGCGCTATGAAGTGGACACCAGCGGGATCCTGCACATCAGCCCGGAGATCTTCAAGATGTTCCCTGATGTGAGTGAGAGCGCCGGATGCAGTGGCGTGCACAAACCACCTGTGGGGCAGGGGCAGAAGGACCAAAAAGGGCACTAAAAAAGTGGGAAAAAGTTCCTTCTGTTTTTTTTTTGTTTTTTTTTTTCATTTCTTTCGTTGGCATTTGATTAATATACATTGATAGATATACAATGCACACATCAAATAAAAAAAAGATGATGATAAGTCTGACTAAAATTTACATTTTACTACACACTCAAAAATAAAGGTAAAATCTGTCACTATATGATGGTACCTTTGGGATGCACTGCTGTACTTTTAAGGTTAACTTTTGTCACTTTAAGGTACCATGACCTACACATTTTTACTTTTGATGTATTAATATGTACCTTTAATGGTGCAGTGTGTAACTTTAACACCCAGTGGTTGAACTAGGTATTGCATTCCTGGATTAAAAACAAAGCGCAGGTTGCCAGATTGAGGACCAAAGCTAAATCGTGTACTATATAAAAGCAACGGCATGCGATAGAAGGAATATTCTCCATATTAAAGACAGTTTTTGTCCTAACCAACACCTCGAATTAATATATTAGAAACGGCTTCTATTTCTCACAGCTGAACAACAGAAATATGACAATAAACACCTCAGCTACACCTCATGTGCTTTATTCAGTTAAACGCTAATAATTTGAGATTTAATGCCGTTTTATATGACATTTATTGCCATATTACTGAAAGCAGCCGCAGATGATTCACCTCAGATCTTGAAAATAAAATAAACAGTTTGAAATTGAACTTTTGAACCAACTCAAAACCAACACATATCTGTGATTCAACATCTACATTTAATAATGTTAAAGAGTTTTCATGTGTATTAATTAAATTATAAACCTTACCGTTGCGTTGGAGTGCAGTGAGTGCACTATTCTGTGCTTCTGAATGGCTGAATTTCAATTTCTGTCATGTTGTGTCTGGTGCAAACAGCCAAATTGATTAGCTCTGCAAATCTCGTAGCATAGCGTGTTGTTTGGATATAATGTAACCTGCTCACCTAATGTTTACGCTTGTAATATTTATATTATTTGCTAATTAATTACCTTATGTGGAACGCTGAATCAGCATCTCATTTTGGAGTCTCCCACTGTCCACCGGAGGTCGAATTTCGGTGAATAAACAAGGCAAAATATAATTGGTGCCAAAATATAATTGGCTAAACTGGCAGTGGGCGAAATTCCGGCACGGAAAACACATTTTCAAAGCAAAATATCTAACTTCAGCATTGTTTTTCAGATAAACAAAAATGTTCACTTGGCATGTTTCTGATATATCTGCAAACATATTATGGTATTTTTATGCTTTAGAGTCAAAAACTGAAGAGTCAAAAACTTACATACAGCACCTTTAAGGTTCACCTTTGTAACTTTAAGTACTATGAGGTACACAATTGTACTTTTTAGGTATTAATATGTACTCTTTAGGACCTGTTAAGAACAAAAATGTACCTTTTAAAAAGGTACCGCCTCAGTGACAGATTTTGTACATTTATTTCTGATTTTCTGATAGTGTAGGACGACAAGAAATTGAAAAATTATATATATAAATATATATATATATATATATATATATATACAGTTACAGTACAGTACGCTCGGATAGCTCTATTTGTAAATAATTCATCATTATATATATATATATATATATATATATATATATATATAATAATTCATCATTATATATATATATATTCATCATTATTATATATATATATAATATAATATATATATGTCTCAGTGACAGATTTTGTACATTTATTTCTGATTTTCTGATAGTGTAGGACGACAAGAAATTGAAAAATTATATTTTCACTATTTATATATAATATATATATATATATATATATATATATATATATATATATATATATATATATATATATATATATATATATATATATATATATATACAGTTACAGTACAGTACGCTCGGATAGCTCTATTTGTAAATAATTCATCATTATATATATATATATATTCATCATTATTTTATATATATATATATATATATATATATATATATATATATATATATATATAAAATAATATATATATATATATATATACAGTTACAGTACAGTACGCTCGGATAGCTCTATTTGTAAATAATTCATCATTTAAATTGATTGGGATGGTTTGTAGTGGAGCATAGCTGAGTAAATAAGGGTGGGTTCACCCAACAATTTAAATTTACTTACTATTTACTCACTCTAAAGTGGTTTTAAACCTTTATGAGTTTTTTTCTTCTGCTGAACACTCATGAAGATATTTGGAAAAATGTTGAAAACCTGTAACCACTGACTTCCATAGTAGGAGAAACAATACATTCATTTATCAATTCATTCAGTTTCCTTCGGCTTAGTCCCTAATTGATCAGGGGTCACCACAGCAGAATGAACCGCCAACTATTCCAGCATATGTTTTACGCAGCAGATGCCCTTCCAGCTGCAACCCAGTACTAAGAAACATCCGCACACACTCATTCACACTCATACACTACGGCCAATTAAGTTTATTCACTTATAGCGCATGTGTTTGCACTGTGGGGAAAACCGGAGCTCCCTGAGGAAATCCACACCAACACGAGGAGAACATGCAAACTCCACACAGAAATGCCAACGGACCCAGCCAGGACTCGAACCAGCAACCTTCTTACTGTGAGAAGACAGTGCTAACCACCTAGCCAACATGTCACCCTGGAAAAGCAAATACAATGGAAGTCAATGGTTACAGGTTTTCAACATTTTTCAAAATATCTTTTGTGTTCAACAGAAGAAAAAAACTCAAAAAGGTTTGAAATAAGTGGCTGAATTAATGCATAACTGTGCTTTTTGGGTGAACTATCCCTTTAATCTGACATCTGCGTCTGTGTAAACACACACACAAACACACGCACACAAACACAAAGTCATTGAGTTGAGCTGAATCTCTGCACCTGCTGAATATTATGAATCCAGCACCCTCAAGTATCCGGGCTGGCGTTACTTAGCAATATCTGCAGTGATCACACCCTAGAAGCCTTATGACTGCTTCAGTTGCCAGGCAACCGTTTCTAAGCAGTCATCCCTGTAATCTCATGCCGAATGTGTTGTTCTGGCTGCAGGACATGCCGTTTTCCAAATCCCAGTTCAAGAAGTGTGCCGTCATCGGGAACGGAGGCATCATTAAGAACAGCAAGTGCGGACGAGAGATTGACGCTTCTGACTTTGTCTTCCGGTAAAATTACTGTGTGTTTATTTATGCATCATGGGAATATACTGTATGTAGAGCCGTCTGCTGAATTACATGTGAAATCTCTTTTTTTCAGATGTAATATTCCTCCAGTATCCGATTTGTACAGTCAAGATGTGGGATCTAAGACTGATCTTGTAACAATAAATCCCAGCATAATAACTGAGAGGTACACACACACACACAAACACAAACACATACACACACACACACACACACTTGTATAGCTATCTTATGGGGACTTCTTACACTCTCAGAAACAATGCTGTACCAAAGAAGGTACAAACCCTTGTCACAGGGGCAGTACCTTTTTATAGAACAGAATTGTACTTTAAGACAAAGAAACACATTTGTACCGTTGCAGTTTGTGTCATTAAGGAGATGATTTGTACCATGGGAAACCAAAACGTACCTTTGGTTTTTAAAACCTGCAGATACAATATTGTACCTTCATCAAATCTGATCCATGAAAGTACCACTACAGTGACAAGACACTTTGTACCTTACAGTGTCAAATGTGTTCCTTCAAGAACTATTTAAAGGCATTTTGCTTTATCCGAAATTTAGTTTCAGTCAGGGCCGGAGTGGGACTCCATTTCAGCCCTGGAGTTTCAAGCCTTAGACCGGCCCACCTCAGTTCACAATGACTAACTATTTTAAAATAACGTCACTCTCTACTATATATATGTATATATATATTCAGCTAAAGTCAGAATTAATAACCCCCCTTTGAATTTTTTTTTTCTATTTTTAATATTTCCCAATTGATGTTTAACAGAGCAAGGAAATTTTCACAGTATGTCTGATAATATTTTTTCTTCTGGAGAAAGTCTTATTTGTTTTATTTCTGCTAGAATAAAAGCAGTTTTTAATTTTTTAATAACCATTTTAAAGACAAAATTATTATTCCCTTTTAACTATTTTTTTTTCAGATAGTCTACTGAACAAACCATCATTAACTTGCCTAATTACCCTAACCTGCCTAGTTAACCTAATTAACCTAGTTAAGCCTTTAAATGTTACTTTAAGCTGTATAGAAGTATCTTGAAGAATATCTAGTCAAATATAATTTACTGTCATCATGGCAAAGATAAAATAAATCAGTAATTAGAGATGAATTATTAAAACTATTAAGTTTAGAAATGCGTTAAAGAAACCTTCTCTTCGTTAAACAAAAATTGTGGAAAAAATTTAGTATATAAATGTAAAATAATTAATTTAATGTAAATATATAAATAATTTAGGAGGCTAATAATTCTGACTTCAAAAATAAATAAATCAAAATAAACTGTGCATTTAACAATCAACATTTTAGGACAAAACTGTAATAATATATAATAAAAATCAGTATATTTATTTATGGCGAAGCAGTGGCGCAGTAGGTAGTGCTGTCGCCTCACAGCAAGAAGGTCGCTGGTTCGAGCCTCGACGTTTCTGTGTGGAGTTTGCATGTTCTCCCTGTGTTTGCGTGGGTTTCCTCCGGTTGCTCCGGTTTCCCCCACAGTTCAAAGACATGCGGTACAGGTGAATTGGGTAGGCTAAATTGTCCGTAGTGTATGAGTGTGTGTGTGAATGTGTGTGTGGATGTTTCCCAGAGATGGGTTGCGGCTGGAAGGGCATCCGTTGCATAAAAACTTGCTGGATAAGTTGGCGGTTTATTCTGCTGTGGCGACCCCGGAATAATAAAGGGACTAAGCCGACAAGACAATGAATGAATGAATATGTATTTTTACTTTATATTCTCTCTCTCTCTCTTTCTCTCTCTCTCTTTCTCTTTCTCATAATACAAAATACTTATTTTAAAAACATCAAAAATAAAACAATATTTGTTCTACAGAATTCTAGGTCAAGGTGCTTGGAATCAGATTACATGTGTGAATCCTATCCAGTAAACTAGACATATACAACATACATGACATATACAACAGTATTTACAAAGAAACCACAGTGTGGTGTTGTTTTAGTGCTAATTCCTCCCAAAAAAGTTGGAATGAGAAACATTAAAACTGCTAATAAAAATAAATAAAGTCAAACCAAGCATGAACTGACTAACAGCAGCAGTGGTTGACATGTGAAGTTTATTTATAAACAAATTTCGAGAGGATCACGTGCTTATGATTGTTCACAGCTGTTCCAACTTTAGCTAATGACTGATTATCCTATCAGACGATCCTTAACTGACTATAAATAACCAGACTTTTCTCATGTCAATATCTTCGTCTTGAAGAAACCCCCCCACCCACACCTACTTTCCCTCCTTTCAAACGGGCGTCAAGGTGGCCAGCGATTAGCGCTGTTGCCTCACAGCAAGAATGCCCCTGGTTTAATTCCTTTCCAAACTATTTCTGTGTGGAGTTTTGCTCGTTCTCCCTGTGATCGCGCGGGTTTTCCCCGGGTCCTCCGGTTTCCTCCCACAGTTCAAAACAAGCACCCTAAACAATTAATCCAAAATATTTTTGCCAAACTCTGAGTACACCTTCTCAGCATCCATATCTGACACTTAGCTACAATAAGTCTTAGGGGGAGTCATCGAGATCTGCCTAAGCTCAAACTCCCCTCTCGCCTTGCAACGGGAGGGAGCCCAGGACTCGAGGATTTTATAAGCTCAGGACTCTCTCCAGGGACAGCACGCCAAACTAGCTTTAATATCAATCATCAGCTAAGTGTGAACTCTTGAAATGTCTAAAATGGAGAAGGTCTTAATCTTTAAGTATTCAGGCAGTGTACTTTGAAGAACGGCTAACGCTGCTTGATCACTCAACTTTGACATAAGGGCAAGTGTTAAATGTTAATGCTAATCTTTAGCCTTACTAACTTTAAACACCTCGTCTTTCTCCTGTACACGCTTCTTGGCCTGATTCATTAAATCACTCTCTCTCACTCTCTTTTTCCACCAGGTTTCAAAAGCTGGAGAAATGGAGGAAGCCATTTTACGAGGTCCTGCAGAATTACGAGAACTCCTCTGTGGTTTTGCCGGCGTTTTACAACACGCGCAACACAGACGTGTCGTTCCGCGTGAAATACATGCTGGATGACTTTGAGTCATCACGCGGCGTCTTCTTCTTCCACCCGCAGTACCTGCTGAACGTGCAGCGATTCTGGGCTGTGCAGGGCGTCCGCGCCAAACGCCTGAGCAGCGGCCTGATGCTGGTCACCGCTGCCATGGAGCTCTGCGAAGAAGTGCATCTCTACGGCTTCTGGGCGTTTCCCATGAACCCCTCCGGCATCTTCATAACACACCATTATTACGACAACGTCAAGCCGCGGCCAGGGTTCCACGCCATGCCCTACGAGATCTTCAACTTCATGCACATGCACGCTCGCGGCATCGTGCACGTGCATACGGGCCCCTGCAGGTGAAATGGCCTTTGTGCAATCCAATTGGTCCATTTTTCGTGGAGCTCCGCCCATTTGCAGGCGCTATGGAACTCAGACTTCATGCGTGCGCTAGTCGCAGGTGCTTTATTACTGCGTGTTTTTACAATAACGTCTCGGGACGGCAAATGCTACGTGTTTCCTGTTTGGTGATTTCCTGTGGTGTCGTGTTTGTGTGTCTGAGCAGATATCACATTTCTAAATGCTAGGGTGGGACAGCAGCAAATGAGGACGTTTTATAGCTACACTTTGTATTTCGGCAGAGTAGCCCCGCCCTTGGTGGAATCTCATTGGTCTAAAGCAGTGTTTCTCAACCATGTTCCTGGAAGACCACCAACACTGCATGTTTTGGATGTCTACTTTGTCTGTCACACCCATCACCGGTCTTTCAGTCTCTGCTAATGAGCTGATGATCTGAATCAGGTGTGTTTAGTTAAGGAGACATGGGAAATGTGCAGAGGTGGTGATCCTCCAGAAACGTGGTTGAGAAACACTGCTGTAAAGTCTAGTACACTTAAAGGGATAATTCACCCAACAATCCTTTACTTGTTTCAATACCTTCATGAGTTTTAAGATATTTTGAAGAATGCTGAAAACCGGTAACCATCGACTTCCATATAATATTTGTAGTATTTCCTACTATGCACTGTAAAAAATCCTGCTGCATTCAATTTTTGAGTTGAATTGAATGAACTTTTTTAGTCTTCTCAATCAAACTGGCTAAAAAATATTAAGTTAAACATTGTATAACTTTAAAAAAACAGTTAAACCCTGATTAACTTATTGAAATAAGGCAACATAAAAATATTTGTTGTCTGGACTTTGTCACAATCACCAGTGATCTAGTCCACACAGATCACTTGAGAACTACAAATCTGCCCGCAAAAGAACTACAGATCCCATCTTACCTGTTCACACACACCAGTTGCAGTTCACCCGCTAATTGCGCACACACAGGTGGAAACTGATCAAGAACTCGGTTTCCCCCACAATCCAAAGTCATGTGGTACAGTTGAATTAAATAAGCTAAATCGGCCGTAGTATATGTGAGTGTGCAAGAGTGCGTGGGGGTTTCCCAGTGTTGGGTTGCAGCTGGAAGGGCAACCGCTGCGTAAAACACATGCTGGATAAGTTGGCGGTTCATTCCGCTGTGGCGACCCCTGATTAATAAAGGGACTAAGCCAAAATGAATGAATGAATCTACATTTTGGAGAAATTGAATTTATGCAAAAGAAAATAAAAGCAAATTTAAAATATTTAAAGACTTTCGATATACTGTTTAAAGGTTTTCAGCATTCTTCAAAGTATCTTCTTTTGTGTTCAACAGAAAAAAAAGAAACTCATTAAGGTTTAAAACCTCTGGAGAGAGTAAGTTAATAGTAAGCAAATTTAGATTTTTGGGTGAACTAACCCTTTAATGGATTGCATTAGTGCCTGCCCACTTTTTCTAAGTATTTTATTTCATTTTATCATTTTAAAGAGTCTTTGCTATAGGCAGTCTAAGCCATAAACCAAACCAAGCAGCTACACAACATTACCAAATTTAATTAGAATCATTCATTTAATTATCAGTAGATGGAAATCAGACAAAGGTGCAAAACTGTGAATTTAAGAGCTACAATCCCACGGAGCATTCCCAATGGTGCACCCAAATTAAGCATGACGGAGAAATGAATAACGTATGCATCGTGGTCTTAAGTGGGCGGAGCTAAAGGTCTCGGCATGCTTTGCTGGAACTCTCTGATTGGTGAGTTTTTCTGTACAGCATCGGTAATGTAGACTTTCTGCACGAAATCCACTATTAAACATGATTGTTTTTTAAAAATACATTAATGCATTTCCACCAAACGAAATACGACTGATTAAAAACAGAATCGTGCTCTATTGTATAATAAACATCAAGTATATTCAAACAGGCTTTGATTGTGTTGCATTTGGTTAAGACACATTACGAGCCTCTTTTTAACAGTCCTAAGGTGTTTTAATGTTCATCAATAACCACATCAGTGCATTAAAGTAGACTCTTTCAGTTCTAATGGTAAATATATGGTATACAACGGCTTGTATACGTTTTAATGCTCTGTATGATTAATTACAAGGGATGTGAAACTTTGTGTAATCAAATACAACACAATTGTTTATGTTGAGAAATGTTTTTACAGTCTTTTTCTGTCTCACACACATGCAATCTGTGAGGTTTTAGTGTGTTTAAATAAACTGATCATGTTTGTAATGCTGATCTTTATATACTTCGTTTTCGGGTTGCTTGTATATGATATTGTGATAACAACCTGACCTTATCACTTTAACAAGAAATCAAATTTTAATATTCATTGAAATTCCTGATTTCATGATACTTGAAGACATCTATCTATCTATCTATCTATCTATCTATCTATCTATCTATCTATCTATCTATCTATCTATCTATCTATCTATCTATCTATCTATCTATCTATCTATCTATCTATCTATCTATCTATCTATCTATCCATCCATCCATCCATCCATCCATCCATCCATCCATCCATCCATCCATCTATGCTGTAAAAATATCAGTTGATTTACAGTTTCTGTATTTAGTTTTCCAGTTATTTGCGTTTAATAATGCATAATGGGAGCTTGATCTCTGCTCTGTTAGCTTTTAATGTTGAAATTTCATTTCTGCAGTTTAACAAAGTGACTTTTATTGACATTTTGTGTAGTTCTAAACAATACATTGCATAAGAAATGATATACACTCACCGGCCACTTTATTAGGTACACCTGTCCAACTGCTTTTTAACGCAAATTTCTAATCAGCCAATCACATGTTAGCAACTATATGCATTTAGTCATGTAGACATGGTCAAGACGGTCTGCTGCAGTTCAAACTGAGCATCAGAATGGGGAAGAAAGTTGATTTAAGTGACTTTGAACATGCTGATCTACTGGGATGAACTGCTGATCTACTGGGATTTTCACGCACAACCATCTCTAGGATTTACAGAGAATGGTCTAAAAAAGAGGAAATATCCAGTGAGCGGCAGTTCTGTGGGCGCAAATGCCTTGTTGATGCCAGAGGTCAGAGGAGAATGGCCAGACTGGTTCCAGCTGATAGAAAGGCAACTGTAACTCAAATAAGCACTTGTTACAACTAAGATATGCAAAAGAGCATTTCTGAACACACAACACATCCAACCTTGAGGCGGGTGGGCTACAGCAGCAGAAGAACACACCGGGTGCCACTCCTGTCAGCTAAGAACAGGAAACTGAGGCTACAATTCACACAGGCTCACCAAAATTGGACAATAGAAGACTGAAGAAACGTTGCTGCTCTGATGAGACTCAATTTCTGCTGCGACATTCAGATGTAAGGGTCAGAATTAAGCGTAAAAAAAACAAGAAAACATGGATCCACCCTGCCTTGTTGAATCTATGCCATGAAGGATTAAAGCAGTTTCTCAGGCAAAAAGAGGGTCCAACTATAAAGTGGCCGGCGAGTGTATATAGAAATAAGTCTGTTAAATTAACATTTAAAGGTACTGGTAGTTTATTGCCAGGTAATACTACACTACATAAAGACAATATATTCTTTGAAACTGTGGGAATATAAATTTATATTATCTATATATAATTGAAAAGTTGTTTTGAGGATGTGACTGACCTTAAAATGTCTTGGTTTCCTGATGGTGTCCAAAGTAATGCAAATTATCAGTTTCACAGCACGGCTGTATCTATTGTCTTCTTTATCTCCAGAACATCATTTGCACACTGTTTTAATGCTAAAATGTATCGTGAATGGGTGCTTGTATGCTGATGAGATCAGGCCTGAAAAGGCATGTTACCCTGCCGACAACAACACTTCATTTGCATGCCTTATCCCCACCATGACTGTCCCCACCTACATATATCAGATGTATTTAAACTGAGTGTCTGTTGGACTAATTGAGAGTTTCTTTCGATGCGACACAGCCACGCTGAGTTCTTCTTATTAAAAGGATTCTGCTTTGAAGATACTGAAAGTTCTCCCTGGTTTTTGGGCTCGTCTTAGAATTTCACAACAGTTTGGTGCCGTGACCAGGGCCGGAGCAAGCTGAACTGCCCCTCTAGGCAAAGGACGGTCGCGCCGCCCTCAACCCTAAAGTGTAAGCACGGGGTATTATACCTCACGCGGATATAGGGCGTGGGTGGTGAGGGTAGTGTCAGGGACGCCGCCCTCTCTATTCGGCCACCCTACGCGGATATAGGGCGCGGGTGATGAGGGTAGTATCGGGGACGCCCCCCTCTATTCTGCCTAGGTCGCCTCTATGGACGTGCCGGCCTTGGCCGTGACCCAGAAAATCTCAATAAAAGCCACTTTTTTTCAAACTTTTTATCATCAAATGTTGTTATAAGAAAGGTCAAGGTCCCATAATGCAATTCAAAAGCATAAACAAACATTAATAATTAAAATAAAAATCTGCAAATACAGAAAACTGCTAATACATTGATTATTTTTACAGACATTGCAAAAAATATTTTTCTTACTTAGATTTTTTTTGTCTTGTTTCTAGTCCAAATATCTAAAATTCCTTAATCATAAAAAATTTCTAGACAAAAACAACATTTATTGTCTTGTTTTAAGAAATAATGTCAAAATTAAGTGTTTTTTTTTATTATTATTTTTTAAACAAGCTAAATAATCTGCCAATGGGGTCAGCAAAATAATCCCCTGTCAAAAGGAAAAACAAGATTATTTTACTTACTGCATTGGCAGATTATTTAGCTTGTTTTTTTTAAAGGAAAAACTCACTTGATTTTGACAAGTTATTTCTTAAAACAAGATATTATGTTGTTCTTGTCTAGAAAATGCTTCTTGATTTAAGATTTTTTAGCTATTTGGACTAGAAACAAGACAAAAAAATCTACGTAAGAATATTTTTTGCAGTGTATAAATGTATCTGCATATTCATTTCTTTAACTGCACAACAATATCTGATACACAACTTATTCTGTTTTTACTTGATAAATCATGTTGTTTTTTTAAATCATGCATTGTTTTGCCATTGACTAATCTATCATTGTTTTGTTAACACAAATGTACAGTTATTTGTCAAGCCAATAAAGCACACCGATCTGCTTCTCTCTTTATAGTGAGTTCTGTGGTGTTTTTATATTCATGAAAGTGTGACAAACACACAGACGGGATCTCTCCCTTTATGTAGCACTGTCTAGATATCCAGCCAGGACTGGTGTCGGATGTTGAGCCAATGGTAAATAATTGATCAGTTTCAGAGGTTAATCAGTGTTAATCAGACGGACATAGTTTGATTTCTCCAGAGTTTTCCTTTATTTGTGCGCAAACACACACACACACACACACACACACACACACACACACACACACACACACACACACACACGTTTTGCAGAAGTTTAACTCTGTTTAAATTAGAGAAACTAAATATAATCCTTCCTGTGATTGAGGATCTAAATAACATCCCACATGGAAATAACCTATATGAGGATATATGCGCATATACGAAACCTTTTTTTTGCACATATATGCTGCATATATGCATATATTTGCCACATATAGACAAAATTGAGGTGCATATATAGACCAAATGTACAAACAGCGGAAGTCAGAATTATTAGCCCCCTTTGAATTTTTTAATTTTTTTAATATTTATTTTAAATTATATTTAACAGAGCAGGAAAAATTTTACAGTATGTCTGATAATATTTTTTCTTCTGGAGAAAGTATTATTTGTTTTATTTCAGCAAGAATAAAAGCAGTTTTTAATTTTTTAAACACCATTTTAAGGACAAAATTATTAGCCTAATTATTTTTTTTTTCGATTGTCTACAGAACAAACCATCGTTATACAATAACTTGCCTAATTACCCCAACCTGCCTTGTTAACCTAATAACCCAGTTAAGCCTTTAAATGTCACTTTAAGCTGTATAGAAGTGTCTTGAAGAATATCAAGTCAAATATTATTTACTGTCATCAGGGCAAAAATAAAATAAATCAGTTATTAGAAATGAGTTATTAATATTTTATGCTTAGAAATGTATTGTAAAAATCTTCTCTTTGTTAAACAGAAAACCGGGGAAAAAATAAACAGGGGGTAGTAATTCAGGGGGGCTAATAATTCTGACTTCAACTGTATGCAGAAAAACGGCCAATTTTATATGTCACATATGTTGAAATATGTGTTTACATAGATTCTTTCAGTGTGGGAAAAAATAATATAATAAAAAATTATAATATCATAAAATGTCACAAAATAATATCATAATCAGCATCTTATCATTTTCTGATGTAATTTTATAACCTCAAAGAGCTTGGTTTTTTCTAAAAGTTTGGTATGATTTGCTCAAATGTTTTATTGGATTCTGGAAATTCCCCTAGTAGCAAAGAATTCTGGCCCAGATTTGGCATAAAGCTGGCACAGCAGGCATTCATCCGGCACTGGCATACAGCATGTGGGCCAAACATGGCCCGGGTTTGGCAGAGGTGGCACCGTTTTTAAGGCGGCACACAAGATTTGGGCCAGATGTAAAATGTAGTATTTGGCCCAGATTTAAAAATTTGATAAGTGGGCCATGTGAGTTTGGCCAGTCTGGACCCACATTTAAAATACACTAAAATCATTTTTGAGTAAAGGAAAAAAATTCTACCAATCAGGTCACTTTGAGAAAAAGCGTGCCCATAGTGTGCCTAAAGCGCATCACTCTATGGGTTTATCAATTTCATTGCATCCGTGACACACCAACCCATCTGGCCCAGTTCAGGCCCAGTTATGAGTTATTAACTTGGCTGAGACTTGGCCCAGATATGGTCCGTGTTTGGCCCTTGTCTGGAAGCCAGATTTGGTCCAGTCATGTACCGTAATTCACTGCGGCATGTGGGCCAAGCAAAACCTGATTGTGTGGGCCAGAGCTGGGCCAGAGAAATTTTGCTATGTGGGTCACAAACTGAATATATGAATATATTTCTATATATATAGATATTCTATATATGAGTGCTAATTTGGTCTTATTATGGTATTATTTGTTCAATAATAAATAGCTTTATTAAAATTAACACAAAAATATCAGAATAATATTGAAATGCAGTTAAATAAAATGCTACACTAATGAACACCAAATGTATACAAATTTTATTCATAATAAAGAAATTTAATAGTTCTATTTAGGGGAAAAGAGGAAACTACCTCCACTCAGAAATCCCCAGTAAACTTACATTTCAACATTTATTACACAGAACTGACAAGTAACACACTTTGTTTAGTATATAATCTTTAATCTCAGTCGTTATTTCACTCAATCACAATCAGATGATTCAAAGAACCGATTCACTCAACGAATCATCAGGTGAGTGATTCTTTTATTCAATAAACACTTGATCCGTTTAACAAAGAGGACTGGACACTCGCTGACAACTGGGTCAGATGTACGTATATAAGCTGGTCAGCTGACCTGTTTGTTGTCTCTACAACAGACTGTTTAGTGGAGAGTGAATTATTTAACATATGCCGTGTGTGTTCTTGTCATGTGTGTGTTCGCCCTATGCTCGCTTTATGACCGGTTTTATCACCCCCTGCTGGTCACGATAGTGTGCAGGACTACAGAATCTGCCCACAAGATGTCTCTGCACGTGCAAATTCAAAGAAAGAGACAATAAGGTGTGTTTTCTGAAATGAAGAGGTGTTTTTTAGGTGTGGTAAATTATCTAAACTTGATTTTTCGACTTACAAAGATCCTAAAACAAACACAACAACACAATCCTTGATAAGGTAATTTGTGTCTAAATGTATTTTATAATTTATAATTTATCTAATAGTCCTTTATATATAGGTAATAATGTGTTTTTTGTGTTGGGTTAGGTTAATTTTCCGATGTACAAAGATGCTAAAACAAACACGACAGAATCTTTCAGGTAATTGTTTGCGCCTAATTGTCTTAATAATCTAATAGTCATTTAAATATGTTATTTTATATAAATAAGAGTGCTTTTGAGGTAAATTAATTTAATTACAATTAAAATTAAAGACAATTGTCTGTGGACTTGGAATTTCCGATGTAGGCTGCATGATCCTAAAACAAACAACAACACAATCCTTCATGAGGTAGGCCTAATTTGTTTGCGTCTTGTCTTATTAATCTAATAGTCATTTAAATATATGAAATAATGTGTTTTTTAATGTAAATAGGAGATTTTATTGAGATAAATTATCTGGACTTGATATTTCTGACATACAAAAATCCTAAAACAACAACACAATTCTTGATGAGGCTATTTTGCGTCTAATTGCATTTTATTCATCGAGCATGACTCACTTTAAATATAAGAAAAGGGGAAAGAAAAAAATTAAAGTGTGTATCCAAGAGATAGCATAGTTTACAAGAGCTTTTGTAAGTCAGTATGTGTGTATGATCCGGTGTTTATCAGATGATAGCTGTATCAGGTGTTCGTAATAAAGCTAATGGCAGGAGGAAGAATTAGCATGTGGCTTCGAGAGAATTTCACTTCAGTGACACTTCAGAACACGTCAGTGAACAAAGCAAAATCCATATACACAATAATGCAATCTACAGGGTTTAGCCTTAGTGTCTAGTGTGTAGTTAGTGTTACACAGGCCTACTATTTATTTCAGACACACACACACAACCAAAGTATTACATTGAGGTGGTTAATGAGGAGGACATGTCATGTGCTAAAAAGTATGGGGTGCCTTTTGTGACAGAAATGTGGCAAAAATTGCATCCTATAAAAATATTTAACTAGGTCTTGTCATGTTCTACATTTTGTAGTTGGGTTTAGGGTAAAGCGATAAGAGGTTTTATAGTATATAATTAGTGAATTTATTTTTTTTTCAAAATAAAAGTTTGTTTTGGCATAATATATGGTGTATATAAATATGTGTACTGTGTATATGTGTATATATAAATATGCACATGTATGCTTATATTTGAGAATATATACATACATACATACATACATATATATATATATACACACACACGCACACACACACACACACACACACATATATATATATATAAATATACACACACACACACACATATATATATATATATATATATATATATATATATATATATATATATATACAAAAATATAAATAAATTTAAATGTAACAAATTAGTTTTTTGTTTTTATGTATGTGTGTGTATTAAATATACATAATAAATATAACACACATACACTCTATATATTAATAATAATAATATATATTAATACTTTTTCACTATTTTAAAATATATTATGTCAACGTATAACACCATAAACCACCAAAATGTGTGGGTGTGATTTTTCCATGTGGAAATAAATAAATAAATAAAAATGCAAGATGCTAAATTTTGAAGAATGCTTTTTACTGGCACTTATACACTTCCATAGTAGGAAAATAAATCACTGTGGAAGTCAATAAGTGCCAGCGATCAGCATTTTTCAAATTTTCCCACAAAAGAAAGTAACTTCTTCAGGTTTCAAGCAAGCGAAGAATGATGAATTTTAAGATTTGGGTGAACTGTCCCTTTAAGTGCATAGAAAATTCCAGGCCACATCAGTTTTTCTTTGCAATATATACTTTAAAGTTACATACAACTTTCCACAACGTGGTCAATATTATAAGAACGTGGTCAATATTATAAGAATTTTCATTGTTTAATTTAATTCAGTTCAATTTAAGCTCATTTGTAAGGTGCTTATCACAACAATTGTTGATCCAAAACTGCTTTACAGAAGCTGTAAAGTAATATCAACGCAGAAAGTGTACAAATCTGTCCTCACAAGCTGCACTTTTTCTTCATTGTCCCGTATGTGCACACACACAAGTGCAGTAGACATCTTCCCCTTTAGAGTTTTCAGCCAGACAGCAATTTGCCTAAATTAGGAGCCCGATCGTCTTTATTGCCTAGCTTGGGTAAAGCATGTTAAATAGTTTGACCAAGTTAATCCAGTGACACTAACTTATTTATTTGTGTTAATGAAATCACTGTTAATTATTTAAAGGTGTTAGTGAAGCGTCTTTAATTATCTGTTCAGTAAGACTCTCTCTCTCTCTTCTGGTGGATCTTCTTTCTCTCTATCTCTCTCTCTGTCTATCTCTTATCATAGTCTTACTTTTATTCTTCTTTATCTGTGAGTTTGTTTTGTAAATTCAAACAATATGCCTAAATGAACTCTTTTATTTCTTCGAAGATGCTTTTTAAATATATTTTATAAACATATAGCATATATAAGTTAGTGTATGCATATAAATGCTTTAGTAAAGCGATCCAGAGACTATGAATAATGAACGTATCGAGGCCCTGCCCCTTCTCCCTCGCTGTCCTCTCCGTTTTCAATTTGCTTTCTCTCACAGATCATGTGACCACTCTGAGGCTAGTAATTATTCATGAGCTCTGCGCTGCGCCACAGGACCTGCGCGAAGGAGCCCCTAGCTCCAAGCTGAGGCCCTGCTCCAGCTGCACGCAGGGGCCCATCGGACGGCGCTGGTCAGACGGCGACACCTTACACCGCAGACGGCGAGGAAACCCTCACCCTCACCCTGTGGATGAATAAAAGATGCCCACAAAAGAGAAAAAAACAACAGAAACCGAAGAAAGGGATGACGAAGGAGAGGAGAAAGAGCCAACGGCGAAAGGAAAGAGCAAGAGACAGAAGAGCGCAGAGGATACCAGCAAGACACTCGCGGAGAAAAAGAAAAGACAATCAGTGAAAGAGAAAAAGAAAAAGAAGAAAAAGGAAGATGCTGAGGTGACAGAGATCGATAATGGGACGGATGAACAGAACAACAATGAGCCCATCAGCAAAGAGAAATCCTCAAACGAGGACGAAAAACAGGTGAAGAAAGAGAAGAAGAAGAAGAGCAAAACAGCAGAAGGGCCAGAAGACATGGGCTCCAAGGAGAAAAAGAGCAAAGACGGCAAGAAAAAGAAGAAGTCAGCTGAGGAAGAGGAGGACGAGGACGCCGTGCAGGAGGAGGAAGAGGAAGAGGAAGAGGAGGACAAGAAGAAGAAGAAGAAGAAGAAGGATAAAAAGAAGAAGAAAGGCTCGGACAGCGACGAAGACAAGAAAGCCAAGAAGAAAAAGTCTAAGGTCAAGCAGGTGGATTTTGCAGAACTCTATCAGGAGGAGCTGATCAACTATCACACCGAGGAATCAGACGATCAGGAAGATGAATACAACAAAAAGAAAGGTAGAGGAGGATTGGCCTCTGGTTTTTATCTTTTTTTTTGTTGTTTAAAGAGATCCAAAAAAATGTAAATGTACTCACCCTTAAGTGGCTATAAATCTTTAAGAGTTTCTTTCCTCTGTTAAACACTAAAGAAGATGTTTTGAAGAATGCTGAAAACCTGAAATCATTGACTTCCATAGTGGGTAAAACAAACACTATTTAAGTCACTGGTTATAACTTTTTTTTAAAATATCTTCTTTTGTGTTCAACAGAAGAAATAAACTCAAACAGGTTTGCAACAAGCAAAAGCGGAGTAAAAGATAACAGAATTTCATTTTTGGGTGAACTAACCCTTTAAGTCCTTTCAATGACACTGCAAGTGTGTAAAAAGACAGTGCAAAAGAATAACAAAGATGCGACAGACAAGTTACACGTTAAGTTAAACATAAAATTGTGGAATTGGAAGTCTTATTTCTTGAAAAAAATAAATAAATTTGGTTTGTTTGTAACTTTAAAAAGTAGCTGCATAGATGAAGCATTTCCATAGCATTTAGTTAAAATCTGATGCTTTTATTCATTTAAAGGAACATTTTGCTCCAAAAATTTGTTTCAGTGATTATTTTATGACCCTCCTGTTCTTCCAACTGGCTGTAATATTGTGATATAAAATGTGTAATGGGGGGTGTAGGGTAACGAAAGATGGGGGCTTGTTTGGGTGGTTGTTGGGCCTCCTAATAGTAACTCTTTGATCCCCAAAAGTGTGTGGCCCTTAGAATCATCCTAACTCCACAAGAACCACAATATATGAAAAAAAATGCTAATGTACGCATATATTTTACAATGCATTACAGTCTTTCTACTTCAAACTCTTTCAAATTCAGAATGTTTAATCCACCTGCCTTTTAAAAAATATTTTACTATAATTTTGGAGGGAAAATTACTACCCCATTTTTTTACAACATAGGCTCATTCTAGAAAACGTCCCCCTATATACATTTTTAGAGATCACGAATGATGTAGCCAGAAGTACTGGCTGCATTTTGTCTTTTAAAGCTGCCCGCTTACCTCCTTGTGGACGGCTTTTCTGATGTTCTCAGTTTGTCCAGTGGCTCGCCGCATACATCGGCAGATTTAAAACAAAAAAGCAAAGCTGATCGTAACAATGGGGTTCAAGTCCAGTGAAGCCAAAAAATAAAATAAGCAAAATAAATAACAGGATGAGAATGTGGTAAAATCTGAAAAAATTGTAAAAATCAGCTGCGGGCGTTTCTTGTTCTGGAAGTGCGTGGTCTCTGGTATATCGGTGCTTTTTCAAAATTTTTTGGGAATGGTTTAGGGAAGTGGGTGGTCGTTGGTCTATCTGTGCTTTTTAAAAACTATCGGTTGGGTTTGAGTGCCACGATTACCAGCGATCGTCTTTCATAAGATCGCTGGATTTCACTAACTATAACCATGGACTACAAATCCGCCATTTATGGACTACATTTTCATACATGCACTCTGGTCACACTCGCACATGCTTCCTCACCTAGATTGATTACTCGCACCACATGAGGATTGTCAGAGACTGATTGCACACAGTATTTAAGCCACACACTCACCTATTCACTTTGCCGAGTCTTATTTACTGTAAGTAGCACTACAACGCGTTTCCTAGTCTTGTTATCCTGTGTACCGACCTTAGCCTTGTTAGCATCCTTGTCTTTGTCTGCCGCCTGCCTTTTGACCTTTCGCCTGTTACTGATTACGATTCTGGACTGCCTTCACATACCCAACCTGTATTGACCATTGCTTGCCTGACGACGAATAAACCTGCATTGTGGATCTTACCTCAGTTGTATGTGTCGCTCCCCGTCGTTACATTGAGAAAGTTTGTGGACGCTGGTCAATTGGTGTTTTTTTTAAAAACTATCGGTTGGGTTTAAGAAAGGGGGTGAGGGGCGTTATCGGTTGGTCCACGGTCAGTTAGTCCAGGGGTTCCCAAACTTTTCAGGCCGCGACCCCATAAATAATCATATCAGTGGCTCGCGACCCCCATTTTTCAAGGTGGTTGTACTGTAAATATGTAAACGTTGCAGACACAACTATAGGCAAATATAAACATGAGCTTATTGACAACACAAAAATGCAATAGTCTATTAGCCATATAATGTTTTTTTAAAGTAATTTATGGATTTAATTACATTTTGCTTTTAAAGGCTGATGACTGATTGTTATTTTTATGTTGCTGTTACTTTAATGCAACTATTAACTATATTCTGTCGGTTATGAATAAAATATGGTAATTCTAATAGTTTAATAAAATTTATTTGAGTTTTGGATATCACCAAGCGACCCCTTGTCATTGTCCCGCGACCCCCCAGGGGGTCCCGACCCCCACTTTGAGAACCACTGAGTTAGTCAGTCGACAATGGCCTCTGGTGGATTTACGCGAGAACAGCAGGCGTGAATGGCACTTGCAAGAGAAATGTGAGAGCTCAAAAAGCGTACACAGCGGCCTCTGGTAAATTTTCTGAAAACAAAAATTGCAAAAAAACGTATCTCCTTGGACAAATTTGGCACTCTCCAGAAATGTATACAGGGGTACGTAATCAGAATGAGCCTGGGTTGCTTTTTTAAAAGTATAAAATCCTCTGAAGACTCTGATGAAGAAGAGTATCATTGATCATCTCTTGGCAAGTATCTTATTTAAAAATATATAACTTCAGAAGACTAAATACACAAGGTTGTGTTGTACAGCCCCTTTTTTCATGTAAGAACCAAGAAAAACATGAATTGTCCTCCATAACCTTTTTCCATACCGTTTGCTCATTCACAAGGGCAAAAACACCACAGAATTGCTATTTGTTGATTATTTATCCTCTTAAATTAGCAGATTAAATTTGACGACTTTGGTTAAGTAGAGCACTCGACCCACTGTCAAACTGTCTGCCTCTCCGGAGATGAGCTGTCTCTTTCTCTTTCTCTGCGTTTGTCTTTCTCTTTCTCTGCTTTCAGTCAGGCACCCCCGTCCTCTCGGTTTCTCACAGGTTGGATTTCTTTTAACCCTAGAACTTCTCCTAATTGATTACTTGAATGTCAGCGATTGAGCAGTGCAAACAGAAATAGAAGAGAGAAGAATAAAAGGATTCTTAATTGATTATACAATCAATATGGGGGAATATTAGGGAATTTATTAGCTATTTATGCTGTAATAACTTATGATGGAATTTGTTATTAGCCACATATGCTGTAAAAATATCTGTTCATTTATATTATGGAGTTTATTAGCTATATAGGCTGTAAAAATACCTGTCAATTTATATTATGGAACTTTTTATTAGCTATATACAGTTGAAGTCAGAATTATTAGCCCCCCTGTTTATTTTTAACACCAAAGTCTGTTTAATGAAGAGAAAACTCATCTCTAATAACTGATTTATTTTATCTTTGTCATGATGACAGTAATTAATATTTAACTAGATATTTTTTAAGACACTTCTATACAGCTTAAAGTGACATTTAAAGGATTAACTAGGTTAATTAGGGTAACTAGGTTAGGGTAATTTGGTAAGTTATTGTATAATGATGGTTTGTTCTGTAGACTATCTGGAAAAAATTAGCTTAAAAGGGCTAAAAGTTTTGACCCCAAAATAGTTTTTAAAAAAATTAAAAACTGCTTTTATTTTAGCTAAAACAAATAAGACTTTCTCTAGCAGGAAAAATATTATAAGACATACTGTGAAAATGTCCTTGCTCTGTTAAACATCATTTTGGAGAATTTTAAAAAAGAAATAAAATTCAAAGGGGATTAATAAAGGGACTGAGCTGAAAAGAAAATGAATGAAGGAATGAATATATCTGAAATCCTTGTGTAAGTTCATGTATGTAATTTGCATACATTTTCTTTTATCAGATTTCTATATGGGTTATGTCAGTTTTAACTATTAAAAATGTCAATGAAAGTCACTTTTTCATAATTTTCATCATCAAAAGTTGCTGATGGTAAAATCAAAGCCCCATAATGCAATTCAGAAGCATTAAAAATATAATAATAAAACATGTATCGCAAAATATGGGCAAATGTTAATTTACATATTATAGATATTAATTCATTCTTTTTCCTTCAATTTTGTGCCTTTATTCATCAGGGGTCGCCACTGTGGAATAAACCACCAACTTATCCAGCATATGTTTTACACAGCGGATGCTCTTCCAGCTGTAACCCAGTACTGGGAAACACCCATACACACATACACTTCAATTTACTTTATTCAATTCACCTATACCAGCATGTTTTTGGACTGTGGGGGAAACCGGAGCACCCGGAGGAAACCCACGCCAACACGAGAAGAACATACAAACTTCATACAGAAATGCCAACTGACCCAGCCAGGACTCGAACCAGGGACCTTCTTATTGTGAGGCGACAGTGCTAACCACTGAGCCACTGTGTTGCCAGGTTTGAAACAAGTGGAAAGTAAATAATTGCAGAATTTGCACTTAGGACTGTCAGTAATTTCCCAATACTGGGTTGCGGCTGGAAGAGCATCCGCTGTTTAAAACATATAGTTGAAGAATAGTTGGCGGTTCATTCTGCTGTGGTGACCCTTGAAAAAGGGACTAAGCTAAAGGAAAATGAATGAATGAATAAATGAATGAATGAATGAATGGCTGTCAGTAACTGCAATACAATTGTGATCTAGCTAGCGTCCAGTCAGAGAACCTTCCGGATTTCATATTGGCAGGCGGCTCCGTGGGTCTCTGATTGGCACAGCAGAGACGTGTCATGATTGGCTGATTATTATAGTGTCTTGGCAGCAGTTTCATGAGGGAACGGACCAGCGGGCATCATGCCAGCAGTAGATTTGAATCAGACGGGCACCTCTCTATGGCCTGAAACATTACACTCTAATCAGCCTTTTCATGGACCCATCAAAACCTCATTCATCACCACAGACGTCATTCTGTCCGCCTCAGTCAAGCAAAGCACATCGGGTTGAGGTTATCGCTTAGCACTGATCTGAGATCCTCACCCTGGCTTAATTAAAAAAAGATAATCAAGAATTAGAAAAGCTGGTTTCAGATCTGATTATGGACCCTTTTCACATTTCTGGGTTTATCAGTAGCAGAAGTCGTCATAGCTGGATAAAATTGGGGCGCAGTAAATAGGAGAGTACAACAAATAATTTTTACAATCCTATTTGTTGAAATAATAAAAGAAAAACTCCATGATGGTGTTATCAAAACTCAAGGACAAAAACGGCAGCAAGAAGAGAGAAAAATGTCAAATTTACTGTCCTGCCCTCATAGACACTGCAGTAGAAACACCTCGCATGAGCGATAATTAATTTTTTTTAGGGATGCACCGATATGGATTTTTTGGCCGATACCGATAACCGATAATTCTTCAGACTTGGAGGCAGATAGCCGATATATATAGGCCGATAATTATAAATATTTCAAAAAGTTATATTTTTATACAGCAAACTTCATAAAAGATTGAACTGCTCTTATGAACTGAACAGTCTAAGCTCAAAGCAAAAAAGCTATCATTTCAAAATTGCAAGATGATTATATAGACTTATATTCACGATTTCACACAAATCAGCATGCAAAAAATACATTATTTCCTTTTCTTCACAGCAAATTAACCTAATTGAGCCTAATTTAGACATCGAATCGATAACGATAATCTTAAAAATAGCATTTATCGGCCGATACCAATATGGCCGCCGATATATCGTGCATCCCTAGTTTTTTTGTTGTTTTTTTTGGTATTTGATGCAAATATTATACAATACATACATAAATACAAATAAATGTCCACGTTTAAAAAAAAAAAACTCTAATTATTAAAAGCTTTCAAGGATTTAAGACTGTTGAGCACGTCATAACAGCATACCTGTCAACCCACCCGTTTTTCGTGGGATTCTCCAGTATTTTACAGTTCTATCTTGCTATCATCCCGTAAAGGTATTTTCCCGTATTTCTCGCTTATTTTCAGTCTTTCTCCGATGGGTGGCAAGAAACATTAAAGAGCCGAGCCTCCCTATATGCAACCCATACCCCCGAACCACCAGGGGCTGCCCCTTGCTCTTAAATGTGAGTCTGTTCTGTGTTTTTGCTTTGTTTATCCACAAAAACACTTTAAAATAAATATAAAAACCCTTATTTTCACATCCCAATGTTGACTGGTATGTAACAGTCTTGGGAAAAGAGTCTATAATACTGAAAATACACTTGCATTAATTCTGGACTTCATTGTTCTGGTTCATTAATATTTACATTGTTGCCTACCCTGTTGTCTATTGGAAGTAATGTGTCAATAGAGTCGCCATTTTAGTACAGGGTAGCACTCCTTTAAAATGAATGTGGGACCAAGGTGTAGTGGAGTCCATCTGGACCATCCAGACCCAGAGATACACATATATACAGTACATATATCTATGATCAGGAGTTTTCCCGGTGGTCAGTATGCAAACATTTTTTTAAAACAATGAAAATAGCGAGTGTTATGTGTGCACAAAAATGTATTACCCTCCCTCCCTGTTAAATTTGATCTAATCCATGTCCTGAAACACACCTTCTCTCCTGCTTTCACTTCTCATTCTAATGAAGGGAGTGTTTCGTTTGTGAACGAATCCCCGTTATAAACGACCATTCACTTAGCCAACAATAATACAAGTTTCTGGCACCACAGCATATTGTTGTCATATTTTATTTACATTGTTTGCTTATTTTATTCAACACTACTAGCATAAGCCTGGTATTTAGTGAGAGTGGGAGGTAAGTAAGCCGACTATAAACAGTCGGCTTATTTCATTTCAGACATAAATGAACGATTAGCAAGATGCTGCTACTGTTTGTTATGATTCAGTATGTTCATTCAGTAAAAGATTCGGTGGAGTGATTCAAGCTGGTAAATTTTTCAGAGTTTCCCAAAAGTATCTTTTCGTTCATTCATTAAGCTTTAATTCTATAGCGCTTTTACAAAAACAATTGTGCCAAAACAGTTTAAACATTCAACTGTTGATAAGGATAGAACTTGGGAAACGCAACCAGAATCTTTGAATGATTCATTAAACGAGCTGGTTCATAAGAGTCATTTGTTCATGAGTCAGACCACTGTAGTTGCTCTGTTTGTTATAAAAATAGAGGCACGAGGACATTTTTAGCTAAAAAAAAAACACTAGTTCCAGTTTTAAATTGCTTTATAGTAACTTAAAACTTATACATAACCATATACAGTTGAGGTCAGAATCATTAGCCTCCTTTGAATTTATTTTTCATTTATAAATATTTTCCAAATGATGTTTAACTGAGCAAGAAAATTTTCACAGTGTGTCTGATAATGTTTTTTTCTTCTGGAGAAAGTCTTATTTGTTTTATTTCGGCTAGAATAAAAGCAATTTTGAAATTTTTAAAAGCCATTTTAAGGTCAAAATTACTAGCTCCTTTAAGCTATATATTTTTTCGATAGTTTACAGAACAAACCATCGTAATAAAATAACTTGCCTAATTACCCTAACCTGCCTAGTTAACCTAATTAACCTAGTTAAGCCTTTAAATGTCACTTTAAGCTGCATAGAAGTGTCTTGAAAAATATCTAGTCAAATACTATATTCTGTCATCATGGCAAAGCTAAAATAAATCAGTTATTAGAGATGAGTTATTAAAACTATTATGTTTAGAAATGTGCTAAAATATTCTCTCCGTTAAACAGAAATTGTATAACGGAGAGATTGTACAACTGTATATAGCCTACATCTTGAGAAGAAGAAATGTGTTCTTTTCTGATGACAAGAATATAATTATAGGTTTAAATAATAAATAATACCTTTAATATTTAATAAATCTTTCATTAAAACATATTTTTAAAGGCTATATAATATAATATGCCATTATAATTTATTGTGTTAATCCCATGGTGTTCGGAGTTTATCGGTAGGCCTAACATTTTTGACTCGGGAAAGAAATGTCACATGTTCATGAACCCTGATTGAATGTTACTCCAAGTCTCTCCTCAGGTTCAGGCATGCATTTGTTTGTCCAGGGCCTTCAGTGGTTCAGAGAAAGGTAGAGGTGAATCGGTGAGCATCAGGGCCTTGTCGTACTCTCACTCCATTAACATGGCTAAGTTACAGAGATATTGCTTACAGCGATTCGGCTTATACAAACGTAAGTGAGTTGAAAATAGCAGCTTGTAGGGTTACATGGGATATACCGGATCATGCTGCATCTGAGACTACAACCTTTGTAATCTTATGCAATTGAAAACAAGATACTTTCTTTTTGTGGAGGTCAGGTATAATTGAAGCATGTTATCTTTTTCTTCAGTGTATGAGGTGGTGACTGTGACAGGAGATGTTAAAGGTGCCGGGACCGATGCTAATGTGTTCGTCACCTTGTTTGGAGAGTTCGGAGTGTCCCCCAAAGTTCACCTGGCCAGCAAGTAAGTTAAGCTTCAATTGTGGATCTCTGCTATGTGCCAGCATATATATTGAGAGTTTGGGTTGTTTCTCTTAAAGGGATAGTTCACCAAAAAAGAATTTCCTCATCATTTATTCACACTCAGGTGGTTCATACTTAAATGAATTTCTTTTAATGTTAAACACAACACAAGATATTCTGAAGAGTGTTGAAAAAACAACGATTGACATCTATTGGGAACAAAACATCTTATGCAAGTCAATTCAACTTATGCACAAAATTGAAAAATTGCATAAAACATTTGTGAGTAAAGCAGCATTTCTATCCAATGAGTGAAAGAGAACAAAACCATCGCTACCTGATTAACTGGTGCTAAATAATTATAAAAAAATGAGTTTGCTGCAGTATAGGAGAAGCCACTGTAAGCTTTTTTATTCTATAATAAATTATTATTCCTCAGAAGATGTAGTGACACGTGGTGGCTTTTGGAGGCATAAGATGCTCTGTAGAGGCGCAGATTCTTAAGACAGGTCTTTAGGTATTAATAATATAGTAATAATAATTATGATGAACCACTGTGATGTTGGACTTTTGCGTAGGGATTTTAGAAATACCAAAACAACATTTCAGATGTTTTACAATGTGCTCGCTCGGCTGGTTTGTCCATTAATGTCATCTCATCTTGCCCAATTTCATCACATTATCTTATCACATGATGAAACAAAACATTTATCCAACTCAGTTGTGTGCTGGGGCGATTTTAGTATTTTCATTTTAAGGGGGCTCAGCTCCTGATAAGGAAAAAAAAAGGCTAATATTACATTTATAAGTAGTAATTTAATAGTAATACACTTAAAAATATTTGTTTAATATGGGTCGCTAGTCTTCCACTGTATGACATAGACAGGCAGAGCCATTTGCGTTCTGAGTAAGATAAAATAGGCTCAACCTAACGTTATCTGTTTACTGTAGTAAAAACCACTTTCTGTATTCAAGTGCATTATTTATTTCCATGTATTAAGTAACTGCCACTGCCACTTTCTAATTAAACGCATATAAATATATATTTTTAAACTTACAGGCTAATTCACATATTTCTGAATGATGATAATAAATAAGAAGTATTTTTTAAAACTAGACAACATTTGATGTTTCTATCTCTGTCAGTGACTCAGTGACAGTTAAACAAGTACATTCTCTAGTGGTTCTGTCACTGTGTTTAATCCTTTCTGTGTAAAGGCTGATTTATACTTCTGCGTCAAATGCCGGCGTATGCTACGGCACTGACGCATAGCCCTTCGCCGTGACTGACGTGCACCTCTCAAAAAATGTAACTACACGTCGCAACGACGCTCAGTGTAAGCTCTGTGATTGGTCGGCTTGGTAGCGCTGACGAGTCTGGGCGGGACCGAGAGCCGCGCGAATGGCGCGAGCGATTGTTTACAAGTGTGGAGTCCCGTGAAGGAGCTCCGGATGGAAAGTTTTGTGTTTACCTCATAGTTAAAGTTGTTGCACGTCCGCCGGTTCCTGCCTCAAAATGAGCGAGTTTGAGCCACTTGTACATCCCGGAAGTGTTCAGGAAAAGCAAAAAAGCAGCGAAGAAACTCGACACAGAGGAGCATTTACACCTCACTGCCAACTAGCGTTTCGGAAGTGTTAATGCAGACCGACAGAGACAGCGCGCAGAAGTATAAATGCACAGCCACACGCGTTGCATGCGCCGTGGGTTACGCTGGTCACCTGACGCAGAAGTATAAATCAGGCTTAAGACTACAATATAGTTTATGCCACACGAACTGTAAAGTGTTTAATATTGGTAGTTCATTTCGAAATAAAAATAGCGAAAGGTTAATTTAGAGTTACACTTTTAGCTGGAGGAAACAGCTGTGCTGATGAGGTGAACGCCGAGAAAACCTGACTGCTCCTCCGTGACATTGGTGTACAAGGTGATACAAGGTTATCTATATCAAAGAACTGCAATTAAGCAGATATTTTAACAATTCACCAATAAACACACACCTCCGCTTTGGTTTGCTGATCAAATGAAAAACAAAAGATGGGCAGGAACCGAATTCTGCCACCATTTTCATATCAAATTTATAGGGGACTGAGGCGATGATTTAGTGTACAGCTTATGAGCTAATCGCAAAAGTTTTAAGAGGGCTGAGTAGACATATAGGGGGGCTATAACCTCCATAAAATAGGCCTTTCAACGCCCATGGTTGTATGCATAAGTTTTTTATCAACATTGTGGATATGTACCCCTGTCTAGATTTCTGGCTTCATTTCGTCTGTAAAACAAATGCTGTGGCTGGTATGTCGACGCCGGCAGCTTCTGTTCTTTTTCACGCAATGTTGACCACTTACCTGCAAATTGATGGCTTTTCTGGAGTTACCAGATTGCCCATTGGGTCGCCAGGTACGATGATGAACTTGGTTAAGAACAGTTCAAAAACCAGGTAAAACAGAGTAAAAAAAATAAAAATAAACAACAAAAATGTGGTGAAATCACGCCGCCACAACGGCTTTTCTTTTTCTAGATTGCTTTTGAAAACACTATCGGTTGGGTGTAGGGAAGGGGCTGGATGGGTCAGTCGGTCAGACAAGCTAGAGATCTGCGCGGGACTAAATTTTGAATCCACATAAGCACCAAGCACACTCACAGGCAAAGTTCTCTCTCTCTCATTCGCGCGCACACGCGCGCGCACACGTGCGCACACACACACACACACACACACACACACACACACACACACACACACACACACACACACACACACACACACACACACACAGCAACAAACATGCTAAACACAGTATCGCGCTATTTCATTCACACACATACATACGCGTGCTCGCTCAGGAGTCGGGAGCGATATTGCTAGACAGCCCGCTCCCGTCCCAAATTAAACCCGTTACCGACCGCTCCCGCGATTTATTCGGAAATTTGAATTTGATTTGGAATGCAGACCTCTAAGACAAGCTGACCTGGTTGGCTGAAGTGTATATTGCTCTCTCTGGTAGATTTATGCAAGAAGAGGATGCTTGAGAGAAATTTGAGATCATCAAAAAGTGTAAACAGTGGGCTCTGGTGGATTTGCGAAAGCAAAAACTGCGAGTAGAGGCACTTCCGATTACATATTTCGCGGTCCCCAGAAATGTAGACCTGGTTACGTATCCACAATGAGACTAGGTTGTTTTTATATGCATTTTCAAAATGTGTGCACATCTTGAGGTTTCCAATAGTAGTTATTTATGCAATAATACAAAATGCACATAAAATAGGTTGATGGAAGCATAGCCAATGGCTGTTTTTTTCCCAACATTCTTCAGTATGCCTTCCTCTGTGTTCAACGGAAGAAAGAAACTCAAACATGTTTGAAGGAGTAAATGGCAGAATTGTAATTTGTGGGTGAACTATCTATTTAAACTTCAGCCAGAAGACAGAAAGATGTCAAATTTGCACATTAACCAGTTTTCAGGAATTTGATGGCAAAGTAATAACGCTTTTGGTTTTAAAGGCACAGTATGTAATTCTACCACTAGAGGGCACACATTTACTACAAACAAAGACGTAGTAATTGAGTGTGGAATCATGGGAGTTGTAGTGTTCATTGAATCCTATGGTACTCCTGTAGAAATCTTCTTAATGAATGAGTGAAGCATTTAACACTTATTATTATGGTAGTATGATGCACAGTAAGGCTGCTTTCACACCTGTGAATCGATTCAGTTGTTCCGAAACAGGGATTAAAATTGTTTGTTGCTTTGCATTGTTGCTCTTTGTTCTTGGTGCGGTTCGCTTTCACACGACAAAGTTTCTAAACGGACCAAAAGAGCTAAAACAAGTCACATGTGAGTAAACTCTCCTCACATTGGTCAGAGTTTCAGGGTTTATTTTGTAGAGTCCTGCTCAGCTGTCAGGGGGGGGTGGGTGGTTTGGTGGTGTTTGACAGTGTGCGCGCGGCGTGTCTGAAGAGCGAGGAGGGATGCAGTGGGGAGGAGTGAGAAGGGTACGCGACGTATTTGAGGACCGGGAGGGAGACGCATGATTACCGGTAGATTATCACTCGTTTGCAAGCATCCGGGAGTCTCTGTGCATTTGTGGGAGACTCGAGATGTCTGTTGAATTACCTCCCGCCCTAATCATAATTCTCTCTTCATAAAGCCGTATGCTTATTACTAGGGCCAGACGGAATCTGCGGACATTTTTTGCGCTTTCTGCGGAGAATTTTGGTAAAAAATCTGCGGATTTCTGCAAAATTATTTTGGGAGTAATATGTAAAATAAAAAATAATATCTTTTTAACTTTTATTTAATGTTTAAAATGCAAATCCAATTAGATTACCTTTATTTGGTAAACAAAGTATAATATATCTACTCATATAATATAACTACTAAAAGACAGAAAATATTACTTTACAAACTGTATTGTACATAAATTAGATAGAAAAATAGAACATTTTTTATATTAGTCAATAATATTACTGTAATGAATTTAAAAACTGAATAAACTTAGATTTACTCAAGTAAATAAACAGAATTAATGATGGGCTAAAAATCTGCGGAAATCTGTGGAATTCTGCGAAAAATCTACGAAAAATCTGCGGAATTCTGCGCGCACAGATTCCGTGTGGGCCTACCTATTACATATCCATAATACGCTGTGATATAACTCGGATCGTATTGCTTTCTCACTACAATCGATCCGCTCAAGAGTTCATTTCAATTGAGCCGAGACCACCTGATTCAAGCAATCCTGGCACGATTGTTTTGGCGCGGATCCGAGAGAGATTGGTGGATTAAGAGTAACGAACCGCACTAACTGGGCAAACGAGACAGGTTCCGAAACAAAAGTCTAGGTGTGAAAGCACCCTAAGACTGAAAGCTGTGGAAGTTAAACAAGAGAAATGCTGAAACAGTTGCTGATGAGAGCGTGACAAAAGCAGCAGAGCTTTTATTATGCCATGCTTTTTAATATTGTATCCAGAGCTTCTGTTCCTTAAACTCATAATTATGTGGAAAGTAAGCAGCACTGTTTTATCAGACTAAATACACTTTAAGCTTCTGATATAAATCTGCACTGTACAATCTAATAAAACACTCAAGATATTAAAGGATCTTTAGTGTTTCCCTCTTTTCTATAAAACCAAACCGAAAGTCGAGTGTGTGACATCCTTAGCATGAACACACAGCACACACTCATTCTCAGTGGATAAAGTTGATTATTCCTCTGGATTTGAAAATTCTTCCAAACATTTGTAATAAAGTACACAAGTTACCAACATGTAAAACACTGTTCTAGTGGTTTTTGGATTTTCCATATGTATTGTGCCTTTAATGAGCATAAAAAACGTTTGTTTTTCCAGTTCAATTATCAGTTGTTATTATTATTAATTATTATTTCAAGATATGAAGATGTTCACTAATTGTTTTTGCTTTCAAATCTCTCAACTGTGAGCTGAATTGTCTGTGTCATTTTTGAGCAAGTGGTCATTTCTGTGAATTTTGCCAGGATTTCTGCCATGTTAATTATTTAATTCTGCATTCTTCTCCAATCTACAGCACAGAAAAGAGGTATAACTTTAACATGGCCACCTCATCTGCTCGTGTGTGGCCGTGCGTTGCTTTTTTTCTGCGCACAATGCTGTACAAGAGAACATCCTTCGTGCTTCAACCATGACATTCACCACCACACATCTTTGGGAAACAGATATTGTCTTTATGATTGTTCATGAAATGAATGATTCATTGCATGAATTTTAATCACCCTTGGCTCCTCCATTATGCCATGGTGAAGCACGGGACTGGCTCTCCTATATACAGCATCACCATTGGACATTCATCTGAAGGTGAAGAGATTCATGTGGCTTTCTCATTTAGGCAATGAGATGGCTCAGTCATGTGACATCACTTCCTTTTGAGGTCTTTCAAAAAAAACATGAGAACACTCGAAACAACAGGTAGGCTGTTCATAAAAATCTCCACACATACAGAATGTCTCGTGTATGCGTGTTGATTTTATATGAGCACAAAGAGAGACCCTCAAAATTCTCCCTACAGTGATAAATGGTCCTGATCAGTGCTGATCAATGATCAGAGATTAATTACTAATGGGAGGGTTTTGATTGCTCAGATGAATGTCCAGATGGTTAATGTTGCATAATGACTTATTAAAAGCACTAAGGATAAAAGCTAGACATTGAAATCAAATGAGATAAAAGCAGTTTTGAATAAATGATGAACAATTTGTTTGGACTTTGTTTATATGGGTCAAAGACGAGATGTCCTATATGTGTGCTAGTGTGTATACATATGAACAGTGTTGGGGGTAACGCATTACAAGTAACGCAAGTTACGTAATAATAGTACTTTTCTAAGTAAGGAGTAAAGTAACGCATTACTTTTAAAAATTAAGCATTAATATTGGAGTTACTTTTTAATTAATTAGTTCACTTTTAAAAAATAATTTGCTGAATTAAAATGAACACAGTCACATTAATTCCTGCACACAATGAGAGAATACAGGAACAGATAGAAATAAAGATGGCGGCGAGAGCGTCGAATTGGCCTGAAGTCATTCATTTTCAATATGAGCCAGCAGCGATAAGTGGCGAGGAGCAGCGCGGCACGTTTTTTGGTGTGCGCGTTGAGGAGATTTGAAATCAAGTCAGCTTTATGATAATGAGCTATGACAGTGTTCTGCGTCAAGCAATCTGAATGTTTAAGTCTACCGCTTGAGATCCAGAGAACACAGTCATTGTAAACTTTGGTTCCGACCACAGTTATTCCCCAGAAGTTTAATTACTGCGAACGGCGGAATTTCCAATTGTTTCCGATGTTTTCTTACAGGAACATACATTAAAAAAGTTACTAGCGAGATATTGATGTGCATAAATGTTATATATTTTTTTATTTAAAAAAGCGGGAATCTCATGCAACAATACAAAACGATATTGCTGCTTAAGGATATTTCAGACATATGGACACATATTGTTAATTAAGTGGAGCAAAGCCACACGACATGCAGCTTGATCTTCCATTGTTAAGTGAATCTGGTAAAAAGTTTGCAACATTTTCACGGTAGAAATCATATTTTTTGTGGGAATGTAACTGATATGCTGCAACGGCCTCTTTAAATACGAGATCAATGTAGCGAATTTCGATGCTCTTGCCGCTGGAGCTAAAGGCAGACAGCGTTGTCGCAAGGGTGGCCAGAGTGACCTTTGACGCTCTCACCGCCTTCAGTGTGAACGCACAGTTATATTTCTGCAATAGAAATATTCTCATTACAGGCCCATAGCCAGCCTATTGAAAAGGGGTGGTTAATTTTTCTCAAAAAGGGACAATTTTTTAAGTTGTTTGTTTAATTTCTATTAAATTATGTGGTTCAAATGTGACATTTTACTTTAGTGACATTTTAAATACTAAAATTTCCTACATTAGCTTGTCGGATGGTGATCATAATCACACTTTTTTTACACAACAAAAATATTTACTACACATTTGTCAAAGTGCTTACCGTACTATTTTACCACAAAGTGTTCATTTACTAATGTGCATTTAAACTGTACTTTATTACAGTTTTATAAACAATGTAATGAGATTAGAATTTGAACAGGAAAATATGAAAAAAATGCTTATTTTCAAAACACAAATTCAATATCATCCATCATTTAAAAAACCAAAACAATTAGGGATCTGTTCAAACTTGTTTTAAATTGAAAACCTGTAGGAAAATAACAAACAGGCCAGCTCATTCCCTCAGAATTTGTCCATTTGAATAATTAAAAATTTACATTTGTCTTAAAGCCTTCTTTTATTGGATATTTCCACATTTTATGATGGCATACCGGGCCTGCATTTTTTAATAGATGGAAGAAAAGGAAAAAGGAAAGTAATTTTACTTTTTAATAAGGCAAAAAGTCCAAAAGTAGCAAATGCATTGCTTTATCTTTTGTTAATTTGTGTATGTGGCATGTACAGCTCTGGGGTTCCCTGATAATAACATTATCCTACATTCATTTTTATATGTGCTTTTTTTTTTAAGGAAAATGAAAGTTAAACAGTGTTTTGTTTATTGGAGAGTTCGTCCATTTAAAAAAAAAAAAGGAAAAAAAACCCCTGCAAGTTCTGAAAGAGATCAAGCCTCAGCCATGTCAGAAAAAGTAACGCAAAAGTAACTCAAAAGTAACGTAATACGTTACTTACCATAAAGAGTAACTAAGTATCGCAACTAGTTACATTTTGGGAAGTAACTCAGTATTGTAATGCATTACTTTCTAAAGTTACTTTCCCCCACACTGCATATAAAACATATTAGATGCAAGAAAAATGATAATTATTAGTCGTTTGGGGTAACATTTATTGAAATCATGGTTAAATGTATCACAGTCTTTTTTTATTTTTACTTGTAAACAGCAAAGTGGAACAGAAGCTATTTAAATGTTGAGGATAAAGCTGTATGATAGTTTTACTGTTTGGGTTCCTTGAAATCACTTTCGTTTTTTGACCCATATTCATGAATAGTTAGCTACTTTAGCTTATCTTTGCCCAAATGTATTATTTTACAATGTATTCGTTACCATTTCATTTATTTGAATAGCAAGTTGCATCACATGAAAAGTGTCAGGATTACATCGTTAAAGTTTTAGGTTGAAATAAAGGAACAAAATTTATTTTTTTTGGTAATCTGACATTTTCATGGGATTTATCTATTAAGCAAAATTAGTCAGATCTGTTCATCTAAAGCGAGTTTTAGCAGAATAGAAATGACTAGGGCCGTTTTTGGACTCTAATGCTGTCCGACAGTCAGAATGCAACATTTTGGAATCGAGATGATATTTAACAGAATCTCTGAATCTGTCTAAATGTCATCATTTCCAAAGTTTGCTGGTGCGTTTTTCAGCGTGCTGATCTCAGGTCAGATGTGTGTCGGTTTCATCGCATCGGTAAGTTTGTGTGGACGTGTTGTGAGTCATTTGGCAGTGTGAGTGGATGTGTAATTCATACTGGCTGATTTTTAATTCATGCATTTTGATTAGAGAGATGCTTTTGCAGAAGCCAGCGGAGAAGACCATAGAATGATATTTGTGGGTCAATGACAGTGACAGATGTTTCTCCTTTGCACACACACAAAGAGACAGAACTCAATGCGTCATAATCTGCAAGCCACACCCACCAACCAACTCCATTGACTTTCTGTTGAAGGAGGCTGAGTACCTCTCATTTCTGACTTATTACTAGGGTTGAAAATTGAAAATTGATTCCAATTCTTGTTTTACTTATTATAAAATGCAAAATTTGATACTCCTTATCGACTCGTGTGGACATTTTTATTTTTTTTGCTTAAATTTAACAGACCTCCAGCACTGACAAGTAAACTTAAAGAGCCAAAATGTAATTACTTTTAATGTGCTAAACGAATTTAATAAAAACGTAATGTGTGTGTATATATTTATATATATATATATATATATATATATATATATATATATATATATATATATATATATATATATATATATATATATACATATATATGTGTGTGTGTGTGTGTGTGTGTGTGTGTGTTTGTGTAGTAGATCTAATAGATCACGAACAAAAGAAATCAAAAATTTCATTTGCTAATGCATAAATTAGCCAATCAAAATCAATATCAAAATTTGCTATCACTATTTTAGGGCGAATTTATCAGTTTTTTAGGGCGGAGCTGTCACTGCTTTAAGGTGGAGCTATCAGTCCTTTAGGGCAGGACTATCACATTTTTAGGGTGGAGCTATAAGTCCTTTAGGGTTGAGCTATAAGTCCCCTAGGGCGGGGCTATCATTTTTGGGCGGAGATATCACTCCTTTAGGGTGGAGCTATCAGTCATTTAGGGTAGGTCTATCACTCCTTTAGGCCGGAGGATCAGTTTAGGGCAGGACTATCACTCTTTTAGGGTGGATCTATCAGTCCTTTAGGGTGGAGCTATCAGTCCTTAAGGGCAGGACTATCACTTTGTTACTGTGGAGCTATAAGTCCTTTAGGGCTGAGCTATGCGTCCCCTTGGGTGGGGCTATCATTTTTGGGCTGAGATATCACTCATTCAGGGCGGAGCTATCAATCATTTAGGGTTGGACTACCACTCTTTTAGGGTGGAGCTAACAGTCCTTTATTGTGGGACTATCACTCCTTTAGGCTGGAGCTATCAGTCATTAGGGCAGGACTATCACTCTTTTAGGGTGGAGCTAACAGTCCTTTAGTGTGGAACTATCACTCTTTTAGGGTGGAGCTATCAGTTCTTTAAGGCAGGACTATCACTCTTTTAAGGCGGAGCTATGAGTTCTTTAGGGCTGAGCTATAAATCCTTTAGGGCGGGGCTATCATTCTGTTTGGGCCGAGATATCACTCCTTTAGGGTGGAGCTATCAGTCATTTAGCCTGGGACTATCATTCTTTTAGGGTGGAGCTATCAGTCATTTAAGGCGGGACTATCACTCCTTTAGGGTGGGGCTCTCACTCTTTTAGGGTGGAGCTATCAGTCCTTTAGGGCGAGACTATCACTCCATTAGGCGGAGCTATCAGTCCTTTAAGGCAGGGGTCACCAAACTTGTTCCTGGTGGGCCAGTGTCCTGCAGATTTTAGCTCCAACCCTTGTCAAACACACCTGAACAAGCTACTCAAGCTCTTACTATAGTTGAATCACCCAGGACAAAAGGACAAACTTAATTTTCGTTTCATGGAAACTTTAACGATTTCTCATAGAAAAACACAGAAGAAAAGAAGAACCCACCTGAAAAAATACAACAGTAATTTATAGTAGTAAATATATATGTACATATGTATTGGCTGTGTTCTTGAATCATATAAAGATTATTATTTTCTCGTTGCCTAACAGATCTTTTTTAATTTATGTTGCTGCACAGTTTTAATAGCGAACTGATTAAGCCACACCTCAGATGACGGCTGGAGGTCTGGGAACTTTGGCCCCTTTAGATGGTCAAGGACCACCCATGATGCTGTTTGAAACCAGCCAATCACTTTTCAAAAATATCTAGTCAAATATTATTTACTGTCATCATGGCAATGATAAAAGAAATGTTTTAGAAATGATAAAAGTTATTAGAAATGAGTTATTAAAACTATTAAGATTAGAAATGTGTTGAAAAAAAATCTTCTTTCTGTTAAACAGAAATTAGGGAAAAATATACAGGGTGGGTGATAATTCAGGAGGGCTAATAATTCTGACATCAACTGTATATAGACCGAGACTAAGATGAAATTGCCGCTTTTTTTATCCAATCAAACTTTTTCCTGGCAGACTGATTAAGATTCCTGCACACTCGACCTCTGTAAATTATTGTATATTTAAACCAGTCAGAGGACGACTGAAGATCTGCTCAAGTGTTTAGTTTGACTAAGCATCAGATGTTTAGGTAATATGTTGAGACTACTAACAACCTAACTACTTAAATGTGTTCCTGAGTGTCACAAAACAGCTTTTAGATGTTGTTTAGATTTTTTGTTGTAGGTCAGAAATGACCAGGAGGCATCTTCCCTCTGTAGAAAGTCAATGGAGAAGGTTCGGTTGTTTTCCCCCTGGTGGCTTAAACGCACTCTGTCTCATTTCAAATGATAATATTTAATAAAGATTAGAAACTTGATTGTTTGTCATTTAGTTTTGAGTATATTCACAGCTTTATTCCTCCGTTTTAGGAGCCGAACAGCCTTCGAAAAGAACAAGACAGATGTGTTTCGCATCAAAACACACAATGTTGGGCCTATAAAGAAACTTAGGTACTTTACATGCTTGCATACATCTTATAGTAACCTAAGTTTTTGTAATATACGTCTTGTGATATACATTTTGTCATGCAGAATTGAACATGATAACACGGGTATGAGTGCCAGCTGGTTCCTCGACCGGGTCATCGTGACTGACATGAATAGGCCACACCTCCGCTTCTTTTACGCCTGCAACAATTGGCTGAGCAGAGAAGAGGGGGATGGATTAACTGTTCGATATCTGCTTGGCAGTCTAAACCCCATGGATATCCCAAAACGTATGCTGTCTGACCTCATTATTTCTAGTACAGGATTTATTCTATTGCATTTTATTTAAGCTAGAGAATTTTTCAAATGTATTTAGTTACTTTTTATTTAATTAAATTAAAATGTATTTTAAAATATTACCATTGTTAAATATAGGATAATTATTGTTTATAAAAATTTTTTACTACCACAAAGCATCATAAAACCACCTTTTATACAGTTTTGTTAAATTATTTGATAGATTTTTTTATTTTATTGGATTACTTTTATTTATTTGCTAAAAATCTAATTAGTCAAATAGTTTAATTTAATCTATAATTTTTTTTCTTTTCTTTTCTTTACATACATTGAATTAAATGTAGTAAAATATTTGCCTAGATTTCCTACAATAATAAAACATGCCTTTAGAATAAAATGTAAAAATGTTTTTAAGTTGTTTGATATATTTTTAAATTTAATTTTTATTTTATTTTATTTTATTTTATTTTATTTTATTTTATTTTATTTTATTTACATACATTTAGTTAAATGTAGTCAAATATTTGCCTAGATTTCCTACGATAACAAAACATGCCTTTAGAATAAACTGTTAAATATTTTTTACTTTTTTATTAATTTAATTTAATTTAATTTAATTTAATTTAATTTAATTTAATTTAATTTAATTTAATTTAATTTAATTTAATTTAATTTAATTTAATTTAATTTAATTTATTCAAATATTTGCCTAGATTTTCTACGATAACAAAACATGCCTTTAGAATAAAATGGTACATGTTTTTTAATTTAATTTAATTTAATTTTATTTTGTATAAATCGAATTAAATATAGTCAAATATTTGCCTTGAACGTTTTCAATAATAATAAAACCAGTTTTTTTGATAAATTGTAAAATGTAAATTTTTAACTTTTAAAATTTTATTTAATTTAATTTTACATTTAGGTTAAACTGTAGCATATGCAAAAACATTAAAATGTTTGACATGAAAGTTTAACATGTGCATTAAGTAAGTTGACACATGAAATACTTCATATAATATTAATGTCTTGTTTCATATAAAGCACAGATAACATCACGTGTCATGTGATCACGATCATAGATGATGCATGGACTCAAACATCACCAACCAGACTCGGGTTGCATACCAAGCATTAGGAGAAAAGCAGTAGTAGAGTAGAGTTTCAGACGGGGATCACAATATCACCAGTCCAACATTCCCAAATACCTGACAATATAACATTACATGCCACTGAAACAGAAAGACTAGATGCACCAGCTGTATCTGAAAAAAAGACCTGAAAGAAAATGCTGCGGTGTACAGTTATAGGCCATAAAACATGTTGGATGTCCATTTAAAATAAATGAACGACACGTTATATGTGTTAATGAGTCTGTGTGTGTGTGTGTTGCAGAGAACAAGTACATTGCCAGTGTCTTCACAATGGATGCTAAAGGCAGTGGGACTGATGCTGATGTTTATTTAAATATTTTTGGAGAGTTTGGGGATACAGGTCAGTACTAAAACCAGGCAATGCTTTATTATGTGTCTGTGGGAGAATGTAAGAACTTTACATTTTAATTTTATTTAATTTTATTTAATTTTATTTAATTTAATTTTATTTTATTTTATTTTATTTTATTTTATTTTATTTTATTTTATTTTATTTTATTTTATTTTATTTTATTTATTTTATTTTATTTTATTTTATTTTATTTTATTTTATTTATTTATTTTTTGTTTATTTAATTTAATTTAATTTAATTTAAATTTAATTTAATTTAATTTAATTTAATTTAATTTAATTTAATTTAATTTAATTTAATTTAATTTAATTTAATTTAATTTAATTTTATTTTATTTTATTTTATTTTATTTATTCATTCATTCATTCATTTATTCATTTTCCTTCGGCTTAGTCCCTTTATTCATCAGGGGTCGCCAAAGTGAAATGAACCGCCAACTTATCCAGCATATGTTTTACAAAGGGGATACTCCTCCAGCTGCAACCTAGTACTGGGAATCATCCATACCCACTCATTCACATACATACATTTATTCATTCATTTTCCTTTGGCCTAATCCCTTTATTCATCAGGGGTCACCACAGCGGAATGAACCGCCAACTTTTCCATTTGTTTTACACAGCAGATGCCTTTGCAACTGCAACCCATCAATGGGAAACACCCATACACTCTCACATTAATGCTTTAAAGGCTCGTATTGAAGAAGATTTCTATTCTCTCAGTGTAAAGTATTTTCTAAGTGTAAAGCAGTTAATTTTCTCTTCACAAAATGTATATAGTGTTTGCAGCAAACATGCCAGCTTGTGTTAAAAATACAGTGATATGTCTGTGTAAGATAAGTATGCCTGCACAGGAGCAACACTAGGAGAAGGCTGAGTGACTGATTGTGTAGAATAACTGAACATGTAAAGCACTGATCATATATGTTAAATACTTCTATGAAGCTATATGTGTCAGAAGTTAGAATGAGTAACATATTATCAAGTTATTATCCTATCATGACAATGTATGTAAACACTTAGTTCCTTTGCATAAGTTGCATCTATACTTTGCTGACATAGACCTGTAACATCTCTGTTGACATGAGCTCTTTGGCTGAGAGCCAAGAATAGCAGGACCCCTTAGACTAAAAACCTATTCAAAAATGGTCAAGAGTTAAAAAGAGACTTAGGGGTGTGTCAAATAATCCTGTATAAAAATTGTAACAAACACACTGAAAGTTTAGAAGGTGCAGGAGAGACTTCAGAAGGTGTCCAGGAGAGACTTTAGAATGCTCTGGGGTCTGCTCTGCTCTTTCTCGGCTTTATTATGGAGAATAAAGTCTATTTTCTGATATTCAAAACCTCTGGTCTGATAATTTCTAATTGATAAGACGTCGAAATTTACCACAGTATTCACTGGGACAATTTTCGTTAGCGTTTATCGTCAGTGTTTTACGAGGCGTTTTTCCGCATTCAGACCCAAGCAATTCCCACTGACGTCAAGCAAAAGAGTATGCTAAACCACGCCTTGGCGTTTGATGGCACTACACAACTTTAGGTTTTTGACACCCGCTTGTAACACAGAAGAAGACGAAGACAGAAAGTTGACACACATGTTGTTAAAGTTACTGGCAATTCGATCAAGCATGGATGGCTCCCGATCTAGCGATTAGGAAAAGATTATTTACTGTAAATTCAGCAGCTCCGTGCATTTAAACAAAAGTGCCAATCTGATTGGTGGAGAAGGTTTTGACGCGGTGCTTGAAAACAAAAAACATTACATTAAAAATGACGCTTTTACGTCTGGCGTTTTGCGCTTTGGTGAAACCCACGCCAGCACGGGGAGAAGATGCAATTTTCACACAGAAATGCCTACTGGCCCAGCCAGGACTCGAACCAACAACCTTTTTTCTGTGAGGCGACAGTGCGCTAACCACTGAGCCACTGTGCTGCCGATTTAAATCAATATTTAATTAAATTTATTTTAATTTATAGGTCATATTATTATTATTTTTTTTTTTTACTGATTTTGATGTTTATGTAATGTTTTTTGGAGAGTTTGTGGTTCCTGATCAGCACTAAAACAAGTCAGTGGTTTAATGTGTGTTTGCAGGAGAATTTGAGAACATCATCAAGCGTTTTTTAACATTTATCTTTATTCAATCTAATTTGACTTTTTAATAAAATAAACTTTTATTTTATTTATTTATTTATTGTATATTCTTTTAATTCAATTGTATTTTTATTGTTGTCTTTATTTTATTTGACCTTATTTAATTTTTTTTAACTTTTTTATTTTAATAGTTTTAATTTTCTACTACTTTATTACTGATGCTGATGTCTATTTAAATATTTTTGGACAGTTCGGGGAATCAGGTCAGTACTAAAACCTGTCGCTGTTTCAGTGTTTTTGCATGTAAGAACATTATGAATATATTATGTAAATTATTTTGTAATTTATATGACTTTAATCAGTCTAATTTTTTTAAAACTAATTTATGTTGAATTGAATGTTTTTTTGTTCAACTTTACATTTAATACAATTCATGTTTTATTTTTTTCAATTTCTAATTACTTTTTATTTTATATTATTTGATTGTTGTTTAAATTTTTTTCACATCCCTACATTTATTATTTCATACATTTGTTTTAATTTATTTCATTCAATTTTTTTTTATTAGATTTTTTTATTACTTGATTTTTTATTAATTATTTTGTGTTATATATATATTTTTTGTAGTTATACAAAACCAAAAAAAGTGCCATAAATCTAGTCAAACATTTGATAACCAAATGCTTTTCAGGTTTTAAATAATAAAAAAAGCTATTTTTAACAGTTAAAGGTGATGTATGTAAGTTTTTGACTTTTCTAAAGCATAAAAATACAATAATATTTTTGCACATATCAGTAATCATCCTAAGTGAACATTCTTGTTTATCTGAAAAACAAAGCTGAAGTCAGAAATTCTGCTTTGAACATGTCTGTTACGTGCTGGAACATCTGTCATTGTTTTGGTCCCTTTAACCCGCCCACTGCCACTTTAGCCAATTATATTCCAGCACCCTGGGTTGCCTTGGTGGAAAACAGTGATTTCATTCATTCAGAAAGGCTCTCAAAGCATGTGTTCGTGACCGAAATGCGACCGCTGGTGGACAGTAGCAGACTCCGAAATGAGACACAGATATTAATTAGCAAATAATATAAATGTTATAAATGTAAACATTAGGTGAGTAGGTTACATTGCAACCCCTTGACCTAATAAGAGATTTGCAAACACAAGCAGTCTTTTATTTAGAGCTTGACTTAAATGAGCCTTTAATCAGTCTCGATTGTCAGGCACACTCCTGTTGATTTTGTCAATCTGGCAACTGCGCTTGAGTGTGTTTTAAACCGGAAGTGCAATTCCTAGTTCAAACACTGGTTATCAAACTTTAATACTGCACCTTTAAGTAAGGCTATACTAGGTTTGTGTTAGTTTTATTATTTCTGCACAGTTTTTGTGTGATATTTGCAGGAGAGCGGAAGCTGGTCAGTGAAGGAAAAGACAATTTTGAGCGTGGAAACGAAGACAAATTTACCATTGAGGCACCAAATCTTGGCAGATTAAGAAAAATCACCATCGGACACAACAACAAGGGGTCTTCTGCTGGCTGGGCCTGTGATAAAGTACACAAACACGTTCTTTCATCATGAAAAATATCTGTATCTATCTCTCCTGTGTGAATAATAAGATGTGTTTATGTGTTATGGTGTGTTTCAGGTGATAATAGATGACATGGGGAATAAAGAGGTTTATGAGTTTCCTGTTGACGCCTGGTTTGACATATCAGAAGGGGACGGAAAAATACAAAGAGATGTGCTTGCTGGTGCCACACAACCAATGGGTAAGAGCTGTGTGAGAGTGTGTAGGTCAAAAGTAAGAGTATTTGATATTTATTGCCCCTGATGGTTGTTTTAGCAGTGTTCATGCAAATGAAACTTTGTTCATGAATGAAATGAGTCGTTTGAGTCAATGATTCAGTGATCTGTTCTTAAAAAGTAAAAATGAACTAGGTGTTTCAAATGAATCATTTGAATTTTCAGTGAATTATTTGAGTGTGGTTCAGTGACCTGTTCTTTTAAAATCACCTACCTAAAAAATGATTCAGCTGTTTTGAAATTTAAGTGATTCATTTGAGTCAGTGATCTGTTCGAAAAAGTGACTTGCTTAGTTTCAATATGAATCAGCTGTTTTGAATTAATCATTTGAATTTTCAGTGAATCATTTGATTCAGTGATCTGTTAATGAAAAGTCACTTGCTTAGTTTCAAAATGAATCAGCTGTTTGTAACGAATCATTTTAATTTTCAGTAAACCGTTTAGTTCAGTGATCTGTTCATAAAAAGTCACTTGCTTAGTTTCAAAATGAATAAACGGTTTTGAATGAATAGTTTGAATTTTTAATTTATCATTTGAGTTTGTGATTCTGTGATCTGTTCATAAAAAGTCTCCTGCTTAGTTTTAAAATGAATCAGCTGCTTTGAATGAATCTTTTGAATTTTCAGTGCATCATTTGAGTCAGTGATCTGTTCAAAAAAGTCACAAGCTTAGTTTTAAAATGAATCCGCTGTTTTTAATGAATCATTTTGATTTTCAGTGAATCATTTGATTCAGTGATCTGTTAATGAAAAGTCACTTGCTTAGTTTCAAAATGAATAAACTGTTTTGAATGAATAGTTAGAATTTTTAGGTAATCATTTGAGTCAGTGATTCAGTGATCTGTTCATAAAAAGTCACCTGCTTAGTTTTAACAAATGAATCAACTGCTTTGAATGAATCTTTTGATTTTTTTAGTGAATCATTGAGTCAGTGTTGCAGGGATCTGTTCATAATAAGTCATTTGCTTAGTTTCAGAATAAATCAGCGGTTTTAAACAAATCGTTCCAATTTTCATTGAATCATTCGAGTCGGTGATTCAGTGATTTGTTCATAAAAAATAGCTGCTTAGCTTCATAATGAATCTGCTGCTTTGAATGAATTGTTAGACTTTTCGGTGAATCATTTGAGTCAGTGATTAAGTGATCTATTTAAAAAGTGACTTGTTTAGTTTCAAAATTAATCAGCTGTTTTTAACAAATCATTTTAATTTTCACTAAATCGTTTGATTCAGTGATCTGTTCATAAAAAGGCACTTGCGTAGTTTCAAAATGAATCAGCGTTTTCGAATAAAAATAGGTTTTATTGAACCATTTGAGTCAGTGATTTAGTGATCTGTTCATAAAGTCACTTAGTTTCAGAATGAATCAGCGATTTTTAAAGAATCGCTTGAATTTTTAGTGAATCATTTGAGTCAGTGATTGGTTCATAAAAAATCACTTGCGTAGTTTCAAAACGAGTCAGCTGCTTTGAACGAATCATTTAAGTAATAATTAATAAGGTCAATAATAAAAATATTCTGTTCATAAAAATATTAAATAATAAATAAAATGTTAAAAATAGTAAATTGTTAAAAAGGAAAATGAAATCATAAATAAATAATATTTTCAGTGAATCATGAAAATGGTTCCACAGTGTCCCCACAACTCACAAAAACAAATATTTGTGTGTGTATATGCATGCATGTTTGCTGGTGTTCATGTGGGTGTGTGCATGTGTGTGTAGCGATAGTGTATAATGTACAGGTGATGACGGGAGACATCCGTGGAGCGGGCACTAACTCTAAGATCCACCTAGTAATGCACGGCCATAAAGGCAACAAGAACAGTGGTAAGCTGTTCCTGGAAGGCGGCACGTTTGAGCGCGCTCAGATCGACATCTTCAATGTGGAGCTGCTGGAGCTGCTCAGTCCGCTCAGCAGAGTTACCATCGGCCACGACAATGCTGGCATCAACTGCGGCTGGTACTGCGAGAAGGTGTGTTGGGGACTATCAGGAGTTTTCTTTACCTGTTCATATGTTTAGACATACAGTCAGAATTATTCGCCCCCCTGTGAATTATTTTCCTCTTTTAAATGTTTCCCAAATGATGTTTAACAGAGCAAGGAAATTTTCACAGTATGTCTGATAATATTTTTTCTTCTGGAGAAAGTTAATACGTTAATTCTTTTAATTTATAGTAGGTTATTTATTAGGTATCTGTACTGTATATGACATGGACCTGCTGGTTAGAACTTTCTGCACTGGTTTACATGTGTCATATTGTAAAAGTAGACTTTTTATAAAAGATAAAAAACAATATCCAACAGATGACAACGGACAACAGATAAAAAAATAGCCTATTTGCTAATTCTGGTGCATTTGCAGAAATGCTAATTAGTGTACACTGTCCCTGCCAAATAAACAAACAAATAAATAAATAAATAGCAGAATCTGTTATAAACAAAGCATTTTTCTACTGTGGATGTTAATCCATTATCTAACTATTAATAATGAGACTTTTATAGTAAGGTGTTTCCAATAAATCAATGCGCAAAGTATTTTTTGTTATTATATTTGTTACCGTAGTCTTTTCTCAGCTTAGATTAATATTATGATAATACCGTGAATAAAGCTCCAGCAATAAATCACAACATAAAAGTTTTGTAACGAGTCTTTATTCAACATGTGATGTCCTCCTGTGTGTTTGTCTTCAGGTGACGGTGTACTGCCCGTTCACAGGTTTAGAGCAGGTGTTTCCCTGTGGCCGCTGGTTTGATGAAGACGAGGGCGATGGACTGGTGGAGCGGGAACTCTATGAGATGGTCTCGCTCAGACAGAAAAAACAAAAGAGTGAGCGACTTATACTAGCTCTTTGCATTGCCGTTTAGTCATTTAAAGGGGACCTATTGTGCAAAAATCATTTTTATAGTGGGTTTAAATACAGTTGTGGGGCTAGGAATTAGGTGTGTGTTAGGTGTGAATTAGGATCAAAGCTTGAAAGGGGCAGTTTCAAAAAGTTTTAAAACATGTGGTATTTTATGCTGAAACTAACATATACTTGAATGTTCTGCTAATTCAATAAATAAATATTTACATAAATATTTCAGTGGAAAGACCAGAATCTTATTTAATACTAACTATTTAAAATCCAGTTTAACCAGACACTAAATATTCTGAGATAGTGCTTTGTGGTATTTAAAGTTACTTGCAGCGCAACAGGCAGTGATCTATTATTTTTAAACAATGATGCAAAAAATATAAAATAATATTACAGTAATATTATTTTTTTCTATAAATATAAGATTCAGTTTATAAAATAATGTTTAATTATAAAAATTAAATATATTAGAAAACATGATTAAAAAACTGCTAAACTACATTTATAAAAGTAGTCAAATAAAAAAAAGAAGAAGTAACTTTTGGTCATTAATAGATTCATAAAACATTCACAATAAAATGTATTCATAAACATGTTAAGTACTCCCAAAAATGTTATGATCAGTTTTATTCTATTCAAAATAAAGAAAATCATATTTGTAAAAATGATGACTAAAAGAGTACAATTATAATAATTAAATCCAAAGGAATATCACTTGTAACTAATAAAGTAATATCACGTAAAAATATAAATTATTTACAAAATAATAAAATTTTAATTTAATAAAAATATATTATAAAAAGTATGTTAATAAAAACTGAAATAGTAGTAAAGATTTATAAAAATATTAAATCAATGATAAAATACAGTAATAATAATAATAATAATAATAATAAAATACAATCTTTAAGAAAATCATATTGGTTAAAATATTAACTTATAAAAGAATACAATTATAATAACGAAATAAAAAAATTACATGTAAATTATTAAATAATATCACGTATAAATATAAATTATTTCCAAAACTAATAAAATGACAATTTAAAAAAATATACATTTATATCAATAAAAACTGCAAAAATAATAAAATGCGTTTAACAAAAAATATAAAATCAATGATTAAATACAACTATGATAATAAAATGTAAAACAAAAATTTTAAACAAAAATAACATTTATGAAACAATATCAAATAAAAAAATAATAATTTAATAAAATAGCACAAAATAAATAAAAATATATAAATAAAATGGATTTGAATAAAGTTATTTAATAAATGATAAAATGAAAAAAAAAAAATATAAATGCTTAAAGAAAAATGGATAAAAATGTCATTAATTAAATATAAAAATACACCTTACACTAAGGGGTGTCAAAGTCAGTTCCTGGAGGACCGCAGCCCTGCACAGTTTAGTTCCAACCCTGCTCCAATACACTTAAGCTGGGGTAACACTACAGTTTGAGCTTGCGAAATTCTGTTGTTTTTCACTCAGAAAAGTGGCGGGATTATACAAGATGGTTAGACATTTAAAAAGCGAGCAATTGCTCCATATTTTAAATTTCTGTCCAGAGAGGTCATGCTATGATACTTGATTGGTCTCAGGTGATACGATTTTGCAGGTCAGAGTTCACCAAACTTAAACTTTGCACTGCAGCGACCTGCAAAACTTGATGCATGACCTTGCATTTCCGGTCTGACGCATTCGCGTGCGTATGAATGGAAGTCTTTAGGGAGAAAAGTTCAGTGTGACCGCAGCTTTATCTGTAGGTTTAAAACAAGCCTAAAGGACTCAATTAGTTGGATCAGTTGTGTTTAATTAGGGTTGGAACTAAACTGTGCAGAGCTGCGGCCCTCCTGAAACTGACACCTGTGCCTTACACCATCAAGACTCACAAATTCATGAATTAATATTTGTGTGTATGCACTGTATGTTTTTTCAGAATTCCCCTGGTCTCTGTGGATCTTCACGTCAGACATTAAAGGTGCCGGCACGGATGCTCAGGTGTTTCTGCAGGTCTACGGAGAAAACGGCAAGAGCGATCAATTCAAACTCGAGAGCAAATCAGACAGTTTTGAACAGGCACAGTGCGACAAGTTCATTGTAAGTCTGCATGTATCTTCCTTTCAGTGATCCTGAAACATATTTATAACATTTATGAAATCATGAATGTCAATATAGTATGTTATAATATGCTGAAGTTATATTTCACTGGGCACACAGAAAAGAAATGACTTTTAAAATTTACTTGAAAAAAACCTTGTAACAATTTGCGGGAGTGAAACGAAAGTAAATTTGACTAATCTTAGATTAAGCACTAATAACTTGTCAAAATCATGTAAAATGGACTTAATGTTTAACTAGGTTAAACACTGCTAAATAATTGAAGTTAAATTTAATTAATTATATTTACACTCTTAAATAAATGAAGTTAAAATTAATTGATTCTCTTTCATTTTATATCTATATTTTGTATCTTTTTTAACAAAATAACCATTGCTTTTATGAAATTAAGTAAATCTTATTATTTACAAGTTAGTAGATTTTTAGTTTTTTTCTGTAATATTTTCACTTGTATTCACTCATCAATTTATCATATTATTATGTACACATTGCTAGTTTTTTTTAATAAACAATAATTATTTAGTATAAATTTTTGACGAATCACAAACAAAATTCAATTAACAGATCATTTTTTCCAACAATAACAAATGTGTATTTAATTACATTCACAGTTCATTCACATTTACTCCTTTTATTTTTAACCATTGGACAGGATTAATGATGTCTGTTGTCATTGGCTAGGGCATATTTTTATTTTAAAATTTAATTATAATTAATGAAAAAAGTCTATTTATATATTTATATAAATATATAAACAATTAATATTAATTATAAAAAATTTATATTATATATAAATATTTATTTATCAATCTGGCATCGCCACAGCGGAACGACCCACCAACTTATACAGCACATGTTTTACGCAGCGGATGCCCTTCCAGCCGCAACCCATCTCTGGAAAACTAAACTAATTAATTAATTAGTTAATTAAATTATTTGTATTTTTATTTATTTATATTTTACTTATTTATTTATTTTTTTATTTGTTTTTTTTCCACCACTGCATAAACAGATGTGACGTTTTTGTCTGTGTTTCCGTCTATGCCGACCAAATATTTTAAAAGTTTTCTATTTAAATCTACTTCATTTTAATTGTATTTTAAAGTATTACCTATTTGTTATTAGAAACCATTTAAATATTACAAGTACATGAATACTTCTGCTTGTGTTGGCGTTGGTTTCCTCCGGGTTCTCCGGTTTCCCCCACAGTCTGAAAACATGCAGTACAGGTGAATTGGGTAAGCTAAATTGTCCCTAGTGTATGACTATGAATGAGAGTGTATGGATGTTTCCCAGTGATGGGTTGCAGCTGGAAGGGCATCCGCTGCATAAAACATATGCTGGATAAGTTGGCGGTCCATTCCGCTGTGCCGACCCCTAATTAATGAAGGGACTAAGCCAAAAAGAAAATGAATTAAGTAAATGAATACTAATATATATTTAACTCTTTTCACCTGAAATTTAATATTACATTTAAAATATTCAGACAGTCATTTGATTATATTTTACCACACCAGAATGACATTTTTTCGAGTGCACTTTAGATATGAAAATATTGAATCTTGTGAACAGAAATAAGTTTTTTATTTATATATATTTTTGCACATTGCTCTAGATTGAGATGCCTGATATCGGGAAGATCCGCAAGCTGAGAATCTGGCACGAAAAGAGGAATCCTTTCTCTGGCTGGCATCTTGGCAGGGTGAGAGACCTGCATTACCAGCTAGTGCACTATTACACACAACCAGTTTGTCCATTTCACACTGTAATCATGACGTACGCCAGCGAGACGCACATTTTCTCAAATAATTCTACTTGTATTTTACATTCAAAATGAATTGAGTGTTTAAAAACTGAGTGTTTACATTATGCAAGTTTGCAAACGTTACTTGTCAACTTTTTCCAAGTCTAATTCTGCTGTGCAAAGGCAAAAAACAGTAACTTTTTAGCCAAAATATATTCATTCATATATTTTCCAGCTTAGTCCCTGATTTAACATGGGTCGCCACAGTGGATTGAACTGCCAACTATTCCTGCATATGTTTTACGCAGCGGATGCCCTTCCAGCTGCAACCCATCTCTGGGAAACACCCATACACTCTTATTCACACACATACACAACGGACAATTTAGCCTACCCAATTCACCTATATCACATACACCACCTCCAATTTAGTTCATCCAATTCACCTATAGCGCATGTGTTTGGACTATGGGGAAAAACGGAGCACCCGGAGGAAACCCACACCAACACGGGGAGAACATGCAAAGTCTACACAGAAATGCCAACTTACCCAGCCAGTACTCTAACCAGCATGAAAAACATACCATATGTGGTAATGAAAGGATTATCAGGCACACACGGTATACGTTAGGCCAATTAATAAACTGTTCAAAGAATCGTTCAAATGAAAGTAGCAACCACTGCTCCTTACAAAAAAAAATTCTGGAGCTTTTGAAAGCAGCAAGACTGTAGGTGCACGAGCACGCTTTTCAAACAGTAATCACCCTCTCATTCATTTGGTATTCACCTGCTTGCACGAACACAATTGTTTTTGTCAGTCGTGCTGTTTCTTGATTCTAAGGCCGCATTTGCACGCATATTGGACCATCCTTATTGTTGAATTCTGCTTATAAGAAAGCTACATTTAAAAAATCATTTTAAACCAGCCAAAGTGGCTAGTGGGAGTGTCTGTCTAACCTGCCACCGCTGAAATCTACACGCATTTGGTGGGTTGGCGGGTGTTAATGTCAAGCCCTGCATGTAACACTGGAAGAAAATTTTTATTCATTGTTGAAAACATTAAAATCAAGCAACAACATTTCTAGAATGCAGTTCTTCCCTTAGCCTGCATTTTAAAAATCTATATTTGAAAGTGGCAATATTTGAATTTCGAAACAAATATGGCAACATATCACACTCAATAAATCTCTCACAGAGACTCCTCCCACTCCCCATAGGCCAATCACTGTATACATAGTTAATAAGCATGATGACATCATCCATTGCATTGAGGTTGACCCTGCCCTCACTCTCAGCTTAGACTTCTCCTTATATTCCTTAGTAAAGGTTTTGTTTTTGTGAACAGGTTTTAAGAGAAAACTTTTAAGTAAAAGTTAAATTAAATCCCCAATATCAGATTTTAGAACAACCCTTAGAGAAAGATAAAGTTTTGTGAGTACAGGCCCTGATTTCCAGTGTTCTACCTATAATTAATTTTGCTGGGCTGCTAAACATGTTAAAGTTGTTTTTCTCATTTCCACACTGTACTAAGTGCCTTTGCAGCGCAGAAATGACCTGTGCTACACTCATTTTATTAATTTCATTCATTCATTCATTTTCTTTTCGGCTTAGTCCCTTTATTAATCCAGGGTCGCCACAGCGAAATGAACCGCCAACTTATCCAGCACATTTTATCACAGCGGATACCCTTCCAGCCGCAACCCATCTCTGGGAAACATCCACACACATTCATTTACACTCATACACTACGGACAATTTAGCCTACCCAATTCATCAATTCATCAAACCCACGCGAACGCAGGGAAAACATGCAAACTCCACACAGAAACGCCCACTTACTCATCCGGGGCTCGAACCAGCGACCTTTTTGCTGTAAGGCGACAGCACTACCTACTGCGCCACTGTGTCGCTCTCATTTTATTTAACCTTATGCGTATTCTCTGTTATTCATAGATCATTTATTCAAAGCAGTCTCTTTTTGCTCTATGCTTGAACATTTTATTTTAATTAATTGTGTCTGTCTGCATAAAGGTGACACTGATGAAGACCCTTACCAGAGAGAAATACTCATTTGTCTGTAACCGTTGGCTGGACATCAATGAAGATGACCAGGAGATCATCAGAGAACTGCCAGCCGAAGGAAAACTTGTGGCCGAACCTTTACCACGTGAGAGAAATACAAAAAAAACACACATGCATTCACTCTTCTAATTAGAGCCTAAACATATCATAAAACTGGTTATACTTTAGCTCTTAAACGAACAGTTCACCACAAAAAATGTCAATTCTGTCAACATTTACTTGTTTCTTCTGCTGAACACAAAAGATGTTGAATTCCAACATTCTTCAAAATATCTTCTTTTGTGTTCAACAGAAAGAGAAAACATTGGAACCACTTGAGGGAGAGTAAATGGAAAGTAAATGGTAATGAATTGTAATGGGTGAACTATCCCTTTAAGAAAACCATCTATGAATGTAGATCTTGATACATTGAATAGTAGTTTATAATAATAATGAATACCTTTTACAATCTTTTTATGTTAACGTTGCTGTATTTTATTACATTTTTTCCTAATCGACAGATTTATTTACATTCTATTCTGTTCAGTTGGTTATATTTACTCTAATTCAAATTCACTATTCTTTTTTATTCATTAAGAGCTGTTTCGTTTCTACCCTTCGCTAAGCCACACCCAAAAACCGCCACCCACCATTCGTGGCTTAGCAACCGTAGCTACACTTAGGGGCTCTGTCAAGCTTTCGAGCGAGGGAAACAGGCCAAAGTGTTGTGCATATGAGTTATGGAAATCTGATACCCGGAATCCTTAAAGTTTGGATGTAATGGTGGATTTTTTTCTCTTTTCAAAACCTAAAATCCAAGAGGAGAAATGCCAGCATGGCTCAATCTCTGTGAGGGGCGCTAAAGGAGCGGAGTTAAGTTGGTTTTGTTTTGATATTCCTGACACATTTAGTGACAGACCGACGGCAATAACTCACACACCTCTTACCCTAAACAGATCTAAACTTTGTTTTCTACAAAAATACAAAGCAGGTTATGTTTTCCAGCTGTCTTATTCTTTTCTTTTCGCTCGATATTATGAGTAATGCTTCGTTTAAGCCCTCGCCATAGTAACGTTAGTCATACTTATAGTGAATAGCTCATAATGACATCAGTTATTAATCTGGAAAATACAACTCTGCGAATCTGTTGCTAACTTTACTGAACTTCATATTTCCATCTGTTTCAAGCTACGAATATTTGAAATTACATTCAACAGAACAAAACCGAGATATGATCACAAACTGAGCACTTGCGTTCAATAAACTTTCCCAGCAGCATTTTTCCATTAATTTATTAAGAGCACACAAACATACTGACAGTTAAAGGTAACTTACTGTACATTGTATGGGGCAATGATGCTAATATTCGGCACAAATCCATCAGTTTCCCCTTTTTGGCTGTTCTTTCTATGAATGAATTATGTAGAAGCACTGTCCATGCGTGTTTCCTCGTTGGTTAGCAAGGCTATATTTCATTGCACAACAATAGTCTTTCAGGCTTGTTGGCTAAAAATAGACAAATCACGGTTTAATTAGTTATTATCAGATTATTTTTAAATTTCACCTCTCCTGCTGAGCATGATCTAAGCCAGGGGTGTCAAACTCAATTCCTGGAGGGCCGAAGCCCTGCACAGTTTAGTTCCAACCCTGCTCCAACACACTTACCTGTAGCTTTCAAACAAGCCTGAAGGACTCAATTAGTTTGATCAGGTGTGTTTAATTAGGGTTGGAACTAAACTGTGCAGAGCTGCGGCCCTTTTGGAACTGAGTTTGACACCTGTGATCTAAGCTGTTGAATGGTCAGTGTATGAGGCGGCTAGGCTAAGCTAGGTTCAATTTTGATTGAATTATTCTCTAATCGGTTGCCTATTATGTTGTTAATATACCCCTGTAACGCATACTGTTTCCTTTTTTGTGTGGCTTTCTCGGATATCTCACCTGTTCGCCAAAAATGACTAATTATATCTGTGGGAATGTCTGACACTGGCGCATACACATTTTAAAAGCTGTGCCAGGCATGAAAGCTTGACAGGCGTAGCAGCAGTAACTAAGGAGGGCGGGGCTTAGCGAAGGGTCCATTGGATCTATATTGTTGTACTTGAATTTTGTTGTTTAAATATATTTATTCTTTCTAAAAAATATATTTTTAATGTTTAAATATTTTATTAAATGTTTTTTTTTTGCTATTGGACAGTTCTTAAGTATCGTGTGACTATATGTACGGGAAATGTGAGTGGAAGTGGGACAGACGCCAGTGTTTATTTAAACATCATTGGAGACCTGGGAGACACCGGAGAACGCCTGATGTTCATGAGCAAAAACAACGTCAACAAGTTTGAGAAAGGAAACGTAAGTAATAAGATTTAACACACTGTATTAAACATGCATGTATAGTACTATTTAAAGGTTTGAGTTAAGTTTCATTAGACATGATTGCGTTTATTCAGTATGGGCTGATAAAGTTCTATACAGTTATTAAACAAGTTTACATGGTCACTAATAATCCGATTTTAACACATTTAAGACAATACTATGATTAAGAGTCTATTATGTAAACAGCAATTTTTGATTAATGTAATCCGATTAAGGTCTTAATTGAACTAAACAGAAAAGGAATTAAGACGTGTGGAGAATGCTGATTTTAGATGCATTATAAGTGCAGCATAGACATGTAAACACCTTAATCAAACTATTACAGTCATGTAAGATTTTTGCCACATTTTGCAACAGGATACACACACGGCTATCTGAGTTTTTTTTCTCCCATTCGGCATGCGTTATGAAATTCTATTAAAACAACACTCTTCCAGCAGTTCATACTCACATCCAATATCTTGCATACATGAAATATTTTTTATACACTTTTATACAGTATTTATTATTTTCCACAATGTATATAATATGTATATGTAATTTTTTTTATTTATATTGAATTCTTTAACAACATCTGCTATATAAAACATATGCTGGAATAGTTGGGGGTTAATTCCGCGGTGGCAACCTTTAAAGTAGAGACTAAAGGCCTGTGCACACTGAGATGTTTTTTGCGTTTTCCGTCAATGTTTAACACCTCATGACTATATAAAGGGCGTCAAGGTGATCGTGCACACCAACACGCAAAACGCAAAAAAACAAAACCTCATGCTCGCTTTTTTGATCGTTTAAACCTTCTCCACCAATCAGATTGGCACTTTTTTTCATGTGCACGGAGCTGCTGAAGTTATAGTAAACAGCACTTGGAGGCGCTCAAGCGCAAAACTGTCAATGAACATGGAGCTGCTTATTGCTCTGTGAACAATAATCATTTCTTAACCGCTAGAGCTGGAGCTGCTGCTTGAACCATCTATGCTTGTTCGAGTCACCAGTAACTTTAAAAAAAAAAGCGTGTGAACATTCTCTCTTTCTCTTCTTCTGTGTCATAAGGGGGTATCAGAATCTTAAAGTTGTATAGCGCCATCTAACGTCAAGAAACGATTTTGCATCTCTTCTGCTCGACGGCACTGAGAATCGGTTGGGTTTGAATGCAGAAAAACATCTCGTAAAATGCTGACGATAAGTGCGGTTAATTCATAAACTAATTTCGAGAGGATCACGTGCTTATAATCAATTGTTAGCTCCGTAATCAGCCCTATTAGATGATTACTGAAGCATTATAAATAACCTGAGTTTTTCACTCTTTTTTCAGTTATCTTCGTCTTGAAGCTCCCCCCCTTTCCACCCCTGCATCCTCCCACTTTTTTCTGATCGGGCGACACGGTGGCCCAGTGGCTAGCAGTGTTGCCTCACAGCAAGAACACTGCCGGTCCAACCCATCGGGCCGGTTGGTGTTTCTGTGTGGAGTTTACATGTTCTCCCTGTGTTCGCGTGGGTTTTCCCCGGGTTCCACGGTTTCCTCCCACCATCCAAAAACATAAACCATAGCCAATCGACTAAAACAAATGATCACCCAATACAACCTTAGTTTACACTTCTCACGGTGACAAGCAGGGGAGTTCTCGAGGCCTACCTGACCTCGAATTCCCCTCTCGCCCTTCTAACGGGAGGGAGCCCCGGGCTCGAGGATATTACGAGCTCAGGGCTCTCTCCCGGGACAGCATGCCAAATATGCTTTATTGATTATCAGCTAAGTGTGAACTCTTGAAACACAAACGAAAAGCGTGTGTAGGAGCCCTTAAGCCGAAGGAAAATGAATGAATAAATTCTTTAACAAATAATCTCCACAAAAATTTTAGGCAGCACAGCTCATGTCAATGTTGATAATGTTGAGAAATAAAAAATGTTATTATCACAGGAATAAATGACATTAACATGTACTTAAATAGCAAGCAGTAATTTTACATTCACACCACATTTATTTTTATTTTATTTTATTTATTTATGTTCTATTTATTTTTATCAATAAAAATAAATAGAACATTATAAAAGTTGTTTTGCATTTCTAAATGTAAATGTATAAAAAGTTTTTAATTTTTTTTGGCAGGCTGAAGTTTTGTTTGAAAATTAAACATGAAGCTAAACACAGCATTGTGGGATACTGAAAATCGAGGCAGTGCCATCACATGAATAAATGTCATTTTTACTTGTTTACATAATAAACAGTAGCTTTAAATTGTTAAAGTAAATTTGTTTTTACTGCGCTTTGGATCAGATAAATCGAAAAGTATTGGATTATTTATTTAGATGTTTTCTGGCAATCCAAAGTTAATTTTGACAATGAAATCTAAGAAAAACACATTGCATTGTGAGATCAATGAACCCAGTAAAGTATGCTCTTCACATTGTACTGCAGGAATAATAAATATTTGATTGTTTTCTCAGGCTGATGAGTTCCTGGTAGAGGCGGTGACTCTGGGGCAGATCAGGAGGGTGCGCATTGGTCATGACGGACGAGGCGGAGGCTGTGGTTGGTTCCTAGATAAGGTGATGGTCAGAGAAGAGGGACAGCCTGAAGCCTCATCTATCGAGTTCCCATGTTACAGGCAAGACTACTAATGTGTTCAAGCATATCTCAAAGCATGCATATCAGTATAAATACATACATGCATACAGCTTGATACAAAATTATTTACCTCCGGTCAAATTTTCATTATTTAAAAAAAATATTTCCCAAAAGCTTTTTAACAGAGATTTTTTAAGTCTTTTTTTTAAACAAGTTTTAATATCTAATTTGTTATGACTTTTTTTGTCTTTGCCATAATGACTGTAGATAAAATTCTACTAGTTATTTTGTGCGATACTAGAATTCAGCTTATAGTTGTTTTGAAATTGTGAACAAAAAATATGACATAGACTATCAGCATATTACAGTGAGCATAAAATGAAAATAAATACGGCAATTCAAGGACTTGTATAATAATAATAATAATAATAATAATAATAATAATAATAATAACCCTAACAACAGTAATAAAAAGACCAAGCTAGCCTCTTAGTAAAGAGTGAATGACAGAAGTATACTGAAATAAATAATATTTAAAAAAAGTAATCTATATTAAAAGTGCAAAAAACTTTGTTAAACTGTGTTAAAGGTAACATTAACCCAAAACAAATAAATAAATAGGTAAGTAAATACCAAAAACATATATTGTTATACATATTATACATCTATGATAATTAAAAAAGAGCCAACAAAATTCCAAACAGGGAACATTAAAACAAACAAAACAAAACAAAAAAAGAGTCAAACCGGTGCTTCAGTGAATTCATACTGATCTTGTTAGAGTCTAATGGTTAGGAATAGATGGTTTCTGTTGAATAGATGGGTCCATGGAGTATGGACTGCTTGAATGACATCCGTGGTACCTGTTTTGAAAAATGGTGGGGAAAATGTGTCAACCCAGTGAGAAAGGGTTTACACATCTGCAAGACCTGTCTTCTGCTCTGCTTGGATAGTGATAATGAAAATGAAGTGGAACCTAGTTTCTTTAACCAGGTCAAAGCAAACAAAAATAACTGTAAGACAGCGAAATTCAACAGCAATATTTTTATTGAAACATATTTAAAATCTAAAAATGCAATTTAACTAGCCAGATTAGCATTACTATTGTATCTGTGTCAGTGGATGGTGTGTATACAAATTCTTGCATTTTGGAATAACTTATTATATAAAATAAACTACATAAAATATTGACGAGTTCTGCATCATTTTTAATGTATTCCAGTGACATATACTGCAGTTATAAACAACATATATTGCAACTATAAACAGAGATATGCCCTTGTTTTACATAAGAAAACACTGTGTAATGCTACATGTTGTTAGTGTTTTTTAGGTCATTGTTTTGTGGGTGGCAACGTATGTTTGTCAGCTGTTAACCTTTGCAAGTGTTCGCGGAAGAATAGGTTTATCTGAGACCTGAATAAAGTGTTTTGGTAGTTGTAGTGCTATTTGAATGTGAAATGAACTGCTTTGCCAAGCTGAAAGTCGGTGTAGCTGCACTGGTCTAAATAATATGATAGCCAAGCTTCATACTGATGTCTTTATTGTTTGTTTCCCTCTATTTCTCTCTTTGCAGTAGACACCATGAAAACTACAAGAAATAGAACAAATAACATTAAAAATATGCATTTCTCAGAGTCAGAGTCTCTCACTTAAATGTCCGCTGATATGCATATGAACATGTGTGAAAACTCTGAATCCAGTAACATCAGTGTAAACTAGGGTTGGGCATCTAAGCTATAATGCCGATCCGATACGCATCTCGATACAAAGAATAGGATCCGATATATTAGCGATACATTTGTGACATATTGCGATGCAACACGATACGATTCACACCCATATCACAATACGATGCGATAATTCAGCACTAACTAATTAGATCAAGTTTATGAGATGATGTATTGTCATTCCATCATTCAATGGATACTGTGCCACTGAATGAGTTTGATTATTTATTAACAAAGCAAAACCAAGACTTTTTTTTACAAACTGGCTTTTCTCTCAGAGCCAGAGTGTCAGTTTACAGTAGAGGGCCATTTTAGAACCTATAGCACATATTATTTAAGTATTTTCAAGATAAACAGAATGTATAAGTGCAATATATATTAAAAAATATATATATTTGCACTCTTTCAACATAAATAAATTTAGCATTGCACAACAAGAATTGTGATTTAACTTTTCAACTATGAAAACAAGTTTTACAAAGATATATTTTGCCACTGATTATTCAAAACTTACGGTTGTGAACTAGCAGTGTTATGCTGCGTTGAAACATCACTGTCACTGTAAACAACAGGCTAATAAAAATATAAATTAAAAAAAATTAACAGGAGGAGGTGTTTAAAACCTTCGTTCTCCGTGACACTAGGCTGAATATCTTTGCAGATGAACAATGCAATAGCATTCGTTATTGGCGTAGAGCGCACAAAACTGTTGCGCATGGAAACAACTTTCAATGCTTTTCTCACCACTTTTGGAGCTGGTACTGTAGCTACAGTTGAAGCAGAGCAGGAACCTGGGGATGTAGGAACACTGGAAGATGCTTCCACAACAACACTGTGGCGCCGCTTCAAGTGAGATATCAGATTAGTCGTACTGCCCGTGTATTTTACAGATGCGCGGCACATTTTGCAAATTGCATCTGTCCTGTCAAGTTGTCCATCCTTTTTGCAAAATCCATAATGTTGCCATACTTTAGATTTAAAACTCAGTGGGGAATAAAATGTTTGTTTTGCTTCTCGCGCTTTCTGAGGGCGCACCACTAGCTTCATCCGCACACCTGATACACTGAGTTGTGTACACATCCGTTGTGTACACATCCGCAAGTCCGTTGCTACTTTATGTAGGTCGATTAAATTATGCGCCAAAAACAGGTTGACAACACTTGTTAATAAATAAAAAATACATTCTATGTTAAAAATATAAGCTGTATCTCGGAAAAACTGATGCATCTCGCAAAAACCGATGCATTTCGATTTGCTTCCAAAATTTCATTCATCCTCTGCTGCTCTACCGATGCACTCGCATCGTGCACGCGCATGACCGCGTATCGATACATATCGGTTAATCTTCCCATCCCTAGTGTAAACTCAGTAGTGTAATACTTAAAATCTAACAGAATTAGATATAAATTATAGTGTGCGCCCTCTTAGACCATGCAGATTAATGAACTCTCTCAGGCTCTGTATCGTTGGCTTCTCTCTGCCACCATGTCAGTTTTACCCATAATGCAATGGTCCCGCACTTCACGTGTGATTTGATATGTGATTTGATATGCTCCAATAGCAACTCTTTCTTTTACAAACCCATAACTTCCAACAATTTTAAGGGTGCACATGCTCTACTTTCCATAATATTGCATATGAGTTTATAATATAAATTAACATACAAATTAATTTGAGTTTATGACAAAAACACAAATATACATAACTTTTAAGAAATACGTGTCCTTTACATTTACAGTCGGTTAGGAGAATTGTGTGAAGAGTTTTGCAAAAGTGACCTATGTATAGAGAAATGTGTCCTAGCGTCTGTAAAAAACTGTAAGAGAATATGGAGGATTCCACGTTTTTACAACAATATTCTTGGCTACTGTCAATTAACCTAAAAATACTTGCTTATGAATTTTGATAAGCTAGATTTAAAGGGCTTAACTTGATTAATTAGGTTAACTAGGCAAGTTCGCTTAATTAGGCAAGTCATTGTATAACAATGGTTTGTTCTGTAGCCATTCAAATATATATATATATATATATATATATATATATATATATATATATATATATATATATATATATATATATATATATATATATATATATATATTAGGGATGTAACGGTATCAGAATTTCACGGTACGGTAATACCTCGGTATGAATGTCACGGTACGGTATTTATTGAATCATTTACAGGAAAAAACAAAACTTATGAAAATACTCCAAAAAAGTGCCAAAAGTGTCAATGACATACAAATTAGCCATCTATCTGTAAGCTTTGAAACAGGAACTTTAATTTTAATAACAAAAAATTATTAAACCATGTAAAAACAATAAAGTTTCTATTTAGTATTGTTGAAAACTCATCACATTCAACATTTAATCACACTCAGCCCATCTACACAGATGAGAGCTCTGCTAGTCGGACTTCTCATCAAGCATCTCCCGCTGGATCTAATCTCACTATATTTATTAAACGGGATATTTCATTTATCTTGTTGTCTTTATCTAACGACATATTCCCTGACTTTGGTCATTGGAATCTATTACTTGTTCTCAGGTAACGTTTTTTGGCTGAGCGCAAAGATAAATTAATGATTAATGTAACCACGTACATTCTGTATATTGACTGATCGCTTGCCTTTATTTCCTATAATGTATAAACTTATTGTATGTTATACTTTTAAAATGGCCCTTATCGATTATTAAAACTGATACTCAGCAAAAGAGAGGCTGTGTTTCGTATTTTCACTGAAATTGAAAGGAGGCAGTTGTTATCGGCTCCGTTTTGTTATAAATATCCACACAGTGAAGATGACGCTCATCTTATGCAGCACGACGCCTCAACATGTCTGCTGTCTAAGTTGCTAATATTAAAATGAAAATAGGCAGTTCCTTAAATCATGTTTACATTTTATTGTTGATAAAGTGAAACAACGAAGCCAGGGTGATGTGAATGAAGTTATAAAGTACACTGTTCCCTTTGAAGATTTATCCGTGTCCTCGGTATAGTCTGCTTTTCCATATCAAACTGAGAAGAAGAGACTGCAGCCTTGATCAAACTTGCGAAGTCTGAACTTACAAGGAGAGGATGCAGGACTGAACTGTGTGTGTTAGGCTACTTAATATTCAGGAAAAGCCCCAATCAGAGAGGCGAACGTCTGCAGCCCCGCCTCCGTTTTCAGATGTCTCCGTTTTCCATTATCCACACTGAGACATTATCCACACATTTCGAAACGCTCCGTTTTCGGCGCTCGAGAACTCCGGCGTAGTGTGGACGGTTGGCGTAACCGTAGCAAAACTTATGCGTTTTCAAACTAAAACGCACTAGTGTAAACGGGGCCTTAGAGTTTTCCAGCTCTTTTCATCCCCGCTTCTAGCAGCACACTCCATTTCCGCATTACTGGATCTGTAGCGACAACAGACCGCAAGGGATGATGGTCAAGCATGGGCTGGAGGGTATTGTAGTTTTCGCTACCTCCCGTTCGCTTCATTCGCCTAAGCAAATTTTCTCAGAAGACCTATAGTTTTACCGAGTCATGCGACTTCGGTAATATCGAAAAAAATTAATATTGCGGTATGACGGTATTTACAATACCGTTACATCCCTAATATATATATTTATATTTGAATATATATACTTTGGGGGGGTAAATAATATTCACCTCTGCAGGTTGAAAATAAAAAGTTATTTATTATAGCCAAACTAAATGAAATAGTTTTCCAGAATGACAATATAATAGGAAAAACTGTGAAAAAAATTCAATGCTTTGTTAAAGCTCGCTTGGGAAGTCTTTGAAAAATAAAACTTATTTCACTGGAGGCCTAATAATTTTGCCTTCAGCTGTATATGTGCACTGCGTGGCTGGGCAAAGAACATGCGAGAGTAGTGTTTAAGTCAATTATGTAGCTGAGAAAACAGACTCTGGTTACTAATGGACACTAAAGTGTGCAGAGGAAACCCAACCTACACCAAAGAGAGAGCTCGGTTACACACACTCATCTGCACATTCACCTACTGTAACTCTCTCTCTCTCGGCCTCATCTCAGGTGGTTGGACCGTAATGAAGACGACGGGCAGATCGTGAGAGAGTTAGTCCCTACTGATGATGGCCAACGATTGTTCAGTGAGTGAGCACGCATACAAACATGCAATACTGAAGTAAAAATAAATTTACTAAATTTACTAAAAAAAAATTGTGCACATTGCTTTAAACACACAGGATGTACAGCAATACGCTGTAATCATCTTTACAAATGATAAAGAATTAAAGGATTGAAATATTTGAATAAATATTACTTTCTACATAAATATAAAAACCACTGCCTTCATCTCGGGAGGCTTTTTCAGTATATTCATGGCAATTTGCTTTTGTATAATGTTATTATTATCATTAGTATTATTTATTATTTGCATATTTAGATTTGTTTTATTAAAAACAGGCTTAGATTTGCCCACCTGTCGGGTTTTGGACCATATGGGGCACAGCATGTGTAATTGGATATAACTCAGGTTTTTTAATACACTTTGTTATTGTTGTTCATTTATTCGTTTGCTGGAAATTAGACCTGAATTTAGAAATAGCTTTGAAACAAATCTTCACGCTTAACAAAATAAAATAATTACGTAGGCTAATGGGTGTCTGTGCGTACAACACATTTCCTTATCCACAAAAGAGAGAAAGTGAAAGTGAAAGTAAAGGCCAAGAACGTATTTTTCTGTCCGTAATATAGCAAACGTGGATTCAGACACAACAGTAATGCTTTTCCGCCTTGTGTTTCAGACTTTGCGCCTAAATCATTAAAATAGAGCCTCATGTAAAGCTGGAAACCCATCCAATCACCAACAATTTATTTCAACAAACATGTTTTATTTACTCCAAATGATCATATAAGCTCTCTGTGTATTTATAGCTACCTGGTGAGTACACTGACCTAGACAGGTTGTTGAGGATAAATTTAGTTTATATTTATATTTATTTAATATTATTATTATTATTATTATTTATTCTTTGTTTTTTAATTCTGAAAAAAGTATATGTGTATATATATAAATCAGGCGTGTCCAAACTCTGTCCTGGAGGGCTGGTGTCCTGGAGAGTTTAGCTCCAACTAGAGATCTGCGCGGGACTAAATTTTGAATCCCGCTCCCGCCTGCACCCGCCAGGTTTTAGCCCGAACCCGACCGATCCCGCTTATATTAAGAATTTGTTGTCCCGCTGCCCGACCCGCCCCGTTTTCTATTCGCCGCGCCCGATCCCGCTAAAGAGCGGGGGAGAACAAAACCGAAAATCACCCAACTATACAGTCCAGACAGTCAAGCTGTCTGTATAAACACACACACACACAGCACCAAGCACACACACACAGACAAAGCTCTCTCTCTCTCTCATACGCGCGCGCATTAACACACACACACACACAAGCACCAAGCACACACACAGGCAAAGCTCTCTCTCTCTCTCATTAGGATAGCAATATCCGCAATATTGCTAGACAGCCCGCTCCCGTCCCAAATTAAACCCGTTACCGACCGCTCCCGCGGTTTAATCAGAAATTTATTCCCGCGCCGCAGAAATCTGGTCGGGTCCTGCGGGAATGCAGACCTCTAGCTCCAACCCCGATCAAACACACCTAAACAAGCTTTTCAAGCTCTTACCAGATATACTAGAAACTTCCTGGCAGGTGTGCTGAAGCAAGTTGGAGCTAAACTCAGCAGGACACCGGCCCTCCAGGACCAAGTTTGGACACACTTGATCTAGAGTTTGCTTGTTTTTACACATGTAAAATATATGGCTGAATTTAAACAAAAAATCTTTAGCAATTATCCCTGCGAAATTTCAAAGTCTTACAATTGACTTGGTGAAACCTGCAAGAAACCCTGAGTGTATTTTGAAATAAATCGTATAGAACAACTAATAAAGCATGTTGGATGTGTTTGTTCCAGCTGTTGGCTATCACATTGCGATAAAGACGGGCAGTATTAACGGCGCCAGCTCAGATTCGAAGGTGTTCGTGAAGCTGTACGGAGAGAAAGGCGACACCAACAAGATGCTGCTGGTCGTCTCTGATAACGACCTGGGGAACTATTTCGAGACGGGACAGACGGACATCTTCACCATAGAGACCTTTGACATTGGCAAGGTATGCTACCTGATCAGGTTTGTCCCATTCGCCAGTCAGGTGTTAAAATTAGGAACTATTCTTTAAATAATCAGATAATTCACTCTATTCGGTCAAATTAATACACTCACTGGACACTTTATTAGGTACAACTGTACAACTGCTTATTAACACAAATTTCTAATTAGCCAATTACATGGCAGGAATTCAATGCATTTAGGCATGTAGACATGGTCAAGACGATCTGCTGCAGTTCAAACCGAGCATCAAAACGTGGAAGAAAGGTGATTTAAGTGACTTTGAACATGGTTATTGATGCCAGACGGCTGGTCTGAGTATTTCAGAAACTGCTGATCCACTGGGATTTTCACGCACAACCATCTCTAGGGTTTACAATAAATGTTCAGAAAAAGGGAAAATATTTAGTGAGCGGCAGTTCTGTGGGAGCAAATGCCTTGTTGATACCAGAGGAGAATGGCCAGACTGGTTCCAGCTGATAGAAAGGCAACAATAATTCAAATAACCACTCGTTACAACCGAGATATGCAGAAGAGCCTCTCTGAACACACAACACGCCTAACCTTGAGCTGGATGGGCTACAGCAGCAGAAGACCACACTGGGTGCCACTTCTGTCAGCCAAGAACAGGAAATTGGACAAAATTGGACAAGAGAAAATTGAAAAAACGTTACCTGTTCTGAAGAGTCTTGATTTCTGCTGCGACATTTGGATGGTAGGGTCAGATTTTGGCGTCAACAACATGAAAGCATGGATCCATCCTTCCTTTTTTTCTTGCCACACTTAGAGCCCATTAGTACCAATTGAGCATTGTGTCAAAGTCACAGCCTATCTGAATATTGTTGCTGACCATGCCCAACCCTTTATGACCAGAGTGCACCCATCTTCTAGTTACCTCCAGAAGGATAACGCACCATGTCATAAAGCGTGAATCATCTCAGACTGGTTTCTTGAACAGGACGATGAGTTCACTGTACTCAAATGGCCTCCACAGTGACCAGATCTCAATCCAATATAGCACCTTTGGGATGTCGTCAAGATTCGCATCATGGATGTGCAGCCGAAAAATGTGCAGCAATTGTGTGATGCTATCATGTTATTATGGACCAAAATCTCTGAGGAATATTTCCAGTTTCTTGATTAATGTATGCCAGTTCTGAAGGCAAAAAGGGGTCTAACTAATTAATTAGTTAGCAATTAATTATCTGTTTTAATAGATTTTTATTCAGTATATGAATAATGTTTTAGTTTTTGATATTAGTTCCTTTCATTAATATTTAGTAAATATACTGCAAGTTAAAATCTCGCCAGTGTTTCCAGTTTAACTTAAAGTAGTTATAAGGTATTAAAATGTATGGAAAGAGTCTTAAAAAGGTCTTAAAAGGTATTGAGTTTCCCTCTGTAATTCCTGTATATTCTCTGGTTTTATTCTATTTTGTAACAGTGGTATAGAATTTAACAAGTTCTATACTATTCTATTTCTCTATTCTATTCTTTTGCAATATTTTAGCTCTATTGGGTTGTGTTGTTTACTTTTTTTTGTTTTTTTTTGTTCTGTTGTTCAAATACACTGTAATGGTGTAATGGTGATTTGACGCTGACAACGTAGTGAGGATCCTTATGGTGGTCTTTATTGACAGGATGGTCAAACACGCAGTGGTCAAGACAGGATCAAACAGATGTATGTGGGCAATCCAGATTCATAGTTGTAATAGCAGGCAAGTGGCCAAAAGGCAGGCGGCAAACAGGGATGATCAAATAAAACAAGGCGAGGTCTAACACGGAAATCAGAGCAAGGGGAAAACGCATCGTAATGTTCACTTTACAGCTTACAAGACTCAGGAACGTGTGTGTTTGAGAGGTGTATATATATAGTCTGCGTAATCAGTCCAAAAGCAGCTTCAGCTTTGAGTGTCTAATCACTTGGAGCAGGTGTGTGTGTGTGTGTGTTGCATGACTGGGATCTGTAGTCCATAAACTGTCAGATTTGTAGTGCGTGTGAATGTGAATGTTTTCCAGCGATCTATGATGTTTAGATCGCTGGTGATCCTGACAGTTCCTTTTCAATAATTTTATTTGGTCCTATTTAGATTAGTTTGTGGACTGTTCTATTAAATTCGATTCTCTTCCATACTATTATTTAATGGTATTAAAGCTATTCTACTAAGTTCTATATTTCTAATATATTCTATTGTTGTTTACTTTTGATCTGTTTTGTTGTTCTGTTGTCCAAATGTACTTCATTCTTTTAAATTCTCTCAGGATAAGTACATACTAGTTACCGCAACTGTCAAAAAATGAAACTATAAAGAAAGAAACTGTGTTAAGTGTGAGAATGTGGCTGCTTATGATATAAAATTTGATTAATAAACTGCAGAAACATACCATCCATAGATTATTTGTGCATAGCTCCATCTGCTCTTTGTGTTAATCTTATAACTGAATGTCTTGAATTTGCATATTCATCGTGACTGCCCTCCACTTTGTGGGAGGGTCCTGTAGGTAAACAGGCTACTGATTGGCCACACCAATGAAGGTCTGCGAGCCGGTTGGTTCCTGGACAGTGTTCTGATCTGGGTGCCGGTGCATGGCTTGCAGTATATGTTCCCCTCCCACCGCTGGCTCTGTAAAGATGAGGCTGATGGGAAGGTGGAAGTGGAGATCTACCCAAGTGAGACACTGGAGATAGAGAAATGTATGTCTTTCTTTCATCATGCTTTTTTCCGAAGCAGTGTATACATTTTATTAGTTCTTGAATTCACTGGTCATTGCAGACATCACATTTTTTATTTAAATACATGAACGCACTGTAAAATATTTGTTCGGTGTGAATTTAAAATGATTAATTAGTGTTTTTCCAATTGGCAGTGATCAATTATGAGGTGACAGTGGTGACAGGAGATGTGTGGGCTGCAGGGACGAATGCAAACGTCTTCCTTCAGATATATGGAGAGGAAGGAAAATCTGAACTAATTCGACTCAAGAGCCGATCCAACAACTTTGAGAGAGGAACCACGGAGATCTTTAGGGTGAGTTGTACATGAGTGAAGTAACTGGATTTTCTAAATGTTTCCGGAAGCGAATTGGTTGTGACTGAAGAAAATTCTCTCTCTCCCATTGGTTGATTAAGATTGAGGCCATTGAAATGGAGCGGGTCTTTAAGTTCTGCATCAGTCATGATGGTTCAGGATGTTTCCTAGAGTATCTTTTCAGTTTTATTTTTCCATTCCATTTCTATCTTATTTTATTATTTTCAATTTTCACATTTGTTCTATTTAGATTAGTTTGTGGACTCTTTTATTATGTTCTGTTATTTTACTAGAATGAATCAATTCTATTCAGTTCTGTTTTTATATTCTATATTTTTGTGAAATTTTGTTCTATTGAGTTCTGTTGTTTACATGTTCTATTCTATTCCATTCTATTCTATTCTGTTCTGTTGTTCAAATTTACTCTATTCCATCTAAATAGTTCAATTCTGTTCTTTCTAATGTTCAAATGTGTTGTGTTATATTCTGTTATAGTTCTACTGGGTTCTGTTGTCTACATCTGTTCTATCGTATTCCGTTCTATTGCTCTATTTGGTTCTGTTTAGATGTGTTCTGTTCTGGGGTCCGTTCTTCGTACCTCGCTTAAATGATCTAAGATTATTTGGCAGATCCCCGATCTTTTAATCTTGATAACTGATCTCTCGCTAATTTGGTTCTTCAAACGAGTTCACGACTCAGATTAGAATGTCTGGATAAACTGATCTGAGATCGCTGCGTGTGTTATGAAGGACAGATCTATCGATCCTCGAAATCATGATCAGCAATGCAACGATTGGCTGACGGCACAGCAGCGTAATGACATCATCTGATTAATATTCAATTATCCATGTGAGCAAAATTACATCAAATTAGCAGTAAACGGCTTGTTAAATATGACACGCAGCAACTTCACATTTGTTGTGAGCTGCAGGCTTTACACTTTCATGTGTCAAGTGTATTCATGTATTTCAATGTAAATCAATGTATTTAGTTCTACATTTAGAAAATATTTTCTTTATTATAGTAGCCGTTTTTTAATCGGTGTATAGAATAACTGGTTGTTTACAAAAGCGTTTTCATATTGGTAAAGGCGTCTGAAACTTTTCTGAAGCATCAAATCACTGGCATATTAACTATCAAAACATGTTTATGACTGCATAAATGTATTATTGCTTTAAAAAAAGTCACATATTGTGCAATTCTATTATACACAACTTGTACTAAAGCGATGTAAAAAGTTCATATCAATAAGTTTTCTCTGTGCACCACCAGGTGGCAGTCTTTGTACTTTCATTTCGAGGGTGCAGATTGCATAAGTTTTATTAATATGTATAACTTAATTTATTTATTAATGACTATAACTTTATATATATGGTTAAAAATATGTACCATTTTCCCAAGTGTATATAACTACTACTGTAGGAAAATATCAGAATTCGGAACATACTTTCTGTATTATCTTTGCTTGAACTAAACCGATCTAATCCTGTTTAAATTAATTGAACCTGCTCCCGATCAAGTTTGACCTAGCAGAACTATTGCTATGACAACAACTCTCGGATCAGCTTTGAAGAACGAAACGATCCTGAATCGTGTCAAATCGTCAATATCCAAATCCAGCTAACTGAATAATCCACGTACGAAGAACGGACCCCTGTTGTTACAATTTACTCTATTCAGTTAAATTAATTCTATTATTCTTTTCTAATCTATTCTTTCTAAATTGCATATTTGTTCTATTTTGTTGCATTTAGATTTGTTGGTGGATTGCTCTATACTAAAACTTTCCGTAGAAATAAACAAATTCTTTTCTGTTCTATTCTTCGATTAAACTCTATCGTAATATTTTTATTCTATTTTAATTCTACTGGATTCTGATTTGTAAATTTTTTCTATTGTATTCCGTTCTATTGCTCTACTTGGTTCTGTAGATGTGTTCTGTTCTGTTGTTACAATTTACTCTATTCAGTTAAATTAAGTATATTGTTCTATTCTAATCTATTTCTAAATTGCACATTTGTTTTATTTTGTTGCATTTAGATTTCGTCACCTTGGAAATATAAGGTTCTATCTGCGTTCTAAATGATTTTGAGATATTAAGGTTAAAATTTTTTGCATTCCATCGCAAACAGTGTGTGTAAAATTTGTTTTTTTTTTAATAAAAAGTCTTAAAATGTAAACAACTTATAAAACAACATCCCATAATGTAAATAAGTTGTCATTTAATAAAAATGTGTAAATAACTCAATTTTGACAACCTTATAATTCCAATGTGACGATTTGTTTGTGGGTTGTTCTATTCTAAAAATTAACCAATTAAACCAATTCTTTTCTGTTCTGTTCTTCTGTTCTATACTATTGTAATATTTTAGTTCTACTGGGTTCTGATTTGTACATTTGTTTTTTTTGTATTATGTTTTGTTGATCTATTTTGGTCTGTCAAGATGTTTTTAGAACTGTAGTTAAAATTCACCTTATTCAATTTAATGAATTCTATTGTTCTTTTCTAATCTATTCTTTCTAAATTTCAAATGTGCTCTATCTTGTTTCATTTAGATTTGTTCGTGGACTGTAATATTCTACAAATTGCAATAGAATTAAATCAAATAAGTTCTGTTGTAATATTCAATACTGTTTTAATGTGATATTTTAGTTCTACTGGGTTCTGTTGTTTACATCTGTTGTATTGCTATTGATCTATTTTGTTCTGTTTAGATGTGTTCTGTTCTGTTGTTAAAGTTCTCTTTATTCAGTTATATCAGGGGTGTCCAAACTCAGTCCTGGAGGGCCGGTGTCCTGCAGATTTTAGCTCCAACTTGCCTCAACGCACCTGCAAGGATGTTTCTAGAAAGCCGAGTAAGAGCTTGATTAGCTAGTACAGGTGTGTCTGATTGGGGTTGGAACTAAACTTTGCAGGACACCGGCCCTCCAGGACCGAGCTTGGACATGCTTGAGTTAAATTAATTTCTATTGTTCTGTTCCAATCAGCCTTTTAAAGTTTCAAATTTGTTCTATTTTGTTCCATTTAGATTTTTTGTGCACAGTTCTATTCTATTTTATTCTATTCTATTCGATTCTATTTTGTCTATTCTATTCTTGTATTTTGAACTCTGTGTGGTTGTGACTCAAGAGCATGCTCTTTCTCATTGTTTGATCAAGATTGAGGCCCTGGATGTGGGGCGGGTCTACAAGATCCGCATTGGCCATGATGGTTCGGGTATCGGGGCTGGATGGTTCTTGGAGAAAGTGGATGTTAAACGCCTGATCATGGCAATGGTGAAACCAGAGAAGAAGGAGGAGGAAAAGAAAGACAAGAAGAAGAAAAAGAAAAAAAAGGCCAGTCTGAGTCAAAGTATTGGCTTTTGCAACTATTATTATTGTTGATTCATTTAGAGTTTATTTAATCCAGTCCAGCAACTAGCATATCAATATTGATCGGCTCCACGTTGTTTTTATAAGTATGTTTATTGGAAATATACATAACATGATGTAAGGATACAAAGACTATCCAGACATTATTTTTTTTTACGGTTAGCATAAATAATAACAATAATAAAAACAAATTAATTGAATAAGCAACCTTTCCCCCATCCATACTGTACATGGTATAATCCACATTTAAAGATTATCATTATGACAATTGTCATTAAAACACTAATATTGATCGTCACCAATCAGAATATTTGTATTTTTGACCATCCAACAATGCATAGGAGGAAGAAGAGGAACCCCCAGGTGAACTGAAGGAGGTTGTACGAACGTTCAGTTTCCCATGTGGCCGATGGCTCGCTCGTGATGAAGAGGATGGAGAGATACTTGTGGAGCTGCGAGCGGAGGATTACGAAGATCTGGAGGGTATAGAAAGAGAAATTCAATGCTCCTCAATTAAAAAGTATATAAATATATTTATTAAAAATCTGAAATGTATGATTTAAAATCAATTTAAACACATATCTAAAACTGATCATCAATTAACTGGCACATTTTAGTTTATTATAAAAGTATATCAATTCAATTGATGTTTATTTAAGATAAATTTTTTTTAGCTCTTTTTTGTTCTCATTTCTTCATTTACTTTGCAAATTATGATGATATTTTTGTGTAAGTGTATTTGTGCAATTTTACTTTAAAGGCTCATGCAAAAGTAACAAATCTGTTATTAATTGCTCACCCTTATGTCATTTCAATCCCCTGAGACCTTCGTTCATCTTTAAAACACGAATTAAGATTTTTTAGATGAAATCAGTGAGCTCCTTCATCCTCCATATTCAGCAATGGTCCCAAGACGTTCAACTTCCAGAAAAGGAAACAAAAACCTTGTCAAAACTTTCCAGTGACTCCATGGGATCATATAAATATCGAGAAACACCTTTATGCTGCAAAACAACTGTAAAAACATACAAACATTGTGTTGCCTGTAATAAACGCACACCTAATCTGACTTGAAAAACATTGACGAAAAAGTCATTTTTACAGATTTTACATTATTCTTGTAGATTTAAGTTATTTCAATTTAACCACTGAAGGCATATACTCTGTGTTAAGGATGTTTTGGTAACTTTCTGCACTTTGGGACCCGTGCTGTCTATTAGGGATGGGACAGTTCATGAAAAAAATAATTTGTAGATGTGTTACTATAGTTATGCCAGGGCTTAATTCATGCCGGAACAAGCCGTATCTGGATCCGGCACCTCTGAAATCTGATACGGCATCTCATTTTACCAATCCCCCTCCTCTCCGCTCCTCACTTTGTTCCACGACCATGACACCTCTCCTTCCTCTGGTAACATGGCGGATTCTTTCCCCGATCTGTTACGGGACCTGAAATTTACAAATTAAGCTCTGGTTACGCCCACCAGTCTATTCTCATGATTTAACTTAGTTCATTCACAGTCTCTCTTTCACAGTAATGCCTTTACAACTTTTTAAGAATAGTAAATGTAGCATGTAAAATTATTGGTGAGAGGCAAACACCTTTGACTGATTCATTTATGGCAGCAAGGAAAAGAAAAACCACTATTGTGGAAGACTCCTCCCATCCTTTACATGATTCCTTTAAGTTAGTTTCATCTGGCAGACGGTATAAGTCAAGTTTATTTATAAACTAATTTCGAGAGGATCACGTGCTTATAATTGCTTGCGGCTGGTCCTGCATTATCAAATTTATGATTCACCAATCAGACGACTCCTAAGGCATTATAAATACCCTAAGTTCCATATAACAGTCATCTCCGTTTTGAAGAATCCCCCTTTCAACCCTACTCCTCCTCCTTTCCTAGATGGGTGGCACGGTGGCCCAGTGGTTAGCACTGTTGCCTCACAGCAAGAACATCACCGGTGCTAGTCCTTACCAAGCTAGACGACATCTCTGTGCGGAGTTTATGAGTTCTCCCTTTACCCACCTGGGTTTCCCCCAGGTTCCCCAGTTTTCTCCCATCGTCCAAAAACCTGCAACTTGATTAAATTGACTAATCCAATTGGGCACCATAGACATGCTCCTATTAAGTAGTTATCTCTTAAGAGCAATCACTATCTGTTCATTAGCTACTACAGCAGAGGAGTTTTCAAGATCTACCTGAGCTCAAACTCCTCTCTCGCCAAACAGGAGGGAGCCCTGGTCTCGAAGATCTTATGAGCTCAGGGCTCCCTCCCAGGACAGCATGCCAAACAAGCTTTATAATCAATCATCAGCTAAGTGTGAACTCTTAAAAGTCTCTTTAGCAAAAAAGGCTAAGTACATGAAGACATTTATTCCCACTGTCATTGATTTGTTTTTAAAAAAGGATCCTAAAATTATTGTGTAATTGTATATATGTTTTGCTTTTGTGTGTAAGCTTCAGTCTAAAGACAATTTTCCAATCCCTGTGGGGATAAAGTTTGTTGAATGCTGCAAACTAGCATGCTTCAGATTATATCAGTTTAAAGATGTAACATATAGGTGGAATGCATGTAACATAGCATCAGAACACTCATATTTAACTAAGGCGGCTAAGTCTGAGTATAAAGTAAAAGTACACAATCAAGGAAGAATTTTTAAAATCACAGCAGACAATATTAACGCACTGTTGTCATTAATCATCAACAAAAAAACTACTGAAGTTAGAATAAATGAGTATGACTTTTTTAAATACTGTAAACGGTAGATTAAAAGGCTACATGCAGTATTTTTTTCTGATGTTTGGGATTTCTAAATAGTATTTAAGTGTTACAATAGATGTTTTTTATTCCAATGGATAAAAACTTTTGGTCCCACTTTATATTAAGTGTCCTTAACTACTATGTACTTACATCAAAAAATAAATACAATGTACATACTGTGTTTATAATGTATTTAAGAACACTTGTGGTGCTTTTGAGTTGGGATAGAGGTTGTGTTATGGACAGGTTTGTTGGTGTGGGTAGGTCTAAGGGTGGGTTAAGGTGTAGGGAATGGTCAACAGTGTATTTACAAATGTAATTACGAAAGTTAATTACAGATGTAATTACATACATGTATTTAATCAAGCATAAATACACAGTAAATACATGCATTTACACAATAAGTACATTGTAACAAACTATTAATTCCTGTGTAAGTACATATTAGTTAAGGCCACTTAATATAAAGTGGGACCACTTTTGGTCTTCTTTAGAAATAATACATATTAGTTTGCTAATTTGGTAAACCAAATCCAACCGTAAACTGTGATACAAACTGTACTGACAACTTTGTAAACCGTTGCACCCCTACTGTCTATGGAGGGCCAGAGAATTCTTCTCTGCGTTAAACGAAAATTGACTAAAAAATATACAGGAGGGCTAATAATTCAGAAGGGGTAATAGTTCTGACTTCAACTGTATATAGAGAATGCATATGAATCTGTTGTCCATTTCCAGGAGGATGAGTTCACAATCACGGGGATGTATCTGGGGCCTTTGAAGAAACTGAGGATTGTGTGTATTTCCACCAAAAAATGCAGTTTTCGTTAACGATAATAACTTTTTTCTTCTATAGAAATAATACATAATAGTTTGCTAATTTGGTAAACCAAATCCAACCGTAAACCGTGATACAAATTGTACTGACAACTTTGTAAACTGTTGCACCCCTACTGTCTATGGAGGGCCAGAGAGCTCTCAGATTTCATCTAAAATATTATAATTTGTGTTCTGAAGATGAATAAAAGTCTCAGGGTATTGTAACGACATGAGGGTGAATAATTATTAAAAGAATTTTTATTTTTAGTAAACGCACCCTTTAATTTGGATATAAAACAATGAATTTGTTTATACTTAAAGTGCAGGTTAATGCATATGTGTCTAAAGTGTTGAGATCAAACAGAAGTGCACTTCGCTAGATGCATGTTTGTCGATGTTTTAGATAACACATATGAGGTTCATGTGTTCACTGGGGATATGATGGGAGCCGGAACCGATGCAAGTGTTTACATCAACATCTATGGAGAAATGGGCGACACAGGCGAGAGAAAACTACGCAAGTCAAACCACCTTAACAAGTTTGAGCGCGGACAGGTGAGTGGAACGCAAAGCAGCCACACATTCATACTTCAGTTGAAGTCAAAATTATTCGCCCTCCTGTGATTTTTTTTCTTTTCTTTTTTAAATATTTCCCAAATGATGATTAAAAGAGCAAGGAAATTTTCACAGTATTTCCTATAACATTTTTTTCTTCTGGAGGAAGTCTTATTTGTTTTATTTTGGCTAGAATACAAGCAGTTTTATTTTTATTTAAAATCATATTAAGGGTCAATATTAGTAGCCCTTTTAAGCAATATTTTTTGGATTGTCTACAGCAGGGGTTTTCAAACTGTGGGTTGCGATATACCAAAAATATACCATATACGGCAATATACCAAAAACCTCTTACCCTAAAAATATCTAAAGTGTGTTTCCTACAAAAAGACAAAGCTGGTTATGTTTCACAGCTGTCTTTTTTTTCGCTCGACATTATGAGCACTGCTCCGTTTGAACCCTCGCAATCTACTTTTAGCCGGTAGAGCTCGCGCAGAGCGGAGCTCTCAGTAAGGGACTGTCGGAAAAGTGCTTCTTTTTTTTTGCCTTTTTTTTTTTTTTTTTTTTTGCTCCGTCCAGCGTGTTTTATTTTAAACACAACAAATTTTCACTTAAATGAGCACAAACAGTTAATAAAGTAGTCGAATGCATTATAGATCTGTGCATTCTTACATTAACACCTCTGTTATCAAACAAAACCCAATGAGAGATTCATTTGCTGCTCTTCACTAAATAACTGTAGTAACTTTAATCAATATGCAAATACAATTAAAAGTGTAATATATTTAATAGCTTTATTTAATTTCTGTATAGGCCATTGATTTTAATAGGCTAAACCTTTTATTTTATTGTCAGTATTTTCTAATGTTTGCTATGTATTCTGTCATTTGAAGCTATTTGTTGTCCCATATTTTTTACATCCCAACATTGACAGATTGCTAATCAATAAATAGCTATAGTGCTATCTGTTAGTTTTAACGTCAGCTAATGTTATGGAAGGGCATAGATGTTATGGAAAATAGTAATAGTAATGTAGCAACCCCCATCATTCCTTCCTCAAGCAAATGTGTAAATATTAGATCAATTCAGCAATAATGGTAATTGCATTGGCATATTTATCTGACGTTTTCCCAGCTTGTAGTAGTCGATCAAAAAGCTGTTTAGTTTCTTATGACTATACACTAGCAGTGGAATTTACTGCGATGTGACGGGGCTTGATCATAATCCTGGGGCTTGATCAAATTCTCTTCTGAAAAAAGAAGAGTATCTTTTTCAACAAAAAATGATCACAGTTACAGCCAGCATCCCACAAAAAGCAGTTCGTGTCAGGGCCAGTAAACAGAAAAAACCCAAATGCAGATGAAGACAATGATTTATTGTAGAAGGCAAAAATTCTAACAGATTAGTTTATAAGCCAGAATGCAAAATTGAAAAATAATCTTCTAAACGCAATGTATCAGTCTCAGGGGAAAAAATACACAAAAACCTCAGTTCGACAAATGGGAAAAAATGCTCTTCAGCAAGCAGTCCTCTCAGCCTGATCAAGAAAGAACAAAAAACTATTATAGTCCAAAAAATGAACAACGAAAAATGACAAAAAAATACTTGCAGACTCTGCTGGAATAGTTGAGGGGAAGGGAATGACTGGAAATAACCAGGAACAAAAACTAGACTGGCCAGTAGAAACAGAGGCAGGTGTAATTGTCAGAACCACGCCAGTGTCCAGGACAAAAAAAAACTTCGGGCAAGCCAGGGACTACACAGAAAGGCTGGGAAGGTAGGGAGAGAGTCCTGGAGTCAAACAGAAAAAGGTTAACTAAAAACATTCAGTTTACCCATAGTTGATGTTGCAGGGTCAGAAGCAAACAACAATCTGGCACGGAACAGCAGAAACCAAGAGAATAAATAGGGGAGCTAATGAGGAGAAAATAAGCAAAGACAAGTGAAGCAAATCAACTAAAATTATGAGAATGAGGGGGTGGAGAAAAACAATCAGGAGCTCAAACAAAGAAACATGTGGCTAATACAATCAGAACAGATAGAACCAGCCGATCAGCCAGAAGTCCTGACAGTTCGAGCCTCATCTTGTGCATATCAAATCGCAAAATCCAAAAAGCCACACACCATATATTTTTGACTGCTTTGAATGGATAAAAATTTTTTTACCCATTTTTCCATATTAAAATATTATGGTGGGTCTTGAGATTGAATTACTTGCCTAAGTGGGTCCCGGAATAAAAAAGTTTGGGAATCCCTGGTCTACAGAACAAACCATCATTATACAATGACTTGCCTAATTATCCTAGTTAAGCCTTTAAATGTCACTTTAAGCTGAATACTAGTATCTAGCAAAATATCTAGTCAAATATTATTTACTGTCATCATGACAAAGATAAAATAAATCAGTTATTACAAATGAGTTTAATAAGATCAAATGAGTTATTAAAACTACTATGTTTAGAAATGTGCTGAACAAATTCTTCTCTCCGTTAAACAGAAACTGGCTGAAAAATATACTGGAGGGCTAATAATTCAGAAGGGGTAATAGTTATAACTTCAACTGTATATATAGAGAGAATGCATATGAATGTGTTGTTCATTTCCAGGAGGATGAGTTCACGATCACGGGGATGGATCTGGGGCCTTTGAAGAAACTGAGGATCCGTCATGATAACAAACAGGCTAATGCTTCATGGTACCTGGACCGCGTAGAGATCTTCGATACAAAAGATGAAACCATGTAAGTGTCATGCACAATATATTATTTGTCTGGGGCCACACATAAAACATCAGTCTCAAAACACAATGAATGTTTCTGGCATTTTTTTTTTTCGGTTTAAGCTTCAAGTTTGTCCTGTATGGTTCTCCTAAAAAGTTTCTTTATTCTTTTATAAGTCATATGTAATCATTTTTATTTTTATTTTTAAGGCATACTGTGAAATGCCTTCTGTGAACAGAACAAACAAGTTTTTCCACAGTATTTTCTATATTTTTTTTTCTGGAGAAAGTGTTATTTCTTTAATTTGGCTTGAATACATTTTTACAAACCATTCTGAAGTGCTATGGTCAATTTTATTAGCCCCATTAGGAAATATTTTTTCTGTCTGCTACGGGACAAACCGCTGTTGTTCAATGACTTGACTTATTAATAACTTAATTAACCTAGTTAACCGTTTAAAATGAGCTTTAAGCTTAATAGTAGTACCTTCAAAATAACTAGTAAAATCAAGAAATTAGAAAAAGAATTAAAAAGACTTTAATTAATTACAAAAAATTAAAAGATTGTGTTGAAAAATCTTCTCTCTGTTAAGCAGCGAAATAATTTATAAAATTAAATTACATTTTTATAGGAGGGATAATAATTTTGCCTTCAACTGTATATCTATAGACTGTATGTACAGTATCTGAGCAAAACTTTCGACGTGGATGATGTGAAGTTACTGAATTTAGCTTTATTTAGTTTTTTAATTGTTTAACTTAATAAACAAGTCAAAAATATGGGTCCCACTTTATATTAAGTGTCCTTAACTACTATATACTTACATCAGAAAATAAATACAATTTACTTACTGTGTTTATAATGTATTTGAGAACACTTGTGGTGCTTTTGAGTTGGGATAGGGGTTGGGTTATGGACAGGTTTGTTGGTGTGGGTAGGTTTAAGGGTGGGTTAAGGTGTAAGGGATGGTCAACATTGTATTTACAAATGTAATTACAAAAGTTAAATACAGATGTAATTACATACAGGCATTTAATCAAGCATAAGTACACAGTAAATGCATGCATTTACACAATAAGTACATTGTAACAAACTATTAATTTCTGTTTAGGTACATATTAGTTAAGGTCACTTAATATAAAGTGGGAACAAAATATGAATTTATGAATAATTAATTGTTTTAAAAAAAGTAATCCTAAATTTTTTTTGTGTGTATTTTCACCAAAAAATGCAGCTTTCATTAACGATAATAACTTTTTTCATCTTTAGAAATAATACATAGTAGTTTGCTCAATGTAATATCATAAAGTGAAAGTAGATTAAGTAAGTATATATTAAAGAGATGCCGTTTGTGATTTTTCTCTTTCCTAATGGCTGTTTCGCCCGTGTTTGTGTGTGTTCAGGTATTTTTTCCCATGCCAGCGCTGGTTGGCTGTAGATGAAGATGATGGGCAGCTGGGCCGTGAGTTAGTGCCTGTGGACGAGGCTTTCATGAAGAGAGATGAAGATGAAGAGGAGGAGTCTGGGCCTGCTCAGCTTGGATTAGAGCAGAAAGGTTCCCAATTTACATAATAGTTCTATATAAATATACATATATATATATATATATATATATATATATATATATATATATATATATATATATATATATATATATACAGTTGAAGTCAGAATTATTAGCCTCCCTTTGAATTTTTTTCCTCTTTTAAATATTTCCCAAATGATGTTTAACAAAGCAAGGAAATTTTCACAGTATCTCTGATAATATTTTTTCTTCTGGAGAAAGTCTTATTTGTTTTATTTCGGCTAGAATAAAAGCAACTTAAATTTTTTTAAACACCATTTTAAGGACAAAATTATTAGCCTCTTTAAGCTATATATTTTTTCGATAGTCTAAAGAACAAACCATCATTCTACAATAACTTGCCTAATTACCCTAACCTGCCAAGTTAACCTAATTAACCTAGTTAAGCCTTTAAATGTCACTTTAAGCTGTATAGAAGAGTCTTGAAAAATATCTAGTCAAATATTATTTACTGTCATCATTGTAAAGATAAAATAAATCAGTTATTAGAGATGAGTTATTAAAACTATTATGTTTAGAAATGTGTGGAAAAAGTATTTTCTCTGTTAAACATAAAATGGGGGACGAATAATTTAGGGGGGCAAGTATGTGTGATTTATTTATTTTTTCCCTAGTTGGGATATTTGAAAAACATCCTTAGCATTTCGCTCTGTATAAGTCATAAACTTTAATTCATAATGGTCTTTAAAATGTCTTAAAAAGTCTTAAATTTAACTTTGTTAAACCTGCAGAAACCCTGTATAATACTACAAACTACAATAAATCCTCCAGAAAATATTACTTTACAAATTGTGTTGTACACAGATCATCTAAACACCTAAACATTGAAATATTCAATAATATGTCATATTTATAAAAAATTATAACATAATTCAAATAAATATATACAAAACACTGAATATATATATATATATATATATATATATGTAAATAATTATCCTGTAAATTAAAAATTAAGTAAAAACACACAATCAGAAAAGATATTGGCATCAGCCAGCCAAAAGGAGTTAAATATCTGCAGAATTACAATATTTGCACCACTAAGTCCAAATAAAAGGAAAAGAAGTTAAGTGCTTTTCATTTTTTTAATTAATTATGTTTACTTATTAAAACAATTTTTAACATTTTTACAGAATAGCTACCTACGATATAATATAAATAAGTGCATCGTAAAATATATATTATTACTGTGGAATAAAACTACTCTTACTATGAAATAGAAGTTAAGTTATAGTTAAAATGCTACTGCTTATAGCATTGAAATTGCATTGATTATGTCTTGTGTCTGTGTGTAGCGATGTCAACCACATTCACAATGAGAGTAAAAACAGGGGAGAAGAAGTATGCTGGAACAGATGCAAATGTTTTCGCCATTCTTTATGGAACCAAAGACGACACAGGTAACCACCACAACACAAAGCTGCATTCCTGACTGTATTATTAATAGTGTTATTATATTAGTGGGTCTGTGTGTTTCAGGAATCATTAATCTAAAGGCCTCGAAGAACCATAAGAACAAGTTTGAGTTGGGATTGATTGATGAGTTCACTATAGAGGCAGTGGATATTGGGAAACTCAAGAGAATCCGCATTGGACATGACAACGCAGGTACGCACACACATTCATTAGCTGTGTTTCTGTCCAAAGATGTGAATTAGATGTATGCACAAAACTGCAATATGGCATAAAACATTAGTGAATAAAGCATCGTTTCCATTTAATGAAGAGAACAAAGTGATCACTTCCTGATAAACTGGCACCAAATATCAAAAATAAATGTAATTTACTGTGTTAGGAGAAGCCACTGTGAGTCTTTTTTCTTATATAATAAATGACTTGTGCATCAGATAATACAATGCAATGAATGTTCAGTGGCAATGGATGCTCAACAGAGTTCTGAAAGTAATGATAATATTATTAACATACTACTGAACCACTGTGATGGCAAACGTCACTGAGAGATTTTAAAAAAGACCAAAACAACATTTCAGATGTCTCATTTTCTTGTTTTTACATGATCTGTTCAAACAAATTCCCAGCTAACTCTATCAAGCCTCTTCAGCTGCTTCAGAACGCAGCAGCACGAGTGGTCTTTAATGAACCTAAAAGAGCACATGTCACTCTGCTACTCATCCGTTTGCACTGGCTGCCAGTTGCGGCTCGCATCAAATTCAAAGCTCTGATGTTTGCTTACAAAGCGATTTCTGGCTTTGCTCCTTATCTGCTCTCACTTCTGCAGATCTATGTGCCCTCCAGAAACTTGCATTCTGTGAATGAACGTCGCCTCGTGGTTCCATCCCAAAGAGGGAAGAAATCACTTTCCCGAACGCTCACGCTCAATCTGCCCAGTTGGTGGAATGAACTCCCTAACTGCATCAGAATGGCAGAGTCACTCGCTGTCTTTAAAAAACGACTAAAAACTCAACTATTTAGTCTCCACTTTCCTTACTAATATGCAATTCCCTCTCTGACTACTCCACTAACTACAAAAAAAAAAGAAAAAAAAAACTACTGATGTTTTGCTTCTTACACTTTCTTTACATACCCGAAACTTGCCTACAGCACTTATTCATTGCTGCTCTTATAGTTGTGTAAATTGCTTCCTTGTCCTCATTTGTAAGTTGCTTTGGATAAAAGAGTCTGCAAAATGACTAAATGTAAATGTAATGTAAACAAAATAACTTTTTTTTATAAGCATATGATCTTCATTGTCTTAATTCTAAGGGAGTTTGCAAAAAATGTAATTCTCATGGTCTCAGGGATCTGCGTTTCAGACTGTGAAACTTTAAAATCAGTTTAAAAACATTCATTCATTCATTTTCCTTCGGATTAGTCTCTTTATTCACCAGGGGTCACCCCAGTGGAATGAACCGCCAACTTATGCGGCTTATGTTTTATACAGCAGATAAGCAAATCAGTACTGGAACATCCATACACACACTTATACACTACAGCAAATTTAGTTTATTCAGTTCATCTACAGTGGGGTTCACCAATCTCTGTCCTCGAGGGCCCGTGTCACTGCAGGATTTAGCTCCAACTTGCCTTTAATTATTAGCCACATATCTCATGGTTCGGATCACACTACAGTTTTTGATTCACGGAGCTCCAACTTGCCTTTAATTAATTTAGCTCCAACTTGCCTTTAATTAATAGCCACATATCTCATGGTTCGGATCACACTACAGTTTTTGATTCACGGATCGGATTATTTTTCAGATCAGCTTAAAAGGGAGAAGACCAATGTCATTTGCTTTCCTTTTATACAGGAAATTACTGCAAAAACCATTGGTTTAAACAAACAGAACTTAGAACCTGTAATTTCAATAAAAATAAAAATGAAGAAAGAACCAGCTGACAAAAAGGAAAATATTCAAAACAAAAAATGATCTTTGCTGATGTTGCTCATAATGCGAAATAAAGAAATCTAACGTCTTGTACAGCAGATCATGTTTATTGTCAATTAATTATTCAACAATTCACACTTAAAACTTCATGTTTTATTATAGGGGAATCATTTTTGAAAACCTATTTAGGGACATAATTTTGATGATGATAATTTTAGTGATTGGTTACACAATGCAATTTCCTTCACCAGCGTCAAACATTCACCAGTGTCAGGTACCTTTTAACAGTGATTTTAATCTTTACTATAAACTTCAGTGTTTATCTGAACTATAAATTGTTCTCCCAGTACTTCTGTGTTGTTTAATTGTTAGTAACTAACTGAAAAATGTGAACAAAATCTCTCTCTATCACACACAGATTTGAATGCAGCGCTTCTAAGGATTATTAAACATGCAAATCATTATCATTTACCATTCATGTTGCGCGGGGGAATTGAGATCTCGACCTTTTAATGTTTAATTGTGCAGCTTTACATTGAATGCATTAATACAGGCTAAACAAACAGTGACAGAAAACACCTTTAATTAATAGCCTGAGAAAGCATTTAGGTAGGTCCCACCACAACTTCTTCCGTCAGGATTATATTTTACAGGGAAGCCAAAATGCGTTCATACACAAGATTTGGCTAATCTCTCTGCAATTGTTATAAATGTTGGATTAACCTACAAGTTAAAAAAAAAGTTATTAATCTGGGGGTCACTGCGTTGAGATCCGTTGGTTGTGACCCCCTTCAACTGACCCAGCCGGGACTCAAACTAACGCCTTCTTGCTGTGAGGCAACAGTGCTAACCACCGAGCCACTGTGTCGCCCGCTTACAGATATCCTTAAGACTATTCATTATCCATACTAACATATTTAAACATCAAAACTAACATATTCTAACATCTAGAATTTATTTTAAACCATGGGACCTTTAGGTATTTTTATGCAATAATCCAAAATGCTCTTAAATAGGTGGATGAAAGCTACTGACATCCGATATCGTTATCTAATGTTATTGAACATACTGACTTGAATACACTGAAGCTACATTTCTGGTTGATATATTGAAGGACGGGTTAAGTTGAAATCTGTGCATTGATGATTGGCATGTGTGTGCCTGTGCTTGTTTGTGTGTTTACACTGTAACGAATCGCTGTTCTTTTTACAGCAAAAAACAGAAGTAATTCATTCCCTCACTTCTAATAATGAACGTGGTGTAAAAATAGTTATACAATGTTTTAGATAATATAAGTTGCACTTTTGATCATTTAATTTTTTTAAATGCATTTGTAATTATTAAACTACTACATAATCGTTAAGATCAGGGCTTAATTTGTGTCGTAACATCCTCATTTTACCGATCCCCTCATCAACTGCCCCGTCCATTGTTCACTTTCACTTTCTTCCGTGACTCCCTAACCCTTTTCATTGTGGTCCGTGACACCCCTCCGCCATACACCTTCAACAACCCCCTCCCCGCTCCAGAATTTCGTGTGCGACACTTCTCCATCCTCGGGTAATATGCATCAGAAAACATACGCTAGCCTACTTTTCAATCGTTTGGGATCGGAAAAGATTCATTTATTAAATTAGTTCAATTCAAAAGTAACGGTAAAGATATTTATTATGTTACAAAAGATTTCTATTTCAAGAGTTCACACTTAGCTGATGATTATAAAGCGTGTTTGGCATGCTGTCCCTGGAGAGAGCCCTGTGCTCATAAGATTCTTGAGCCTGGGGCTCCCTCCCATTTGCAGGACAAGAAGCAAGTTTGAGCTCAGGTAGATCTCGAGATTTCCCCTGGTGTTTGTAGTTAACGACCAATTAGAAATTGCTGTAAAGAGATAACTGCTGACTAGGGTCACATCTATGGTGCCAATTTAGTTTAGTCAATTAACTTAAGTCGCATGTTTTTGGATGGTGGGAGGAAATTGGAGAACCCAGGGGGAACCCACGCGAGCACTGGGAGATCATGTAAACTCCACACAGAAACGTTGACTGGCCTGGCAAGGACTTGAACCAGTGACGTTCTTGCTGTGAGGCAACAGTGCTAACCACTGGGCCGCCGTGCCACCCAATCTAGAAAAGGAGGAAGAGTAGGGGTGGAAGGGGGATTCTTCAAAACAAAGATGACTGTTATATGAAACATTGGTTATTTATGGAGACTTTGTAAACGTCTGAATCATCTTCTGGTGAATCATGCATTAGCTAATGCGGGACCAGCTGTGATCCATCGTTAGCATGTGATCCTCTTGAAATAAGTTTATAAATAAACTTTACTTCAATTAAATGGTATATCAAAAAATCCTAAAACAAATTATTACAAAAAATTAGCAATATTATAAAATGTGAAGCAGCAATACATTTTTAATATTATAATAAGATTATTTATTATAAGAACATTATAATATTAAACTGAGGTCTGAACGATCATGTGATACTGAAAACTGAAGTTATGATGCTGAAAATAAAGCTTTGCATCACAAGAACAAAAAATGCTAATTATATATATAAATCTATAAAAAATTATGATATATATATATATATATATATATATATATGTGTGTGTGTATTTGTATTTTTTATTTTTATAATTTTTTAATAGATTTTACAAAATATATTTTTTTTCCTGCATTAATTAAATTATAATAATAATAATAAAAAAAACTAACCAACCCCAAACATTTAAAAAGTTACTCAACACGTGTATGTTGCTCGGTCTTTTGTGCCATTTATTAAATCGTCACTCCATAATTGAATATCAGTTCCTTCTGAAGGCCCAGAACAGGCAGCATTGGTGTAAATCTTACAGACAATTACTTACAGTGTATATGCGGGTATGTGTCTGTGTGCATGTGTCTCTGTGGATTTGTGCTGTGTGTATGTGTGTGTTTTTCTCAGGTGCGTCTCCAGGCTGGTTTCTAGACTGGGTGGAGATCGATGCTCCATCTCTGGGTCAGCTGCTGCGCTTTCCATGTGGACGATGGCTGGATAAAGGAAAAGACGACGGTGCCATAGTCAGAGACCTGTACCCCAATGAGCTGCAGACTGTGCTGTACACACCATGTACGATACACACCTTCATATGTATATATACAGTGTCACCAATATAAAAAGAAGGGGGAGTAAGGGTAGACGAAGATACTGAGGTAAAAAACGCTGGTTATTTATAGGAAGTTAGAAATTGTCTGATTGGTGAATCATATGTTAGTTAATGCAGGACCAGCCGTGATCAATCATAAGCACCTGATCCTCTCGAAACTAGTTTATAAAAAACTTCACTTAATTCAATTGTTTAGTCATTTTATTGCATTTATTGTGTCTTTTTGCTTTTTATGTAAGCTTTCGGGTATTTAAACTTTTGTGTAATATTTATATTTTTTTGTACGACTTTTTTTGTACACTTTTAAAAGCATAAACTCAAAAAATGACTTTCTCCTTGTTCAAACTAATTATCTATATTTTAATTCAGAGTTAAAAAAACGATTATTTTGTGTTATTTGGGGACAACTTATTTGTTTTATGTTATACAATATATAAGCATGAAAAATATATACATAAAATAGTTTATAACAATATCTACATATAAAATGAATTAGAATATTGTGAAATGAAATGTATAAAATATGACAGGCTTTTTTTGCATGTGATTTTGACAACTATGCCTACACTATAAAATGCTGGGTTCCACACAATTACTTCATGTTCTCCCTACTCAAACAGATTAAGTTCATTCATTCATTCATTTTCTTGTCGGCTTAGTCCCTTTATTAATCCGGGGTCGCCACAGCGGAATGAACCACCAACTTCTCAAGCAAGTTTTTACGCAGCGGATGCCCTTCCAGCTGCAACCCATCCACACACACATTAACACACTCACTCATACACTATGGACAATTTAGCCTACCCAATTCACCTGTACCACATGTCTTTGGACTGTGGGGGAAACCGGAGCACCTGGAGGAAACCCACGCGAAGGCAGGGAGAACATGCAAACTCCACACAGAAACGCCAACTGAGCCGAGGTTTGAACCAGCGACCTTCTTGCTTTGAGGCGACAGCACTACCTAGTGCGCCACTGCCTTGCCACCGATTAAGTTAGCATTTTTACAAATTTAAGTAGACTGAGCTATTCATGCACTTCATAATCGAAGCCATAAAACTTGTCCGTGTGCATGGATTGTATATAATTTATGTTCTTATCTCTTTTGAATTTGCAGTTGTTCCGTATGAAATTAAAATCTTCACCACTGATATATTTGCTGGGGGAACCGACGCGGATGTCTTCATTATTCTGTATGGGCAGAATGGAGTCTGTACGTCTCAGAAATCTCTCTGCATTAATAAGAGAGAGAGGAGGATGTACTTCGAGCGAGCGGCAGAAGACATGTTTATTGTTGAGGTAAATGAGAAGCGGCCATTTCTGTCAAGCTTACAGTGATATATTAAATAGATCATGATGATAAGTCTGGCCTTCTACAGCTGCAGGATATTGGAGATATCATTGAGAAAATCCGCATCGGTCATGATAATCGTGGGGTGAATCCTGGCTGGCATTTAGACCGAGTGGAAATCCGAAGGCTGCTCCGGAAAGGAAAGGTATTAATATTTGTCTCACAAAATATTCTTTAACTTTGTCACCGTTTAAGTCTCTTTCTCTACTTGCTCCTCCAAAACACTCAAAGTGGCTCAATATATTTAGTTCTGGTAACTGTGTAGGCCCTGGGAGATGTTCAACTCCACTTTCATGTTTATCAAACCACTCTGTCACCAGTTTTGCTGTGTGTATTGGTGCATTATTATCCTGACACATGGCACTACCTTCATGCAGGGCCGGCGCGTCCATAGAGGCGACCTAGGTGGCCGCCGAGAATAGAGAGAGCGGCTTCCCCAAAACTACCCTCACCACCCGCGCCTTCATCCACGTCTAGGGTGGCAGAATAGAGAGAGCGGCGTCCCCGAAACTACTCTCGCCACCCACGCCCACAGTTATATCCGCATCTAGGGCGGAAGAATAGAGAGGGTGGCGTCCCCTAAACCACCCTCGCCACCCGCGCCTCGGGCGGCGTTCCCTAAACTACCCTCGCCACCCGCGCCTCGGGCGACATCCCCTAAACTACTCTCGCCACCCGTGCCTCAGGCGACATCCCCCAAACTACCCTCGCCACCCGCGCCTCGGGCGGCGTTCCCTAAACTACCCTCGCCACCCGCGCCTCGGGCGACATCCCCTAAACTACTCTCGCCACCCGTGCCTCAGGCGACATCCCCCAAACTACCCTCGCCACCCGCACCTCGGGCGGCGTCCCGTAAACTACCCTCGCCACCCGTGCCTCAGTTATATCCACGTCTAGGGCAGCAGAATAGAAAGAGCGGCATCCCCGACACTACCCTCACCATCCGCGCCCTTAGTTATATCCAAGTCTAGTGTGGCAGAATAGAGAACCCCCATGTTTTCATTTTGGGTTTGAGGGCGGCGTGACCGTCCTTTGCTTAGAGCGGCAGTTCAGCTTGATCCGGCCCTGCCTTTATGATACAATGTTTGAACCATTGGGTGCACGTGGTCCTCTAGAATGATTCGGAAGTCCTTGGCATTGATGCGCCCATCTTACACAAGTAGTGAGGACTGCCACAAGTATTAGGGCCTTGGAAATGCCATGAAATTGCAACCCAAACCATCACAGATCTATTCCCATACTTCACTCTGGGCATTCAGTCTGAGTGGTATGCTTACTTGGGGCTTCTTCACACTGTAACTCTCTCGGATGTGGGAAAGTCAATAAAGGTGAACTTATCAGAGAACAATTCATGTTGTCAATAGCCCAAGATGGTGCTGGCACAATTGATATCAACATTTGGCGTTTACACCAGTGACCAAAGTTTTGGCTATAGCCGCCAGCCAGGTGTATTGACCCTGTGGAGCTCCTGACGAACAATTTTGGTGGAAAAAAGAGAGTTGAGGCGGCTGTGGTTTTATGTTTTTTGGATACAATCCAGGTTAGCACTTGGACATCCCTTTCAGAAGGCTTCCTCTTGTATACACACTTCTGTTGGATGTGGTTCTTTTTCTTGGTGGTTTGCTGAAATTAGTCTTGATATCGTGGCTCTTAATACATCACATAGGCTGCGTTCGAAACCGCATACTTCCATACTATATAGTACGCTAAAATCAGTATGCGAGCCTAGTAGTATATCCGAATTCATAGAATTCGAAAATCAGTATGCGAGAAGTACCCGAATGACTCACTACTTCCTTACTATCCCATGATGCCCCGCGATAGAATTCATGAATGGAAGTAAAGCGACGCAAATGACGCAGGTAGGTCATGTGACCATGACAAAATGGCGGATTTAGTACGTCCAAATTCCATTCATACTTTTCACATTCATACTGTATAGAACGTACTTTTCTAACGGACGAGTAGTACGTTTAAATTCAAATGCAGTACCTACTGAGTAGTAGGCGGTTTCGGACGCAGCCATAGACTTGCTGTCTTGGGCACAGATGGGCCAGCGACTTGCGCACTATCAATTTTTCCTCTTTCACAGACATTAGTACGTAAAATTTAAATAAAGAAGAAAGATCAAGACAACCATAAAAAATTTTTTAATTTAGTTAAAAGGTTTTTTCTAAACACCTCATTTATTTACATAATGTAAATACATAATTTTTCTATTCCTAAAAGTGACAAAAAGTCCACACTTAATAAATAATAGTTTAATAAAACTGTTTATTCAAATGCATTAACATATATAATCTATATTCACCGAGAAATTCATTTATTCATTCATTTTCATTCGGCTTAGTCCCTTATTTATCAGGGGTCGCCACAGTGGAATGAACTGATAACTATTCCAGCGTATGGTTTACGCAGCGGATGCCCATCCAGCTACAACCTGATAATTGAAAATCACTGGGAAATTGCTAAAAATAATAATTTTTTAAAGGCTTTTTCATGCAGTGCACTGCATGTACAGTTGAAGTCAGAATTTTTACTCCCCTTTGATTTTTTCTTCTTTTTTAAATATTTACCAAATGATGTTTAACAGAGCAAGGAAATTTTCACAGTATGTCTGATAATATTTTTTCTTCTGGACAAAGTCTTATTTGTTTTATTTTGGATAGAATAAAAGCAGTTTTAAATTTTTTTAAAACCCATTTTAAGGTCAAAATTATTAGCGCCTTTAAGCCATTTTTTGATAGTACAGAACAAACTATCATTACACAATAACTTGCCTAATTACCCTAACCTGCCTAGTTAACCTAATTAACCTAGTTAAGCTTTTAAATGTCACTTTAAGCTGTATAGAAGTGTCTTGAAAAATATCTAGTCAAATATTATTTACTGTCATCATGGCAAAGATAAAATAAATCAGTTATTAGAGATGAGTTATTTAAACTATTATGTTTAGAAATGTGTTGAAAAAAAATTCCTCTCCGTTGCTCTCCGTTAAACAGAAATTGGGGAAAAAATAAACAGGGGGGCTAATAATTCAGGGAGGCTTATAATTCTGACTTCAACTGTGTATGTGAATATACATAAATAGGGCTTACACGTTGGCCAGGCACTTTTTTAGCTAAAAAGTGGACCAGATCCATTGGTCTTAATTCTGGCAACATGAAACTAGGTTGAGTCTAGAATCCTCCCATTTGGCTGTGGAAAACCTTCTTTTCCTCTTCACTGTCTTTGGAGCACCCATTTCATTGACCCACATCTGTTCGGTGTTGCGGCGGGTATAATTAGTTCCAGTGACTAATCTTCTCTGACCTGTCGCTCCACTCCAGCACTATCTGTGTACAGTAGAGAAGTGAAACACTGCCTCCACTGTAGCTCCGTCAAGCAAATCGGCGTGAAACTCGGATATCAGCACACACACCCAGCCGTGGCTTTACAGTACTGTTCAAAAGTTTGGGGTCATTAAGTTTCACATTTTTATTTAGAAAGGATCCATCAACACTGGAGCTACATACAGTAGGTGGCCATTTAAATCATTTTAAAATGTTGTAAATGAATTTTGCTAAATGTGTGTACAGTGCATCCATAAAGTATTCATAACACTTCACTTTTTCCACATTTTTTTGTTACAGCTTTATTTCAAAATGTGTTCAATTTATTTCCTCAACATTCTACACACAATCCCCCATAATAACAGTGTTAAAAAGCCGAAAAATCACATGTACATCAGTATTCACAGCCTTTGCTCAGCACTTTGTTGATGCACCTTTGGCAGCGATTACAGCCTCATGTCTTTTTGAATATGATGCCACAAGCTTGGCACACCTGTCTTTGGGAGTTTTTGCCCAGTCCTCTTTGCAGTACCTCTCAAGCTCTATCAGGTTGGATGGGAAGCGACAGCGTACAGCCTTTTTCAGATCTCTCCAGAGATGTTTAATAGGATTTAGGTCTGGGCTCTGGCTGGGCCACTCAATCACATTCATGGAGTGGTTGTGAAGCCACTCCGTTGATATTTTAGTGGTGTGAGCTCAGACAGAGTGACCATGGGGTTATTGATCACTTTCCTGACTGAGGCCCTTCCCCCTCGATCACTCAGCTTAGATGGCCGGCCAGCTCTAGGAAGAGTCCTGGTGGTTAAACATCTTCCATTTACGGATGATGGAGGTCGCTGTGCTCATTGGAACTTTCAGAGCAGCAGAACTTTTTCTGTAACCTTCCCCAGCCTTGTGCCTGGAGACAATCCTGTCTCGGAGGTCTACAGACAATTCCTTTGTCTTCATGCTTGGTTTGTGCTTTGACATGCACTGTCAACCCTGGGACCTTATATAGACAGGTGTATGCCTTTTCAAATCATGTTCAATCAACTGAATTGACCACAGGTGAACTCCAATGAAGCTGCTAAAACATCTTAAGAATGATCAGCAGAAACAGAATGTACCTGACCTCGATTTAGAGCTTCGTGGCAAAGGCTGTAAATACAGATTTACATGAGATTTTTCAGATCTTTTATTTTAAATAAATTTGCAACAACTTTTTTTCGCATTGTCATTATGGGGTGTTTAGTGCAGAATTTTGAGGAAATAAATTAATTTAATCCATTTTGGAAAAAGGCTGTAACATAAAAAATGTGGAAAAAGTGAAGCGCTGTGAATACTCTCCAGATACACTGTATATTCAATAACAAATTGCATTACAAGCTTTGAATGTAAGTTTGAAATTGAATTCAACATTGACAATGAAAACACTGAAAAATGACAAATGTAAACTTTAATTAAACATCATAGTATCATTAATCTCATTTTATGTAAGTGTACGAAACTAATAATAAACATTAAGGACTGAAATATGTGTGCGCACGCAGGGCTCAGAAACAGCAATATTCCCGTGTGAGCGATGGTTGGCTCATTCGGAGGAGGACGGAGAGACGATTCGTGAGCTGGTGCCGTCTGACATCATCGTAGAGAAACTTTCACGAGACGGGACCCTCAAAATCATCGAGACAGAAGTGGACGACGCACTGGAGAGTAAGTCTGGTGGATTTGCCTATGTTCTTTACATTTGCATTTGTGCGTTATTTATATGTTTTTTTTTTTTTAAGTTTGAATAACACTAAGTCACGAAGGCAAGCAAATATCCCTGTATGGCTTCTAGTTTTTACATTTGTACTGTTCTCTTTGGTCCACTAATAATGCTATCAAGATTTTATGTTAAAAAAAATATCATAATTCAGAAGTAATGTGTCTATTTTTCTGTGCTGTTTTGACCACTCATCAGAATGCTTTGTTTGAATGGGCGTGACCGATTGTAGACTCTGAAGTAAACACCCACTGCTCTGACTAGCTAACAGATTTGCATACTAACAGAGCAGGACAGGCAGTAAAGTAAAACTTTGATCTTATGTGGAGGCGGAGCTTATCCAACCTATTACATCATAGATAAGAACGTTCCATTTCCCGCCGTTTTGTCAGACTGCCCTTAATATAAGCTGTTTTTAGAGTAACAATGAAGGTTTGAGCTCTGAAACTTACAGGGTGTTTATATAGTACTATGACCTCTCATATATCAAAAGATAAAGGACATTTTGTTTTCTCAGTTCATGACCCCTTTAAATGAATTACATTTTTAGACCTTTAGATTAGAGTTGGATATTTACACATCTCAAAGCAACACATTTGATTTTGCTTCTGTCAATGATTCAATGATCCATATATAACAGTGTTTCTTCTACGATTTTTCCAGCTGTGGTGGCAGGCCTTTTACACAGATCTTCCAACTACCTATAGGGTTATGTCACTGACAAATGTCATGAGTGCAGTATTACAAGTCGAGATCGCATTCATGTAATACCAGCATGCAAATCTCTTTGCTTGCGTGCTGATTTCCTCTGTTCATGCACACAACTTTATGCACTCCCTTAAATATAAGCTGCTCAAGCACAGATTTTCTTGTGCACTCTCAAATAAACGCTGCTGAAGTGCGATTTAGGGCATTTATGAATTAGCATGTCTCCAACGTTTATTAAATTGGCTAGCAAAATATACAGTTGAAGTCTGAATTATTTGCCCTCTTTTGAATTTTATTTTCTTCTTTTAATATTTCCCAAATGTTGTTTAACAGAGCAAAGAAATTTTCACAGCATGTCTGATAATGTTTTTTTTTTTCTGGAGAAAGTCTTATTTGTTTTATTTTGGCTAGAATAAAAACAGTTATTAATTTTTTAAACACCATTTTAAGGACAAAATCATTAGCCCCTTTAAGTTAGATTTTTTTGCGATAGTCTACAGAACAAACCATCATTATACTATAACTACCTAATTACCCTAACCTGTCTAGTTAACCTAATTAACCCAGTTAAGCATTTAAATATCACTTTAAGCTGTATAGAAGTGTCTTGAAAAACATCTAGTCAAATATTATTTACTGTCATCATGGCAAAGATAAAATAAATCAGATATTAGAAATGAGTTATTAAAACTATTATGTTTAGCAATGTGTTGAAAAAAATCTGCTCTCCGTTAAACAGAAATTGAGGAAAAAAATAAACGGGGGCTAATAATTCTGACTTCAACTGTAATTGAATTTCTCTAATAGACCTACAGAACGACATTGATGCATCCTGAAGTAAAGTGAAACAGCCATAAACTCCAGCAAGATAAGAGTCTTTGTATGCAGAACCACTTATCCTTTATCTAGAAATAAAGTATAATTATGGAAACTGTGTTCATCATAACTGAAAGCTACGTCCTGTTTTCTGGCCTTACACATCGCACAGTCAGTCAGTCAGCATGTAACCTTAAAGGGTTAAACTAATAACACACAGCACTACTAAAGTTACAGAAAAGTTCACTCTGTTATAATTCAGTTACTTTTTAATATGTTTTAGTGTGATTATAACCTGCTATTAATAAAAAAAACAAAAAAAAAAAACAGCAACAACTGAAGGTTTTTGAATGAAAAGCTGTACTGTAGCGGTGGCGGGAATGAATTTTAGTGTAGCGCCCCAATATGGAAGAATGAATGTAGTGGAAACCCTGTATAAAGACGGTCATTTGCTTTGTTTAAGTTTGAATTAATCGTTTAAATGAATGATTCGTAAATCGCTCATCAAGACATGGACATTTTGCCACAAACTGGTTGCTTTAGTGTCATGTATAATCATCTTTGACGGTCCTAATTTAGCTAAGGAACCTGAATGAAAACCAACTCAGCATTATAGTTACTGAGACAAATCATCAAGCATTAAGATATATGTTTCGTCAATACAGTACACCCATTGTAAGTTCACACTACATTTTTCAGTTCATGGATTCAAAGCCATGATGTTGGTGTTGCTAGTGCCTTGCTCCGCTACTGTATTTGAGCAACAAGAAGACTAATGTGTGTGTGTTTGTGTGTGTGTGTGTGTGTGTGTCTGTGTGTGTGTGTGTGTGTGTGTGTGTGTGTGTGTGTGTGTGTGTGTGTGTTGCAGTTCACACATATACAGTGACAGTAAGCACGGGGGATGTGTATGGCGCCGGCACTGATGCCAACGTGTTCATCACTCTTTATGGAGACATGGGCGACACTGGAGAACGCAAACTCAGCAAGTCTGAGAACAGCAACAAGTTTGAGAGAGGATCGGTGAGACATTCACGCAGACATCTTACTAATGCTCCCCAAATATAGTTTATTTATTTATTTAAAATAAGTGTGGTCCTTTAAAAAGCTATTTCTGAACCCTTTTGTCCTCACTAAATTTGTAAGATTTGATGTTATCCCAGTTCTCTGAACATTTTTTAACTTTTCATTTAAAGTGTTGTGTAAATGTAAGCATTTAACGTTATTAGAATAAGGTTTTCCTTTCAACATTTGCGTAACGTCAACGTTGTTTTAGTTTAGTCCCTTTGTTCATTAGGGATCGCCACAGCGGAATGAACCGCCAACTATTCCGGCATACGTTTTATACCGCGGATGTCTAAAAACAACTAAAAATAATGTCAATATATCTTCTAAAAAAAAAAACTGGACGTTTTGAAGGTTCTAAGGAGTTTGACAGAGTTTGACTGTCAGGGTTGGAGATGGGAAATTGGGAAAAAGGAGCGAGGACTCAAGTGCAGGAATAATGGGAATTTATTAAATAATAAAAATAAAATAAAATGCAAAATAAACTACCCCGAGGGGGAAAACATTAACAAAACAAATACATACACAAACAAACTTCACTGGGCTGGCTGGTAAGGAACAGGACTGGAAACATGACAAGACAAGGGTTCAAACAACAACATGTGATGACGAACTGGCACAGGACAGCAAAAGTGAGGGGTATATAAACTGTAGAAAATTAACACACAAACAGGTGAACACAATTAACTAATAATGGGTTAAAAAGGAGGGTGGGACAAGACAATAGATGGGAGAGCGCATGACACAGAGAGACAATACAAGCCATGCGCTCACATAACACAACAAGAACATGCAGCCAATGAGAGAACTCATTAACCGCATGTTCATGACAACAAACACAACACTGAAGCACACGACAAAAGCACGTGACCACAATGTAAACACCAAGCCACGTGCTTTGACAAGAGACGCAAGACACGAGCACACGATAGATAAACACCTTACCGTGCGCTCACACATAAGCAACGCGCATGCTGACAGAACAAACACAAACACTAGTACAAGAGCGCGCGCGTCTGAGGGACGCAGAGCGTGCGCGGCCACATCAAGTGGCAGCGCGCACACTCTGCGTACACCCACGACGGCGCGCGCGCGCACTCAGAGAAAGAAACAGGACCAGACATGGAGTAGTGTCAGAGCTCTGCCACCAAAACAAGAATTTACAAGACCAAAGTGGCAGAACCCTGACATTGACAGCACATGTGCTGAAAATCGTCACAACACAAACACATTTTTAAAAAACATGCTGCATTTTCACACAACTCAAACATATTACGAAAAACGCGCTGCATTTTCTCAACACAAAAACATCGAAGCACAACGAAAAAGATTTTTCAGATTTTTTAAAAAAATGTGACGGACACCCCCGTGCCATGACTATTGCTCAGTGAAGTTGTAGGTGATCTTTAAAAAGGTTTTATGTTTGTTTATTTTAAAATCCAGATTCCAGTGTCTTTAGTATTTATTAGTCTGAATAACCATAACCTAAATAGCCGGGTCCGTCACGTTTTAGGGTCTCCTTGAAACATTTCCGTTGTGTTGTGAGAAAATGCAGCAAGTTTTCGTAAATTGTTTGCGTTGTGAGAAAATGCAGCACGTTTTATTAATTGTTGGCATTCTAAGAAAATGCAGCACATTTTTTTAAAATGTGTTTGCGTTTTGACAATTTGCAGCATGTGTACTGTCAAACTGATGAAGATCAATTCTCAGTGTGCTGGCGTCTTTTTGTAATTGCACTTGTTTTCTTAAATTGTAGCACGTTAAGCTCTCTCTGCCACCTTACTAAGGACATTAGAAAAATAACTTGGTGGGAAAATTAAAAGAACGTTTTAAAATATTCACCACAAAAAAGCAAAAATGATTCCTTTGAATGATTTGAAGAGTTCATACTTAGCTGATGATTATTAATCAAGCTTGTTTGGCATGATGTCCCGGGAGAGAGCCCTGAGCTCATAAGATCCTTGAGCATGGGGCTCCCTCCCTTTTGAAGGGCGAGAGGGAAGTTTGAGCTCAGGTACGTAGGTCTTGAGAACTCCTCTGCTTAGGTTTTGAAAGCCTTTTATGCTAATCAGTGCTTCATTTACATAAACAGAAAATACAAATTTGTAATATTTGAAAATAACCGCTTTCTATTCGAAAATATCTTAAAATATAATTAATTCCTGTGACGTAACCTCATTTTTTTTTAGCATCATTACACCAATCTTCAGTGTCACATGATCCCAGCAGGCACATGACGTCAGACTGATGTTGTAACCTAACGTCCTGGGACATTGCATTTTGTTTGAAAATGAAAATCAGGTTGACGTCAGAGCCCAATGTCAGACCGACATCTGTGTCCAACATCGGATAGATTTAGCATTTTGGTTACTTTCCAAAGCAACCTAAAAATGATGAAATATCAACGTCTAATGACATTAGAGTTTGACATTAGCCCCTTTCACACAGTGATACCGGTAAATTTCTGGAAAATTTCCGGAACGACTTTAACGGTATATTGAAAAAAACGCTGTTCACACAGGCGAGGACGTTACGGAAATTTTCCGGAAAAGAGCATTCACACATCCATTCCAAAATACCGGTAAATTCTGACATCATTCACCACAAATGAGCTTTAAACGGCTGCGCTTGTATTTGTAAACATTTGACTATAGTACAAACTCTGTGGATGATCAATATTGTGAACAACTTTCGCAGGATCACTTTCGCATGTCGAGATGTTCATAATATGTACGTGTGCAGGCGCTCATAGGCGCACGCAAAGCTTGAAGGTAAACAAACAACGGCTTATCATAAGCATCTCATCGATGATTATTTACACAGTTGGCATTAAGAAGAACATATAAACGTGATCTGACTAACTTCTAGCAGCTAAATGTGTCTGGAAAAATATTCAAAGGCTTTTATCCTCACAAACCGCGCGGACGTAAATGCGTCTGATTGTTGTGATTGGCTAAAGCAGACGTCTCACGTCAGCACGTTCTAGACGTGCACGCGCTTATTACGGGAATCTTCCTTCTGCATTCACACAGCGCAGCATTCCGGCAAATTGCCGGTAATGTTACAACTTCTCTTTCCGGAAAATAGCCAGAACGAATTTACCGGTATTTTCAAAAAGGACTTGTTCACACATACAACCTTTCCGGAAAATTGCCGGCAATTTTCCGGAAAGGTCTGTATGTGTGAAAGGGGCTATTGTGTGGATATTACCACTATGACGTCTATCAGACATTGGATTTTGATTGCCATACTTGACAAATAAGTGACATTTTACAATCTAATTTTGAGAGGAGCATGTGATATGATTGAATTGAATCATTCCAAACTCGCAATAAATAGCCCAACTAGCATTACTCCCTCTTCTTCGTTTTTTAAAGAATCCCCCCATCCACCCCATCTCCCTCTTTCCTCCTTTACCAGGGGGAGCTCTCGAGAACTACCTGATCTCGTACCGACTTACATGCCTATTGACCAGGCGGGAGCACTGGGCTCAACTATCTCCAAGCTCAGGGTTCTCTCCCGTGACAGCATGCCAAACCTGCTTTTATTATCAAGCAGTAACTAAGTGTGAACTCTTGAAATGTCAGTGTTTAAAGTCAATATGACGTTGGTTTAAGATGTTGGCTCGATGTTGGATTTCAGTCACTTTCCAACACAACCTAAAACCAACAAAACATCAACATCATTTCACGTTGTTGTTAGATATCAAAATCACATTGTCTTTAGACGCTAAAATCTAGATCTAACCTAATATTAGCGTCTTATGATGTTGTGTTTCTGCTGGGATCCTT